GTGTAAAAATCAGCACAAACATGTAGGAAACGTGCATGCCCATGGAAGTAAGAAACCTCGATATCCTACCGACCGTTCTATCCTGTTTTCAAAGGTTAACAAATGCTTCAAAGAGAATTTCAGGCATTGCGTTGTTGCACATGCGCTTTCGGGTTTTCGGCATTTACGGTCTTGCTTTTTTACGCTTTTAAGGCAGTCATTATTAAGTTTTCAAACCTTTTCCTGTTTTTCGAGTTCATAAAGTTTTCAGTTTGGCTTTCATTTCCTAGAGCAGTGGTTCTGAACCATTGATGTCTCGCGGACCACTTGTGGATCGGCGAAGATGATGGAGGACCCCGTTCGTGTTAAAGGGAAGGGAAAGGTATATGTTAATTATAATAATGATTTAATAAGGGGATGTAACAAAGGGCTAGTGTGAAGTGGACTTCTCTCGTTGACATACACACCAGAAAACTCACCCGAAAATTGGAATGTTTCTTCTGAAACATTCTTTCAACCTGAAAAAAATACAACTTTTATTATCGGGCTTGACTGATGAGGCAGGGCTTCGCCGACCCCTAAATGCCTTTGCGGACCCCAAAAGGTCAGTGGACCCCCATTCGAGAACCACTGGAGTAAACCACAAAAAACACTTGCCCACAATTATTAATTTGGGAGAATAAGCTTAACCAAATATGTTTAACAAATATAACAGAAGAAGACATTAATGAAAAAACGGTTAAAGTGCAGGCGAGCTGGTGGATATTTACCATGATGGAACTTAACCCGAGACTGGGGTAGAAACAGAAACTTAAAAGTTTCTTTCCGGACAAGTGGATGGTTTGCCCCGGTTCGTAGTATTGCTTGAGGGGGCGTCCCTTTGCATTGTTGTCTTTGGATCTTTTTTTTTTTTTTTTTTGTGCCTTTGAATGGGGCGTGTTGAGTGTCTGGGTGACCTTGTGGTTGTGAGTATATAAGGATGTGGGACTAAATAAATCTTTTAGCTGCGTTTGAGACGTTCTCTTCTTCACTTGTCTCTGTCCCTTCTACTTTTAAGTTTCTGTTTCTACCCCAGTCTCGGGTTAAGTTCCATCATAGAAAAAGACATTTTCTTTGAAAAAAGAAATTTCTTCGAAGGAAAAAAAATTGGGCTTTTCTCCGATACACTTACTGGCCGGTGAGCTTCTCTCCGCATGTGCCAATTTTCGCGGTGGGCTTTTCTACGGTGAGGGTGAGCTTTTCTCCGGGATTCACAAGGGTGGACGGCCTGCATTTTAAAGTTATGATGACAATGCAATCAATGCAAAGGTGTGTTTGTTTGTCCTTTGTCCCCCTTATTCCCCTTCTCCAGGGATAATTATCGTCATTCTTGTCCAGCTCGCTTGCACCTTTGCACTAATTGCCTTATCATCATAACCTTAAAATGCAGGCCGTTCACCCTTGTTGGTGTTCGACTGGTAACAGCTGTTAAAACCCGTTTGCTCTACTGACGTATAGCTCCTGGTTAGCTCAGTTGGTAGAGTGCTCCACTGGAAATGGAGAGGTCCCTCGTTCAATACCAGGACCAGGGGGGATTTTGGATGTCACCCACCAGTTTTACTGTGTTTGGAGATTTGTGTTTGTCCCTTGTTCCCCTTGTTCTTCCCCCGCGCCCACACACAGGGGGCATCTGTGAAAGCAGGTGTTTTGAGAGTGGCGTCTCCATGAACCCCGAGCCATGCGGGTTCGCCCCCCACATCCAGTGCCTCCGTAGAGCGCAATAATTTACTTTTATCAGAATTTAGTGCGCTACTCTGGTACTTTTTAGATTTGGGTATTTGGTACCGTACTCGGTTACTTTTTAGCCTGTTTTTCAGTAGCTTAACTTAAATACTTTTTTTTTTTTTGTACAAGTCTGCTCTTGTACAAAGCTTCGGAAGCCAGAAGTTGGAACGCTGCGACGTCAGCGACATTCGTGTTGACTCATGCTTTCGGCCTGAACTCCTACGGCCAACCAGCAGGATCACGACAGCATGACACTCCGGCTTTTGTGAGGTCAATTGTTGCCACTCGGGGACCACTTGGGATGTATAGACGGAATACGACGCTAAACACACCGATGGATGGATGGATGGTAATGGCTATACCCTTTGTAATGGGCGGCAGCTTGCGCCACCTAGCCTAACATTTCGTCATCCCTTTTTTTTTAATTTGTATGAATTTTTTTATAACAGACCCCCTACCCTCTCTTTTAAATTAAATTTATTGCTTATTTTTATCTGCATTTTTTTTTTTTTTTATCCTTCCCTAGATCTCTTCCACCAATCTTCCAATCTCCTCTTGGTTACCGCAATTCTTTCCCTATCCATTCGTCCATCCATGTCCGGAAAACCCAGTGGCCCCTCCAAACCCGTAGTCATCCCCCCCAAGAGGGTGGGACAAAGCCCCGTGGACCTTAAAATTACATGTTCTATAGTTTCCCCTTTGCGGTTGCATACGTCACACAGAGTGTCTACTTCCTGGAATTTAGCCCTATACGTTTTCGTTCGTAGCACCCCTGTTCTAGCTTCAAACAACGAAGAGCTCCCCACTGAATTATCACACAGCTGTTCCTTCTTTATTTCTTGTTTTTGTGCCCTGTATATTGTTAAAGCTGATTTCCCCTGCATTCTCTCTTCCCACAATTTCCTCTCTGTTTCCTTTACTCCCTTTTCTACTGATATGCTCTGATCGGCTCCATCTCGTTGAATGTATTTAAATCTCAGCTTGCGGGTTCGGTTTGTCCACTTAGTGTTTAGACTTTTCCTATACACTTTCGTTGCCCACCGTGTATCCTCATTTTCAGCTAGTGTTTGTTAAAATTTTACTTTACTGATCGCTTCTCTACTCTCGAAAGATGCCCAACCCATATCCCCCTGTACTTCCTCATTTGGTGTATTCCCATGTGCCCCCAATGCCAACCTACCCACACTCCTTTGCTGTATCTCTAACCCTGCCTGAATTTCTGACCTTCACAATACCGCATTCCCAAATGACAGTGCTGACACCATGACTCCCTTCTATAGACCATTCTATTTAGCGCTCTCTGGGCGGCACCATTTTGTTCGACCGCAGCGCCCTCTCCACACATCCGGGAAGTTCAGCGGGTTCGGCGGGGTAAAAAGAGAGAGAGGGCACGCGCCCGACTCCGCTAGCAGACGACAAATCGGGAGGTTGCCGTTCTCCATCTTTGGGCTGTATCGGCGGGCTCTACCAAAAATCGAACTCTCGCTCGTGGCTGCCATTGTGAAGTGGTTTGCGGTCTTAGAATAGTTATGGCTACTCCAAAATCAGCCCAATAGCTCTCTGTTGTTCTATTTTGCTGAATGACCAACTAGCATACCTTTTTTTCGTTACTTAAATAGCAGTTGAGTCAGCCGGCAGTACTACCCTCAACTACTGCGTGTATTGCGGCAGGAGAGCACGTTTTATTTATTATTTCAGACTTCCACTCATGGTCCCTAAAGGCCTACACCAGTACGAACTTTGTATAGTAAAAAAGGTACAGCAACCGAATTTACTTTTCGCCAAAGAGACCGGCCAATCTGAAACAGTTTTCCCTATTTTTTTTTTATTTGCACGCAGGTAACTGTGAAATTGGACCCTGTGAGTCTTTTTATCTAGCATTACGCGACAACTGGCATACCAAAATCCGCGCATGTGCGCTTGAAAGTTCCAAAATGACGCGATTTTAAACAGAGTTTGCACGCCAGGCGGACGCTAGCTACAGCCCACTCGGCGGAGCTGACGACATACGGGGTGAGAGGGGGAGTGCATTTTTTTCTCTTTTACCCTCTCTGCTATGACCCTAATGGAACGGTCTATACACCCCAAACGACTTCATATCTGTTATAGTTTCAGAGTGCCCTGTGTTTCATGATAGCTGAATCTCGTTTCCCTTTCTTTATTACAATATCTTCATGTTCTTTTAGATACTTGCTTCCCTAACTTAACCATACTCCCAGATATTTGTACTTTTCTACGTGTTCTATCACTGTGTTCTGTATCTTCAGGGGTTCCCCCTTCTCGTTGTTCAAAACTCCCGTTGAATTTTAGGCCTAAATTGTCCCCTTCTTTGCTGCAAATCCTGATCAGTTCCTGTATTGTCTTACAACTTCCTGATATGAGTACAACGTCGTCTGCATACATTAACCCTGGCAATACTTGATCTCCTATAAGTCCTTCCTCCATGTAAGTCAGGTCAAAACCTAGGTGGCACTGCTCTAATATTTTTTTTTCATCTCACTGAGGTATATCATAAAGAGCAGAGGAGACAATTGGCAACCCTAAGTCCTCTTTTTATTGCTGCTGGTCTTGTAGTTTCGGTCTTCCCATGTTAGAACCACACTATTCTCCGTATAAACCCATTCTAGAAACTTAACCATGGTTCTCCCTAGCCCATATCCCTTTAGTTGGTCCCAGGGTCTTTCCTCATTCACATTGTCATATGCCCCTTTGATGTCCAAAAATGCTACCCATAATGGCCTTTGACTTGCCATTGCTATCTCTATGCACTGAGTGATTACGAATAAGTTTTCATCTAGTCGTCTACCCCTCTTTTAAACCGTTTTGAAGCGCCCCCAGAATCTGCTTTCTCTCTGCCCATTCTCCCATTCTTCTTTTTACAATTAAAGGTATTACAACGGGAAGCGACATCACGCAGGCAGATTTCGGATGAGAACAGCAGCAAAATGCCACGAACTCGCACATCACGGGAACAGATACCGCAGATCGTGGATGCAGCCAATTCACTTGTCACGGCGTGATAAAAGCTCGGGAACCCGAGCATTTATTTGCGGCACATGCCGGTACCGCAGATTGCGCAGTTGACGCTATTCCTGCCGGACATTGTGCGACCGATCGGGGGAGGCGATGTTTTGGAAGTTTTGTGTTGGGAATGTTTTGCCAGGAAAACGGGTTGGGCAATCTCCTGGGGTAGGACATTCGTACAAAATTTTATGGCATTTGCGTCGTCCCAAACCCTCTCATCGCCCCGGTTGCAGATCTTCAAGTTCTGCCGGTCCAAGTGCCACAAGCTGTTCAAAAAGAAGAGGAACCCACGCAAGACGCGCTGGACCAAGGCCTTCCGTAAGGCGGCCGGCAAAGAGCTCACCGTGGACCCCGCCTTCGAGTTCGAGAAGCGCCGCAATGTCCCCGTCAAGTACAACAGGGAGCTTTGGCAGAACACAGGTACCGCCGCTTGGCAGGTTCACCAGAGACATGCCAAGTGACTCCGATGAATCTGCCAAGATACTTCGATTGAAACAATGCATTCAATATTTAACAGTGTCGGCCCGCTGCGGCCGTGCGACGGGCCGATATGACTAAGCACGTGCTCCATCCACCACCTAGCCTTATTTCAAGGCTAGCTTGCACAAGCTACCGCCCGTTACAAAGAATATGATTGATATCGATCTATCCATCTGACGCAATGGGGCAAACATATCACCCTGGTTCTGGCAAAAGAAGGCGAGGAAAAATATAGTTTGCTGGTTTTGACGCGAAATTTCAGTATTATGGCTTTTGCACCATGAACATTTTGCGATTGTGCAAAAATACAATGCACAACATGCCTCGTACTAGGTATTATGATAATGTTTGTAATCTTCATTAGTCCAGGAAAAAAAATATAATGCATGGGAAAAGAGTTTGCATGATTTTTCATTGTTGGAGATCAGTAGGTGGGATTGTAATCTGAAATTAGATATATTTGTTAACTGACACCTATTAAACAATATAATACCGAAAGCAATTTTTTAAAACACTTTTGTGCACCTCTAAGGTGTAATAGGTGAATTAAAGCGAGTGTTTGGCATTGCAGTGAAGGCCATACAGCGTGTGGAGGAGATCAAGGCAAAACGGCAGGGGCATTTCATCATGAACAGGTAAGCCGCCGCAGCCTCGTCACCTTGGCTCGGGTGTGGTGTGCCAGCATAGATTTAATGTTTGGCTCTGTTTGTGTGTGTGTTAAAGGCTGATGAAGGGCAAGGAGCTGGACAAGCAGAAGGACATCAAGGAAGTCCAGAGAGACCTCTGCCTCATCAAGTCTCCCGCAGGTAGGGGCTCTGGCACGGTTTATTTTTGTATTTAACTTTTCGATAGTTGTAGCCATATGCAGGGTTGTCGAGATAAATCCGAAAAATTCACCATATTTAGGAAAACACGCAGAGGCAAAGATGAAATGAGTACCGACCTTTCTGTGCGCTTTGCTCGGTCTGCCGTAACGTCTGCCTGGCTGGAAGATTATCTGAGCGTCTCGGCAATGCTGCAAACTCTTTTCTTTTAGCCATACCGCACAATAATTTGCTTAGGTGACTTTCCGGCGCGAAGCAATTCAAGTGCAATACGGCCGTTTAGCCTCACTGTATGGTTGACAGACAGTATCTGTAAAAAGTCCGTATTTATCTCGACAACCCTGTACAGCGTATCTCCCCAAAAAAACGTACTATACCCGTTTTCACCTCAAGAAAAAAGCAAGTTTTGCGCATTGTTCATACGCGGCACGAAGTAGTTCTTACGAGATTTGGTTGTCGGATGAAAAAGCGATGCTTTTGGCATTTGGAACATGTGCGTCTTGATAAGACAACATAAAACTAATCTACAAATCACCTACATCTCAATTTTTTTACATAAAGGGGGAAATCAGTAATGCTCCGCGAGAAGCCGGACTTTTTTTACTATGGTTCTTGAGGTGAAAACAGGTATAGTGTCTTTCTTGCCGCAAAAATAAACTACACGTTGCCGAACCATCATTCTCAGCCCAAATGTAGCGCTAGCGGTCTGGACCAGATGCCAAAGTTTAAAAACTAGCCATTATCTCATTCAGATTTCATAATGGCTAGTTTAAAAACTAGCCATTATTTCATTCAGAGGGTAGCCGAGTGGGCTAGCGCACACCAGCTCGGAGGAGCGAAAGCTTGCACTGCAGAACCCAGGGATCCTGGGTTCAATTCCTACCCCTGCTTGTTTCGATCTGGATGAGCATCGTACCGGTGTGCGGTCATCTATCACTACTGCATGATGCATGTTAAAGACCCGAGGCTAGCGGTTGTACTGCACTGACCAAATTTCCTATCTACAGCTGGGAGTCAAGTCGCCCGTTGAGGCAGACTAAGTTCTAGGCTGTATAGACATACACACACCCCAATTTTTTTTTTTTTTTTAAAGGTTATAAGTAGTTTTTAATGGTGAAGGGCAAGGAGTAGGGCCTGTTTTCGTACGGGGCTCTCGAGTACGGAGCTCTGCGTACTTGAGAGGCTCTGTCGGCCGCCATTTTCCCATTGAAAATTTCAGAACACCACGTATAACTTTTGAATGAGATAATGGTTAGCTCTGAAACTTTACCATCTGGTTCTGACCGGGTGGAGAATGAGCATTCGGCGATGCGTGGTTTATTTTTACAGTGAAAATAACCCTGTATAAACTTGTGGGGGGAGACACACCCCATATGTCCGGTGGCAGTTGCGCATTTGAAAATTTGGACCTACCGTAAAATCCCGAGAGATGCCCCACCCTCGAAAGATAATCCATGCGTAGTTTTGGCTTGATTTGCTATATTTCTTCAAAACACCGAAAGATAGCCCACTCCTAGTAATATTAGTGTTGGGATCAATGATGGCCTCGGCGAAAATGTGGCTGGTTCGCTATGGCGGGATATAAGCGAACATTGCTGACTGAGAAATACAGTCATCTTTGCATCGTTGCCCCTCGCCACCATAACAAGCTTGGAAGGGGCATGACCTAAAAATAGCAATGTTTTAAAAACTTTTCTCGATTGTACACCGAAAGTTAGCCCACTCCATATTTTCAGCCGATTTGCTCTTGATGTTAGGTGGGCTATCTCCCGGGATTTCACGGCAATTGCGAAACTGCCTGCACCCGGGGAAATGTTGCTATTTGTTCCGTCTCTGGGGAGGTATAAATGTTGGATGTACACCCTCCTTTACCTTGCTGGAACTGTTTATAGTCCAGAAGTTAGATGCTCCGTGCACACAATACAAGCAAGATGATTACTCACTGTGGCAGTGGTGACAATTGGAGTGCTGGCTCTTACAATTCAGGCTTTTAACGCTTCTCAGAATTAAAATCAGGATTAGAGCTCATCATCCGATGGAAAAGCTCTGTAAAGTAACTTATTTCCTGGTCTACAAGCTTCACTGTTGTACAAGTTGCTCGGCGTTTTCACGATAAATGGGGTGTATGAGTCCCACCTTTGCAGGAGTCTTATTTTTTTGAAGAGTCAGCATGGCAAAACTGCATTGGTCGATAAGCCCATGTTTGTGTATTTGAATCACGGTATATGCGCAGGTGGGAGCCAGTTTCAATATTCTCACTAACAAATCAAACGAGAAATATAACCCCCACAAAAAACTCCACACAGTATATGCGCGGGTGGGAGCCAGTTTCAATATTCTCACTAACAAATCAAACGAGAAATATAACCCCCACAAAAAACTCCACAAAAACTGTTCATACTTCTAAAAAAAATTTTGAGAAGTCTCACTGTTGTATAGAGTGCACTGCCAAAAAGTTTAGAAAAATATTTTCGACTAGGACACCGGAATATATGGTACCTCCGGTTCGGAGTCTGGGACCGCTGGAATGCCGCGGAAGAAAACATGCCTAAATGAAACTCGATGAAAAAAGCGACAATTTTTCGGCCTCAATATTTCGATTTAATGTTTCTTAATCAGGACGGCTTGCAAGCATTGCACACCCTTTCAAGCACATTTACAGCACAATTTCTGAGGAAAAAAAAAACCCGACCGTGAAAAGGTTAAGTACCCTCAGGGCGATCAGCATTTCAGAGGAAAGTATGACAAAGAATAAGAAAAAAAAATACACAGTAGAAATCACATTTTCTACAGAAAGAAAAAGTTTGTTGCATGCTATAACGCGTGCAGGTGTGGCCCAGTTGTGCCATTTTGATCAATTCTAGCTGGCGTGCACCTTGCTGCGCCCAAAGGGAAAAAATCACCGAACTACACCTAAGCAATTTGTGAACAAATTGGTTTTTGGAAAAGTTTTGTTTTTGTCTGGAAATTGTAAAAATCCAGTGAGGTTTGGCATTCACAAGCCAATCAAAGTAGGTGAGTTGGTTCATTCTTAATAATTGGTGAAAGCACAATAAACAAGGACAGAGACAGGCAGTAGAAAAAAATGAGTGCTGAACTTCAACTAAACATTTATCGATAGTTGTTTGGTTGAAGTTCAGCACTTGTCCCGTCTACTGCATATGCAGAGCGCAAGTTCGTCTGCTTCTTTTGCCGGGGTTGTGGCGACGTCCGGCATGTGTAAATTGAAGTGCAGAGAGCCACAGCATTGCACTTGCTGTGGCACGATGTTCACACGCACGCCTCCTTTTTTTTTTTTTTGACTCAGCAACCCTCAAAAAGATGGAACACCAAATCGTGGAGGTCATCGAGGAGCATTCGGACCAGGAGGAGATGGTGCAGGAGTGACCTTCCTCGTGTCACCCGCCACAGGAGTCATTCGCGTACACAATCATAAAGGTTTATTCGAGATGTTGAGCTGTTCAGCCCCGTGTCGTTTCTGCGCTTTTTATCTAATTTAATTTACCGACCCTCAATGCATGTAGCATTAAAGAGGGGAAGTGGGAAAGCAATAATTAGCCAGTATACATCCAAATGTTTTTTATCTCGATCCTACGGAATGTAAATCCAGGGCATTCTTTGGGGTTTGTGGTGGACATTTCTTTATTTTTTTGGTTATAGCATAGTATTTTATTCCAAACTGTCCTTTTTAACTTAGAATGTGTTGTATGGCTGGCACTTAAACATATCCATTTAGGTACCAGACAATGAAAGTCAACGCTTGTCTCATCGTCGTTTGGGAACCAGTGTTTGCCAAACTTCTTCCTTGAGTGCGTTCACGTTACTTCTGGCTGGGGTAAAAGTTCCCGTGTTCAGAAATACAGCAGCGCTCTGCTCTGTGAAAAGAACACGCTCCGGGCTTCCCCGGAGAAAGAGCGTAAGGCTCCTTTGCTGCAACGGGCCAAGATAGTTACGAGTGCTTTGTTCTCTTTTGACACGAGCTCGCTCTAGGGCTCTGTTCAGCACTGCCGCGTTAAAAGATCACAATCGGCAATCAGAAACAATAGAGGCTGGGAGGCGAGTGGTATAGGTTTATTAATTGCATTAGAATTGGTACCAGGGATGCCAACTTTATGATGGAGATACAGGCACAGACATAAAAAGGAGTGAAATGAGCCTTTCATGTAATGTCGTAACAAATTTTACGAAATAAGCCAAGATGGAGCCATTTTCTGCAAACCGGTAGATTTGGGAGTGAAAGACTAATTTTCGTTGTGGAAACACTTGCATTTCGACGGTGATCGCAGGAAACTGGGACATCATCGAAGGTGCTGGGCAAGTTTCCTGAAAACAATGACCAGTGGGAAGGAACGAGATTTGCAATGATCTGGCACCGATGCAACTTTTCTGGAGATACCGGAAAATGCTTGGCGTATCTGTTAGGAATTATTTTCTCGATGGATATGCCAAATCTCGCCTCATAGTCATCTCTATGGAGTGTCCTCTAAATGTATCGTGCCAGCTAGGCACAAGAGAAAAGGACACGTCACTTCCGAATGCCTTCAATCTAGCAGCTGCTGTGCTGTCATATTTATTTCATCTTCTCATTATGGCTCTTGCATAATAGGCTAGCTTCATAACCAATGCAGTAAAAATACTTTGCGCTTTTTTTTAACCGCAAACATTTGGTATCTACTAGTGATGGGCTGAACTTTTGCCGAATCTTGGGATTTTGCTGAGCCAAACTTTTCTAAAGATACAGCAAAAATACATTGTTGCCAGACTTAACATTGATATTTAAATTTTTGGCAAAAAAAGGATTTATGCTTTTTTTTTTCCTTAACTTGAATGCAACATGTAATATATGTTGATGCAGTTATTACTAAATAGGGTGATATTCTATCGGTGTTCTTGTGTGTTTACTGGCATTTTTGCAGTAACTTCTTGCAGAAATGGCGTGATGAGGTTGGGTGGTAGCATGCGCAAATCTGAATCGCACTACGCGAGTTTCGGTTGTGAGGCCTCATCAGCACAAGCCTGCAAATGTGTGTGCATTGTTAAAATGAAGGCAATAACACTGCATTCTCATTTTCTCTAAGAGTCACAGTTTCGTGCGCGAAAATGAATGGCTACTGGTTGCTGAGCCTTCACCAAAAAGATAACAGTATTATTGTAAATATGCATGTTTTTTTACTTGAGTCACTTGACGTCAGCATTTGCACGAAAGCGTGGGTCTCGGTTTCTGGTGTTGGGGCACACATGGATGTTTAGGAAGATGGGGAGAGTTAGGAATGCCGGATGTGCAATGTCGAACATGATAGTTCTGTGTTCAGTCTTATGCAGACACATGAAAATTGCGAAATAATGCTAATTAAAATGCAATATTTTGTTTCGGCACAAACTACTTGCGAGCCGAAAACAGGATTGTTATAATTGCAAGGAGTGCTTTAAAGTAATTGCCAGTCAATGTTTCAACTACTTCATGGCATTCCTGGAACGGTCAAATGATGTACCACATTATTTGTCACTTGCACAGTAGTCTGCGTAAATTACTGGTTGAACTTCTGTTCTTGAGGCAGAATATATTGAAGAGAACCACACTCGCAAAGGCTCATAAACATACAGTTACCGTGTTGTCTACTCCACACCTCGCCGTGACCGCTGGTTGTACTTCATTGTACGAAGGTAACCGCACAACTGCACGGTGACCGTTTGCATTCCATGGCCCCAACGCGTTCTCGTGCGTGCGTATACATTTGTCGAATTTTCGCCGAACTTTCCTTCAAAAGTTTTGCATGTGTCAAATTTTGCTGAATCTGAAGTTCGGCAGATTCGGTCTATTACTAGTATCTACCTAAACGCAATGCCGGTGGTCCGAACCGGTTGCCAAGGTGCAGAGCTTACCAACCCAATTTTTAAGCGATTTTCAGATATTTTCAATGGCAAAAAGGGTTGAGTTCCCCATAGCCATCAACCTCTGTTTCTGGGCTTTGTCGGCTGCCGTTTTCTTACCGAAAATGGCTCAACTTCTTAATCAAACAGCAGGAAGCTCCGAAACTCTGGCATTTGGTCTGGACCACCAGTGCCACTTTTGGGTGGAAGCGTTTGGCAACGCATACTTAGGACCAACTCTTCAAGGAAGGAAGTTGGGATGGGACGGGACAAGACGGGTTGGGGGGGGGGGGGGGGGTCTGGGTCTGGCTGGCTTGCTTGCTGCGGGTATAGTGGCACCAGTGTCGCTCTGATTTCCGGCCTGCCACAACTTTTCATGCTAAAGTGGCTAAAGCCTCTCACAGCCAACGATAGCCGCTACAGCATTGCTTTGTGCGATTCATGCCAACTTTGTGCTTTGCAATGTAACGCACGTTTTTGGCCGTGCGACCCTTAACGAGTTCCTGTCATGGAGCTGGAGATGGAACCTTGCATCCAAACAGACGTATGACAAGCAGTCGGACAGAGCGTCTTCTCTTGGTGTACCACTGCCTTGACAAAATTCAAGTGAAACAGTGATGCAAGAGCATTTGGCAGATGGAAGTTTTACTAACTGGACTGGTGGTAGCAAGGCACCCAGTAGCGAGATTGTAGCAAATCTGGCCGACACCTTTTGAGTTCCAGTCGTGGCACTAGACCGGATCTTACATGCATACAGGCATATGGCAAGCAGTCGAACCAGTCAACATCTTTTGTTGTACCATTCGCGAGGCAAGATTCAAATGAGAAGGTAATGTGGGAAAAGCATTTGGCAGAAGGAAATGAGAGCAAGCCTTAAAGGACACATGCAAAGGAAAAAAAAAATTTTTTTAGACAGCTTAGATGGAAAAAGGATGTCATAAAACGATTTTACAACGAAGAAACAAAATTTTTAGAGCTATATTTACGGCGCTATACGAATTTGTAGTTGGCGCTCGCGGGAGCCGCCGCTGGTCACGTGGTAGGCCCGCGCGCCGCCGCGCTGCGTCGCCGCCGCACGCTGAGCGTTGTGCGAACGCCGCTTCAACGCGTTTCTCCACGGCGCCGTCGCCGCCGCCGCACAAGTTCGTCTGCTTCGGGGCGCCGCCGCCGTCGTCTGACCGGCGCACAGGTCTATCACGTCTGCTTGCGCTTTTTCAGGAGTTTCCTTTGGACTCTAAAAGTTACTTATTCGTCTTGGTTTTTTGTTATACTTCAAACAAAGATGAATAAGTTACTTTTAGAGGCCATAGGAAGCTTCCGAAAGAGCGCAAGCACCACGTGATAAATAAAGACCAGTCACGTGATAAATACAGACCACTTTTCCGCGGTGCCCGCGGGCGCCAACTACAAATTCGTTTTGCGCCGTAAATATAGCTCTAAAAAATTTTTTTCTTCGTTGTAAAATCGTTTTATGGCGTCCTTTTTCCATCTAAGCCGTTTAAAAAAAATGTTTTTTTCCTTTGCATGTGTCCTTTAAGGACCAAATCCGGCGCACACAGCTGTCCCAACAGGGACGATGCAAAACTCGGGACGCTTCATGAAAAGTCAGGACAGTCCCGCAAAATCCGGGACAGGTGGTAACCCTATGCATACTTTATTGTGGTTTATATGTGCAAGTATCCTCTCGGTGTACCCAAATGGGGCTAACCTGACCACTGACGAGCAAAGTACCAAGACCCGACCATGCACGCTGGAAGAGAGGCAAACTTTATTCAATGGCTTGCGAGGACGCTTCCCCAGAGTCCAGTCCCAGCCTGTCCAGTGTCCAGGCAAAGTGCCTGGGCAGCACTGGGTCGACCAACAGGAGGTGCTCGCCCTTGCCCCGGTAGTGCGGCAGGAGCAGCGACCGGTAGTGCACCATGGCCGGCACCATGCGGTGGCCTCTGGTACCCTCTGCCACCTCCAGCCGCCGGCACACCGCCTCTGGAAGGGACTGTCGCGCACAGCTGTGAGCATGGGGCATTGCGAATCGAGGGGCTTGCCGCAAAAATCGGTGCCCACAAGCAACGAGCTGACTTTCTCCAAAGGCCTACTTAATGGTGTGTTTGCACGAAAAAGATTTTTTTTCGGAGAAGGGGGTTAAACATTATAGAGTATTGAGGTTTGATTATTCCCCGAGCCTAGAGCCACAGTACAGCGACACAATGCAAAAAGGCCTAGATGCACAAAGTCGGAAGCGCCAATAGTGATCTGCATTTTGGGCCACGGTAACCAAGCTGCTAGCAGTGCCTGGTGGCTTTCTTATTAGTATGACTTATTTTACCTTTTTATTGAAATGAGGTAAAAGTGAATAAAAGCCACATAAAAGCATGGTTGGCATACTGCCGCAGGCATATCTGAAGTTTTGAGCGCCTCGCTATGCTCAATGCAGGCAGCGATGCGCAGTGACAATCTGAACTTCGTGCTGCTCGATAAACGAAAGAAGCAGATGGTGGGTATGCAGGCGGTGCTCTGGAATCTCCCAACGCTACTTTGGCAGATGTCGGCGTGTTTGGCTCTGTCCGTTCATGAAACAAAAAACTCCGCTGACTCGACTAAAGGCAACTTGGTCTTGCAAATGCTAGCTCAATTTCTGAACCACCTTTTCCTTCTCGCGGCCTTTCCGCCTTGTAGCTCTACGGCATACTCGGTTTTCTTCTGTGATAAAGATTGGTCGCGTGATAAACACAGAAGTGTTTATCACTCCCAACATTTTGAGGCCTAGCTTCGTTTCCCCGAGAAATGATGACGACATTATTATCGAGACTTCCAACGACAGGCACTGATGCAGACGATCGAGTGCGGTGCCCGTGGCGCCATCTCTCGACAAATGCAGCAAACACTCGCAACTGTCGTCTGCTTTCAAGAGGTTGCTTCCCGCCCTTGTCAGGAGATGCCCCCACAAGCACGACTCTGGCCACGTTCCAAATTTTTATTTGGTTCTCGCTCCAGAGTGAAGAACCTTGCCATTCTAGAACCTTCCTGCATCCAACATCGCTCTATCTGCGACTGGATGTGCTTGTCACTTGACAGGACACGCTGCAGTATAACAGGCACCCCTTGCATTCGCCTCCACTACTAAGTCGTCCCGGTTGCAGCGGGCAACAGCAGGAGACCTCTGCGACGTCGTAAGGCGTAAATTGCGGGGCCACATGGGAGCGTAAGTCACCTGTGGAGTAGAGGCGGCCGCCGCCCCCGGGGACAGCAGCAGGGGCTTCCCGAGCACGTTGGCCACGTGTGAAGCATAGCTCAGGTCGCCCAGCACGCACGAGGCCTTGCTGGCCGAGTAGGCACGGAAGAAGTGCCACTGGGCTGCACAAAAGACGCATGATTCGAGAGGCGTCAAAAACTGGAATAGTTGGCACTCATTCACTATAAAACGGAGCACACAGAAAAAAGCAAGACGTACGACAGATGAGCGCTCATGTGTCGTAACAGTTCTTTTAGCACCAATAGTGGGAACCTCCTCCGGAAATTCCGTGGTCGCGTAGCAAGAGCATGTTTCGAAAAGCAACGAGCGCGCACTAGAGGCCAGGTGTCCGAAAGAGATGCCATGCCGTTCGCACTTTGATGGTGGCTGTAGCCAACACCTTGTTGTACCGGCGCCTGTGCAAACCCCTCTGAGCAGACAAACTCTCATACCGTATGACTATACCTCGGAAAGTTTGTGTTGGGTCCGAAGAACGCGACTTTCAGTTACGGCGCGCCGAGGAGGCTCATCATAGACTAAGTGTAGATTGGACACGGGAGTGCGATTGAGAGCAGAAGCAAAAATGGAGTGAAAATCCTTAGAGTCGTGCTCGGGAGGAGGCGAGAGCCAAGATGGCGCACATTACGTGGCAGCATAAACGCACTCAGATTCTTTTTGTTCCTCTTTTATAATTGTACAGCCTCAGTATTTATTATCCCAGGCCCACAACATTTCCTTGAGGGGACAGCCAATCAGGTAGAATAAAATAATAAAAAGAAAATTTGTCTCGGGACTTAGATTATGATGTTCCCTAACCAGCTCGCCTGCATACCTTTGCTTTTTGCTCTTCCAGTATACACCTTTCCAGTGCTAATCACCAGGGTAAAAAATGCAGAGTCGGTGAGCCGCGCAGCGTTCAATATCATGCAGAAGAGAGCTACTGCACGTGCTTGGCACGCGTACCACAGCCCGATAGGCAGAGAAAGCAGCGCACCGTTGGAATGACCCATGGTCGCATGGCAGGTTCATGAAGCCCAAAGGCTGGTTCACACATATGTGATTGAGTGTGCCCTTGTGCGCTCTGTCCTTTTGTAACCGCCAACAACAGAGCACACTGATACACAGGCGCTACCAACCAGATAGCCCCAGGTGCTCGAACATTCTAGACAAAATGCTCGAGATACCGAGTGTAGATAAGGAGGACAGTGTGGCCTTGCCAACTCACTCTCCCGACGACGACAGACTCTCGCGCTAGCCAGCTGTGACGCCGACACCTCGACGCTCGTTCTTTCTGTTGTTTCTGGCACAAGCTCACCTTTCAAACCTTTATTTTCAGTTTTATGCTGCTGAAGCCTTTTTTATCTGCGACAGTATAACTGTACTGGTGGTTTTGCAGCACCTGCGAGGTCAAGTCTGCGGACAATCTACGAGAAATGGTCACTTCTAACGCCGTTGAAATCGTGTCGAGCCACGATGAAAGAATGATGCGTAAAGAGGTTACAAAAATATGCCCACTAATTGAAAAAGTTCCAGGGCCACCTAAGAGATGGTGCTACCGTGCCAGTGTGTCCAGAGCCGTCTAATGAGAAAGTCTGGCCGGTTTATGATCTGGGCGCCATATCCACAACCCTCTCGAGTGAGTCAATCAGCCCGCGGCGCAGAGCGAGAGGTGCGAGCGCATGTGCGTGAACTCCCGGCTGCTCTCAGATGAGCGGGGAGGGCTGCCATTTTTAATGATTCGCCCGGCAGAATGCATGGGATCGGGATCTAAATTTTGGTTATTTCCTTTTATATCGCTGGCTCTGGCAAGAAAATTATATACTGTTATTCCCCAGTGGGTTAAAAAGCTAACGAATTAAGCTTTCTCAATGTTTGACCGCAAACTCTCATTAAGGCGAAAAAAAAAGTCTGCCCGTAGCAGACGACGTGTAGCCTCAACAGTGCCCTGCACCGAAAGCGTGCTGCGTCAAAATGGCAATTGTTTCCTCTTTGCTCCTTGCTTTCTCTTTCGCGCTCCTTCGGTGCTCAATTCCCTCTCCTCCACTTTTCTCCTCTCCAGCACCTCCGTTGCCACACCCACTGGCCAGACTCTCCCAATATACAGCTCTGAGTGTGTCGAGCCGTTACAAAGAAATCGACGCACTTGAGCGCGGTCGTATGCAAATGTGCAAAGTATGCGGGTAGAAACCGAGGGAGAGGAGGAGACGAGAGCGCGCAGGGTAGTCGGAACACCGAGCCCTGGTTGGAATGATTAGTGGGCAGAAGCAAAGCGTCAGTTAACGTTCTGGAAAAGAGCATGCCGGACGTAAACATACCTGAGGTGGTGGCGATCTCGAGCAGGCTCACGGAGAGGGTGGGGTTTTTGGCGAGCGTCCGGCACTCCACCGTGACGGGCTTCACAGTACCCTTCTTGACCGACGCACTGCCAAAGTCCCTCACGATGACCGCCTGCAGTGCAACGAGTGACGCGCCTTGGAACATTTCCAATCGCTTGCAATGCCGCTATTACGAACCACAGTTTGAACACGGACATACATGTTGCCCGGATTTCTAGGCCGCTTCGAAAGCTGCCGTTCCTTCGAGCTAGAGGAATTGCTCTCGGCATTGTTTCTAGACTTATCGATTGGGTTTCATGCAAAAATGTCAAGTGCGACCGGCAAGCAATTCAGACAGGAATATACTACACGAGTCGGAGGAATTGTTGGCCCTTTGAAAAAAAACTGTATAAATCAGTTTCTGAGCCTATTGACCTAAAATATTGTACAGGGGTGGCTAAAAGTGCTGCACTTTCAGAGAATGAGCTTACCCGAGCTTATTAGAGAGAATTCGCTGCCTACGATGGCCGTCTGCTAACAAAAGGCCTCCCAATGGTGCAACAGCCGGCGGATAAAGGCGGGATAAGCATGAGGGTGCAGACATCCAATATAGGACGCAATGTTTTGAGCCAAATGCTGCTTGGGCTTTTTCGGTGTAGTGGATAATTTTATTTTTACTAATGAAATGCACCGAATGGAGATAACGCCCACAAGAAAAATGCTTGGTCGGGCTATTTCGGCTGCGTCAACAGCTGCCATCGATTTCTGCACCGAGTGGATGCTTTTTGTTAGCAGACAGCCGCCGTAGGTAGTGGATGCACACTAAAACTTTTTTTACTCTTTACTCCCTTAAGAATATTCTTTGAAATATGCACCATCTTCTCCCACTTTCGCACAAGATCATAGCTTGAGACGCTAAGAAACCGATTTCTGCAGTTCTTTAAAGGGACACTGACAGGGTATTTATGCTCGCCGAGGTTTTTATTTGAACATGACCTATAGAAGTCCAACTGCCCAGAACACAATTTGCGGCTCAAAATTTGTTTTCTTTCCGCCCAAAAAAAGCCGGTCGAGAATTAGCCGGTTTCAGTCGCGCTCACTCTCATTTCCATGGTCACGTGGGCATTCAAACTATATGTACCATATATATTCAAAGTTGAGGGCCATCTAAGGCACACATTCAATATTCAAGATGGAAAAGAACATGAACCCCATTTTCGCGGTCTCCAAGAAGCTGCAAATACGTTGATCGATACAAAACAATGTTGTTCAAGTCACAGGACATAATTGTGCATGTCATACTCAATATGGCGGCGTACCGCGGGCTGGACGACGCCATGGCGGCGCACAACAGACCAACACTGCGACAAACGGGGGGCCGCCAATTCAGAATTGTTTTTTGTAATACCGGCCAATCTATCTTTAAGCGCAGAACATCAGCACAAGAGATATAGATGTGAAACAATCGTACAACAAATGGTTCATGCAAGTTCGTCGTTGTCGTCCTCTGCTTCAAAAACTAGAGGAACGGAGGAAAAAAAAAAAAAAAAAGGCGGTCGGGTGTAGTTACGTGATTGCCAGCCATGAGCTCCCGTGCTTGTGTTTCAGTTTCGAGCAGTAGAGCTTTTTGGCTTTATCAAAACTATGTGACTCTGTGGCAAATTATTTAATGGGTAGTCTCCTGAAAAAAATTTGTTTGGGGGGTGTCAGTGTATTTTTTTAAAAGGACCAATAATCCCTTTGACTCGCGCAGTAGTGAGGAGACGACTTGCGCCGGGGCCTATACCGTCTATAATTTTCCACTTGTTTCCAGAGTACAACTGGGGTTTTGTGTTTTCGGTATGCACTGAAAAACCCCAAGAAGTGGCCTGCCAAACAGTTTTATCGAAACCCGAAAAGCCCCAAATCAGAGCTGTTCTCGAATAAGAAGAAGCCAAGCTTGGTGAAAAGAAATCTTTTTCTATGGGGTGTTTACAAGCGCTATTCAGGCGTAAAATAATTCATGGAAATAAACTTATGAGCGGAGCACATTTAAAACTTTTCACAAAGGTGTCTTTAGGTGGCACATTTATGTCACACTCGAATTTCACTAGAGCGGAATTTAGAAAAAAAACATTTGAGCCAGTAAAATCTTGTCTCTTCCTGCGCACAGAGAGGAAAGACAGAAACAAACTGTATGGTTTGCTTTGAGGTTACAGCACATTAGACAAGGACAAACCGAGAGACACACAAAGAGACGAAGACAAGTGCTGACTTTCAACTCCTTTGTATTCTTCTTCTCCTTCCTCTTCACAAAACTATTTTAAATACCAGATGATTATAAATAAAAACAAGGAAAAAATTTAAGTCTTCTCACAAGTCATTGCGATCATTGAGCTAAATATTCTAATTCTTTTTCAGATAGCGTTAGGGATGGGCTACAGACACAATTATCTTTTAGGCATGCAATCATCTCTGCCTTTACTGTTTCTCTGGTGAGAGGGTTCTTACTCCTAGCTATGACTGTACTTTTCTCGAAATCTGCTGAGCACCCGTAATCCCTGCAGTGGATGCCGAGATGTGCAGAAATGACTTTGTGGGTATTATAATGGTGTTCTCTTAATCAATCATTTAAACACCAGCCAGTCTGTCCGATATATTTCCTACCACACCAGAATGGAATAGAATAAACCACTTCTAAGTCAGCGCTTGTTTTTGTCTCTTTGTGTGTCTCTCATTTTGTTCTTGTCTTTTGCACTGTAATCTAAACATGAATCACCAACTCACCCAAGCTTCCGTAAAATGACCGCCGCATTGACTTTCTTTATACGCGCATCCTGGACATCGAAACTAACCCCTGCCCGAGGACCTTCCTTGAATCTTAGCACATTCAGACACCGCAAACAAACATTAATAGCTCTCTTGGCGCACTGCCACCTGTGTATGTGAACGAGCTCGACCATGTGTCATAAAAAAGCAGCCACAGAGGAAGCAGAAGGAATCGTGCACATTTGCCACCGCCATAAAAGAAAAAGAAGATTGCAGCTCCTTTCTTCGGTAGTCGCCCCTAAAGAAGAAGCCAACCAGGCTTCGAAACGTCGGGCCTCTGATTTAGATTGGTTGGTCATCCTATTTTAATATTTATTTCCCCTAACCAGAGAGACGTCTGTCTAATGTTTACTTTCAAACTTCCGTATTAATGTATGGTTTGCGCCGCCGCTCACAGACGGCATTACACACGCTCAGATCTGCCAGATCTCCTTTTGGGAGCATTTGAAAGAAGCTTTCATGCTCTTGCTTTATGTTGCACCATCTGTGTGGTATCAACTATATGGTATTTGCCGCTTTCCTCTTTGTGCGTAAGAAAAACAGATTTCTTAGGCTTAGATTTATTTTTCTGAAACCTGTACTCCTGAACTTTGAGTATGATAATGGCACCACCTAGAGTCTCATGCCCACGTTCCGTTTTCCTTGACGTGGGCCTCGATAAATGCCCTTTCTTTTCTGTTTGACACTGAAAACCGACACCAGAAAACGCCTAATCTGTGGGGGGGGAAGGGGGGGGGGGGGGGGAAATTAACTCAAAATTACAAGAAAACTAAATTATAAACCATGCAACCCCTCTCTCACCACCTTTTTGCCACATATGTTGTTGTAAAATTTTCACCCCAACTTTCTGCCCACATGTAAGTTGTACTTTTTTTTTAATTTACGGCAAATATAATATAACTATTTTTCTAATAGTGCCCTCTTCTATTTGATTTGTGCTTTCAAAAGTCAAAATACTTCTGCGTCGTCCACAGTGTACGAGACATTCGTTGTCGGTAGGCGCGAAAAATAAAATTAGGAATAGATCGATCAACGAAGCCGCGAATTAGCGCCCTTTCACTTAAAACCGAATACTTGTGATCTCTTACGACGAGAGGACACGCTGGCGCCTCTCTGAGGTGACCCTGAAACTGCATTCCACTGGAGCGAAAAGTTTTGCGGTATTCGTGAGATTAGATTTATGTTACTAACTACGAGAAATAGCCACTTTAAACATTGGTAAGAGTGTTTCGAGCCATGAAAGAAATAACGATGCGCGAGAAAAAATAGGATATCTACGGAAACCATGAATGTTCCACGGCTACCCGACAGATGGCGCCAGCGCGTTCGCTCGTCGAGAGAGACGTTAAAGGGTTTTTCGCAGGTGTGCGAACCGGCCTTCAGGGGCATTACCTGTTTTTCCTCCTCGTCGACAGGAACAAACTTCATGCCCACCCTCTCCCGAATGGTCTCCTGGGTGGGGTAGCCCTTGACGATGACCCTAGGAAAGAGAGGAGAGTCGCAGTCTCGGACCGAATACCACCAACGCCGCGAGGGCACGAGCAACAAGCTATGCAGAGAGCAAGTCGTCCGCTTCTTGCGCAGGAGCTGCAGTGACGCCAGAACGACGCCGAACTCCGATTAGCTTTGATTAAAAGGATAGTGGGTAGACCTCGATGCTAAATGCCTCAAGGTCTCAAGGTCCTCCTCGGTTTCTCGGCGCATAGTAATGCGTGACCTTTACAACGTCTGTGGGCTTTTGCGCCACTTTATTGCGTTAGTGGCGAGACTAGGAGGAGCCCCTCGGCGGTGGATCAAAAGGGTCAGGAGTTCCTCGAGATAGAAGAGATGGAGAAGCCCCGTGGCAGAACACGGCCTAATTACTTTGAATAAATGGCCGCTACAACAGATACATGCAGAGAAGGTGAGAAATGTTATGGTAGAGAGATTGTCGAATAATTTCCAGACTCTAGATAACTACTATTTTACTCAATGTCACATCGAGAAAAAACTAAATTCCGCAGATTATTCGTAGGCTGCACAAAGTAGCTCTTACGAGATATCGTTGCCAGAGAAGGAAACAACGCTTCTGCCGTTTTAACTCTGTAAGTCTCGATAAAATAATGGCAAGTTATTTTAAAATTCACCCATCTGGTGGCGGTGTGCGCGACCAACAAAGTCAGTGTCATCGGCCTTCCACAATTGGTCAAACACTCACTATGACGTCTTTCGTAGGAAGAGTTCTGCTCTCAGCGACAGAAATAAGAGCAAAGTCAGACTCTGAACTTTGACGGCGTTGAATTAGGAATGTGATAACCAGGCCTCCACCGCACTTTTTACGCACCATCGAACTTGTCGCTCGCTACTAATATTCTCGGTCCTGATGACAGTGATAGGAACCACAAGAGAGCGCCACCGAAACATCTCGTCGCCAATAGTCGGTGACAGGTTAAGTATTCAGGGGAAGCTCCTCCCACCCCTTTCCACTTTAGCAGAACGAACGCTTAAAAGGAGGCGACCTACTCTCAAGCATTCGCTCTGTTAAAGTGGAAAGTGTGGAGCTTCCCTTGGGTGGAGCTTCCCTTGAACTCTTAACCTGTCACTGATTATATATATCTTAATTCACCACATAAAGCAGTAAATCAGTAGTGCTCTGTGAAAAGCTGAACATTTTTTACTATGGTTCTTGAGGTGATTATGAGTATGGTGGTTAGGATGGATTTGTTGCATTCAAAAGCATACAACAGGTGTGCCAGCTCTCGAAAGAAAGGCGTCGGTGGGATTTGAATCTATTCTCTGTCCTACGGTCCTCTTTTGTCCAGCCTAAATAGGCAAAGGGGGTGGAGCGGGGACGACGGTACGACGTGTGACCCACCATGCGGTGATGTAGGGCAGCAGCATCGGCTTGGCCCTGAGCAGGGCCCTCCTCGCTTTTTCGGCTGCCCCCTCATCTGCCGCCAGCAGCGTCAGCCCACTGGCATACCTGGGTGAAGCAGTGTGCACGGAATGCTGAACAGGTGTCTCATACATAGGATTCCGTGTTCTCTGAGCCTACTTCTTGCAAAATTCAGAGGGTGTTTCTATGAGTTTATCTCTTTTTGCAAGAAATTCGGGGTCTATCAGAGTTTGCTTTTGTTAGATTCCCAATTCTGTGAAATTATGAGTTTAACTTTACCCTGTTTTCATTTTTTTTAAATGAACATACAGTTGGCTAGCGATGATTCAAATTCGGATATTTTGTACTTCTGGCTAATTCAAACAAATTTTTAAATTTTGGATGTTTTATTATGCTTTTAAAGGGTGCTGAACCAAAATCTGGATTCCACAAAACACAGCGGCAAAAGCATGCACGGGATGCTACAAACAGCAAAACATCACTCGTACAATGATATCTCGAACGGATGACCATATTTTTCAAAAAAAGGAGGCGCATTTGACAGATAAGTTGACGTCTTGTTTTTCCGAGAAAGAGAGGGAACGGCCTTGCCTCTTCTCCGCCTCGCCACCTTGAGGGGGCGAGGCTAAAAGAGGAGGAAATGAGATATGTTGACGTCAAGCGCCTCGTCAGCCTCGTTCCATCTCAACCTCTTTTTCCAAAAATACGGCCGTCCATTCGAGATATCGCCTTACAAGTAGTGTTGTAGGGATTGCAGCGTCCCGCCTACAGCTCCTGCATTGTTTTCTGAAATCCAAATTTCGGTTCACCATCCGTTTAATGTATTCACAAGCCGCTTAATTCGAACGGCGTTTTTATGCAATTCATACTTTTCGCAGCTTCTCCGCCTACTAAAATAAATACGTAAAATAGTTCGCTTATCGTTTGCAGATAAGCTGAGAGAAAGGCTACTCATGCATCCATTGTCAAACCTGGCAATATGCTTTGCTTCAATTATTTCCCTAGTTAGTTGATCGCTGTTTCGGTCTAGCACGGAGCAACTACGTAGTTAGGCCGCACACCCGCAATCCTGGCAGTGCAGATCTAGATGCCCTGAGTTGGCTCTAGTAATGTTATTGTGGTGTTCGCGAAGTCTATCGTTGAGGTACTGTCCAGTCTGGCCGATATAGCGTTTTCCACAGGAGGGAGGAATGGAGTATACAACCTTTTCTGTGCAAAGGACAAGACTGGTTTTGTGCTTCTTAGTGCAGCTCTCTGATCAATTTGAAGGAGTGTTCACTTTCTTGCACAAGCTGGAGAGTTTGTTCGTAGCTGAGAATATCCCCTCAACGTTGACTTTTTTCAGTCCATGGGACAAGTTGTGAATATAAGGCACAACAATAGGCCTAGTTGACCTGTCTCTTGGTGGAGGTTGAGTGACCTCCCGTCTTTTCATATCTTTGAGGAGGTCCTCTGTAATCAACGTTGATAAGACACTGCGGTACCGTGTTGATGTTTGTCAAGAGATTTGCTCATCGAAGCTTGTTTTGATCAAATGTTCGCATGATTTGTTAAAGGGGTACTCCAGCGATTTTTTTTAGGTCGCTGATTTGCCTCAAATTTAGCTCAACACACCGATACACACGCCTGTACCAGTTCCCCAAGTATTGTGTAAAAAGAAAAACATTTCGCAAAGTTCTTGAATTTTCGAATTTAGCTTTCATTGTGTTTCTTAAACCCAGAGCCCCTACTGGCAACATTGAAGTGTGACGACAGAAATGGTGCAAAGTGGGTAGTAAACCATGTTCCCAACTGATTACAAGACGTTTGATGGTGGGAAAAGGATGCTTGGTAGCTGATTCACTGAGAAGCACGCAAAAAACACAAGACATACCCTGTTTAAAACTACCTGCGTGACCTGAAAGTCTGTACCATCTGCGACGTCGCACCGCTGGAGAGAGCATGCAAATTTAAACGCTGGTTTCGGCATTACCTTCCATTTACGGTTTCCTCAATTGCTATTTTGAATTTCGAGAAAATAAACACCATGCTGTGAAGACTCAAGTCCGGGTAGCCAGAAAATTCAATTCGTTTGGGAAGCTCAAAAAACAGCCCGAGTGAGTGAGTTTTTAAAGCATAGATTCACGATGCCTCTCTTGACCAGCTTGGAGTGTGCAAAGTTGAAGTGAAATAGTGGCTTTTTTCCCCATGGCTCATATGACCAGCATATGTGACCACTCTATAAATATAGTCGTAGATTCAGGAATCTGATGGATTTCTTGTCTGAAAGCTCTTGGATAAGCTCCAACAGATTCATGCAGCCTTTGGAACTTGCAACTCGCACACTGCTAGGAAGATCAAATAATCATTGATGTATCGAAATATTTTCATTATATCTGAGGTGTTTAAGCTTCTTTGCAACAATCTATCGTGGTATGCAAGGTAAAGGTCGCTGAGCACCGGGGTGATAACGACCCAGTGGCAAAGGCAGGGTGATACATGACCCTGGTGGCAAAGGTGGATTGCAAATACAAGGTAATTAAATCAATGAATTTGTCTTGGGCGATACCCGTAGCGTTTTGGAAGGCGACGGTACTAAAGGAGTCTATGCTCTCTTCAATGCAGTGTAAAAGACGGTCATGAAGTAGCGAGCAGTAGAAGTCTTTGATGTCGATTGAAAAAACGTTCAAGTTGTTGTCACCACACTCGATTAAGAACGTTGTTACTTCGTTTGAGCTCCTAATTAAATAAGGATCGTCAATCGTGAGTAGGTTTAGTCTTTCTTGGAGTAAAAATGTAACTGACTTCTGCCAGGTTCCCTTTTTGGAAACAATAACTCTGAGATGGGCAATAGGTTTTATGTGCTTTTGCACTGAAAAATAATTCCAGGCTTAAAAGTTTGCTGCGGTCTATGTAGGAGCAGAGCTTTTTTTAATTCCAGCGACTGACAGTCTTTTAGCTTCACTCTCGATCTTACTTAGTCGTTATGGCATTAGAAAACAGACTCAATGGCTGAAAGGGCTTGTGTTCCAAACAGGTTGTAGTGTATCAACACAAAGCCTCCCTCTTTATCCGCTGGCATTAGAGCCAAGTGGTGCTCCTTAAGGTAGCTCACCACCTTCTTGGTAGGGTTGAGGCCTGTGATTTTTGTTGCAAAAGTATGTCAACTCCTTCAGGGGTGACGCGATCAGATTCAGCTTCTGGAGCAGAGTGGGAAACTTGTCTGACCGTCGACAGTAGCTCTGGTGGCGACTTTCCTGGTTGTACAGCGAACTTAGGACCAAGGCTGAGGATGAGCTGCACCATCTGTGTTGCAGAGGTATGTCTCCGATAGCGTGCACAGGGTTACTTGGTGCCAGCACTTTTTGCGCGAAGCTTGCTTCCGGGGGTGTTGCTTCTCTACAGTGTACAAATGCTCAGTGAGAAACGCACTCAACAGAGCTCAAGCAGGAGACACATGAGCTATGCAAACGGGCACCACATAGAAATTTCCATAGCAACTTGCACGGACGCTATGACATGGCGGCATGGATTAGGTTCACGTCACAACGTCCGTGCAAGTTGCTACGAAAACTGCGGCATGGTGCTTGTTTTCATTTCTCATGTGTCCCCTGCTTGATAGTCCACATTAGACAACTCCTTGGCCTGATGAAAAAACTTAGTTTTGTTTTGAGTTGTCATGTGCTGCCTAAACAGTTAACAATAAATTGCATCTCTGACAGCTAAATAAACTTGTCATACATTTCACAAAAGTTTTATGAGTGGCATACCTACTGCACATAAGGCCTATGTAAAGGAAATCATCAAATATCTGCTTTGTATGTGTAGCCATTCATATGGCAAATCATAATTTTATCTTGCATCATATTTAAATGAATTTATGATAATTCAAACAAAATTTGTGGCTCCCTGGAGTTTGAATTGTTGAGTCTACCATAAATAATGTCTGGACAAAACCAATGTTGCATTTGGCATTGGCGCCCTTGCGATTGGCAGTACTAATTGTCCCATGACAAATCTTGATAATAATGTTACTCCAATAAACGTCGGTACTTTGATATAGCCAAACTCCTGGACACATAAAACCTCCAGCTGCCCTCCCCATCCTATGATATCAACAAGTTCACATCTTTCACTTTTAGGAAAACACAACCTTTCCTCCCTCTAAGAAGCACAAATGGCATGGTTCAAACTTGAAACTGAAACAGTGGCTCTTGTTGCAGTCCAGAAATACATAGGCCCATTGTACTGAACAAACCTTGAAGAGATAAACGGGAAACTCCATCTGGTCAATAGTCCGAGATAAAAAAATACTGAATTGGCCTTTTTTCAGGACCATTAACCCTGCGCTCCGATTAACTTTATTCGTAAAATAGCCGCGGGGAATGCCGAGGCGACTGACCTCTCCGCGGACTTAATGCAGAAGAGGCGCTTGTGGTTCAGGTGCTGCGAGAGGCCCTCCAGCGCATCCTCCAGGCTGTACGGCGACTCCCCGAACCCGGTGACGTGGTGCCGCCGCTTAGTCAGGGACACGGCTCCTGCGCTCATGACGTACATTGAAGGCTGGTTCTCACATACGGCGAAGCGCTGAATCGACACTAGAAAAGCGCCGATTTGGCGCCGATAAAATGCGTATATCACACAATGAACTTTCACCAAATAAAATTGTTTTCAGTGCGATATGTACATCGCGAGGCTCGTCTTGAGTTGGGAGTGATTGTTAAACATGCTTCTATCGGTTCTGGAATCGTTCCTAAGTCAAGATCGATCTCGCGGTGTAGATACTGCACTATATTCCTTCTTTCAGAGACAACTTATTTCGTGGCATACATGTACCACCCAGGTGTTTAGAGAGGGACAGGTATTTAAAGGGACAATGACAACCCCCCAAAAACTTTTCCTTAACTTTTTGACAGCCAATCCATTATAGTGTCAGAAGACTAGCCAATCAGTATTTTGCTACAGTGTCATGTATATTTTTAATAAAGTAAAAAAACGCAACTGTTCGAAACCAAAACTGGACTGGGGAGGAAGAAGAAATATAGAGGATGAGAAAGATACCAAAAATCATGTAATTGTGCAACCTATTTTTTTTTTTAATTAACGTATTTGCAGTTTTTTAGAAGCTACAAAAAATGGCTATCTCATCTTTTGTTAATTTCTAGTATTGAGTGTGTGCCTGTGATAACAAACGAATTTGATTATCTATGGTGGCTATGCCTAAACCATACAAAATGGCACGTGACCACAGAGAAGAGATAGAGCGAGACTCAAACCGGACAGTTTTCGATTGGCAGTTTTCGGGCAGAAAGAAAATTAATTTTAAGCCGCAAATTGTATTCTGGGTAGTTGGGCTCTCATATGTCATGTACATATAAAAATCTTGGCGAGCATAAATACCCTGTCAGTGTCCCTTTAGAGGGACACTGACAGTGTGTTTATGCTCGGCGAAGTTTTTATTTGAACATGACCTATAAGAGTCCAACTACCCAGAACATAATTTGTGGATTAAATTTCGTATTCTTTCCGCCCAAAAACAGCCGGTCGAGAATTGGCTAGTTTCAGTCGTGTGCACTTTCTTTCTTGTAGTCTCATGGTGTTCAAACTATCTGTACCGAATATATTCAAAGTCGTGGGTCATCTAAGGCACATATTCAATATTAAATATAGAAAAGAATATGAATTCCATTTTTGTGGTTTTTAAGACTGCAAATACGTTGATTGAAAAAATAATGTTGCACAGATTATAGGAATTACATGTACAAGTCATTCTCAAAATGGCAACGTACCGCAGGCTGTACGGCGCGATGGCGGCGCAAGGTGACAAGGGGCTACTACTTCGGAACTTTTGTTTGTGGTACCGGCCAATAGGTCTTTAAGCACAGAACATCAAGTGGAAGAGACATAAGTTTACAACAGTCGCACGACAAATGGTACCTGCAAATTCATCGTCGTCGTCATCTGCTTCACATGCTGGAGAAGCGGAAAAAAAATGTGGTCGTGTGTAGCCACGTGATTTCCGGCCATGAGCTTCCGTGCTCGTGTTTCGGTTTCGTGCAGTAGAGTTTTTTGCCTTTATTAAAGATATATGCGGCTCTCCAGCAAAATACTGATTGGGTAGTGTCCTGACACCATATTAAATCATACAGCAAAAAAAGGTACACGGCTGTACAAAAAAAAATGTACCATATTAAATTATATACAAAACAATTGGCACGAAGGCAGAAGGAAGTGAAGCGCAGTGACCAAAACTTGTCTGACTGGTGCGTTTATGTCCCATCCCGCACATGCATCAAAAATGGTTCCCAGGTGGCAACAAATGACACCATAGAAACTGGCATGTCATATGGCCGGATGCTGCAATCCAGTTGGTGCCTGAAGTCCCAGCAATAGCACGAGCAAATGCGAACATCTCTGTTGTCAAGGGGTCCCAACTCGTGGCTGCAGAAGCTTCTTTAAACCATCGAGTGACCCAGCAGAGCAAGCATCTGCCACACCCACAACTGCTGCCTTAACACTGCCAGGAATGCGGCCGGCAACACAACACTACTATGAAGTCATCAGGAGGAAATCGAGGGACCACTTTTCAGGGTGCGGGGAAACACACCAGTCAGAGATTCGTTCCAGGCACCATAACGAAACTGCAGCACTTACTCCCACGCTGTGTGTAGTCCACGGTGAGGGGAACACCGTAAGGTTTGCTGAGCACCACGAGTCCATCTGAAAGTGTAGCAGAATTTCCACTGGTCGTGAGTGTCTTTGTTGCTACCTCTCTGGTGCCAAAATTTACTTCTGAATATTTTTTTTAAAAACGCAGCAAATATTGATATGGAAAAGCAGATGCGTTTTTGTGTAACTACCTCCGTCGCCCTTTGACGTAAATTCTGCGTGTCATCTCTTATCCCAAATTTTACCACGTGGTACAAAACTGCGACAAATTTAAACATGCACCTCCAAAACTAGAACTTAGCGTTAAAAGGAGCACTTTGGAGAAACACATATCGAAAACAAAATATGATAACTGATAGAAGAAAGTGTTACACATTACGTTCCAATAAAGATCTTTTTAGCAGCTCTTTACTGATGACCTGCTTCGTCAGAAATATGCCCAATCAGGCATATTTGTGACGAAGTGTGGCAAGCTGGGCCAGTTGTTATGATGAGATAGTGAAGAGAACAGCGCACAAAAAGACAAGGTTCAAGGTATTATTTGGCACAACTTCCACACAGCCGAGTGCCTGAGGCAGCCAAAAGGCAGAAGCCCGTACGACCAAGAGCTGGCTACCTCCTCGGCTGTGTGTTAACAGATGAAATGATGATGATAAATATACAAATGAAAGGGAGGAAGAAATGGTAGTTGCACAAAGTTATTGAGCTCGGAGGGCACGCGACACAGCCAGAGAAAAGAAAGATGCACGACACACAGCGCTTGTGTCCTACATGTTCCTTTTCTTTGTCCTTGTCTTTTATAGTGCACTGTTCTGTTCGCTTTGTAACATAGGTTGCTTCTTTTTTTTATTACTATTATTACATACATAAAACCACAAGCTTAGTGCTGCAAGGTGCTGGTGATAGGCATTGCACGAAAGATTAAAAGAGAAACGGTAACGAAGGTGGACTACCAGTTTCCTTGATGCAAAATTAATATAGAATAGTGAAATAAAGACACAAATGTTGCTGACCAAATAGCACCAGTAAATGCATTGACGAACTTTTTTGTAAATTATATTAAAGACGGCCCGAAGGAAATCCATACCTTCGTTGTAACAGACGGTCTGTTTCAGCTGTTCAACGAACTCGGCTTTCGAGCCCCAGGGGTAGAGTGTCTTGTACACGTGCTTTCCTCTGCGTCCTCCCTCGCCGACCTCTGCGTCGCGCGCCTTCTCTTCAACGGCGTGCCCATACCTGACGCTACTGTGACACTTCACACACACTGCTACGTACGCTGACGCAGGATTGCGGGTGAGCTTAGCCCACAGTCCCGACATGGCGGTTCGATCCGTTTAGCAGACGATATTTGTATTCGACATTTAGTTGACTGGACGAATGTCGCGTCTCTTCACGTTTACTGAGCCACTTTCATGAAGGAAAGCCGGAATGCCAGGAAGTATGTCACATATCGACTTACCACTACCACGCCACACGAATCAATTACACGTTAATCGGTCAGATTTATGCTACACCACATCCTAAACGGTTCGCGGATAACAGGCGGATAGAATGGGCGCCGCCATTTTCAATAATAAAGAAGATCACGTGACTACAGGTCAAAGAAATAGCCAAAGCTGAACCGCTGAACCGAATAGCAAGTTTCAGGTGCACACAATAAAGCAACAAATATTTAAAAAAAACGACTTTACACTTTATAAACGTCTTATTTTATATTTATCTTAATTGTACGGCTAAGAAACCTAGTCAAATGTACGAGCTCAAGACCGTTATAATCGTTCATGACGTCATGTGTTATTACGCGACGTCCAGATAAGTTTCGCTTTCGAAACACGCAAAGATGGAGGGCTGCAGAGGAAACGGATTTTCTCAACCTGTTGCATCTGTCACCCGCATCGAATGCTTCAGCGCTTGCCATCGACTTCACAGGTGTGTGCGATTTCACTTCGTACAAGTAGCACTCTTAAATGTTAGACGACTTTATCTACGAAACGCTGTTGCAACATTCCGCTTCGTATGCCAAGCTGTCCCATCGATCCACTGACGGCCCGTCGAGTCGTGAATCCTTGCATTTTTTCCTCCCTTCCACTTCAGCCCCAGCCTTTCGGACGGGGAGAACGCTCAAGTGTACGGCAAGTGCAACAACCCAAACGGCCATGGCCACAACTATAAATGTAAGATTATCAGTTTCTTGACATTTTGTGTTATCCACCCCAAAAGATGATAATAATGATGATAGAGCTGTGCTTTACTCTCTCCTCCAGTGGAAGTCACGGTGCGCGGTCCGGTAAGTGATTTTCCATCTATATTAGCCTATATCGTGGATTCTTAGTCAACGCCGATCAGTCAACGTTCATCCCAGTTTAAATGCACAAAATAAAAGCGGCGAAAAAAAAAGTTTTACCGATTGTTTGACGGGCTTCACCTAGTCAGCAGGGAGATTAGGTACAAAAGGAGGGGAAAAAAAAAACAAAACAATAAATGTATTAAAAAGTTTTTTTTTTTTTTAATTGATGTGTGATGATTTAAATTGTATAATCTCTTTTAAAAAGAAAAGAACTAATTATCTGTTGATATCTTTTTAAAGCATGCAATAAATTTTAGACGTCAAATAAGTTGCCTGTTTGGCAAATTATATATGCAGCATTTTATTTCATCGGGTGGTGTTTAAATATCAGACACTACGGTGTGTTACTCCAAATACGAAAAACATTAGCTCAATAGTATAACTAAAAAAAAAGTATAACGAAACAATTCTAGAAAAAATCATAAGGGCGAGCTGGTGAATATTAACCTTTGAACGTGAGACTGGAGGTAGAGAAGAAACATCAAAACGTAGAAGGGACAGAAAATAGACAGTACGACGTCTCAAACTCGGCTCAAGCTGAGTTATGAGACGTCGCCCTGTCTCTTTTCTGTTCCTTCTATGTTTTGATGTTTCTTCTCTACCCCAGTCTCAGGTTAATTCAACATGGTTAATTCCAGAAAGCTTCGAGAAAATTTTCCTTTCTTCAATCTGATGTTTAAATAATAATAATAATAATAATAATGCTGTTGAACACAGGTTGAAACACGCCGTTCGGGTTCACCCCTCAATACCCTCAACTCGCAGCCAGAACAGGCGGCCACGTGATTCGGTTATGGTCGTCATTGCAGCGATTGGACACGGGCTATCGATTATCACGATCCAAAAATCAAGTGCGCAAGCGATGCTCGGGTCCGATTCTACGAGCCGCATTCAATTACCGTCACTGGGGCTACTGCCGACACTGCGACCCTCACGCTACGTCACCAAGTTCTGCGAAGGAGACATTGAAAAAAAAAAACAAAAAAAAACGCTCGCTTTTTTTTTCGAAATTGCACTGCAACATTGGAGTTTCTTGGTCAGCGAGTGCCAGTATAGCTCGTGTAATGTGAAAAAACACTCCACTTGAATATATCGTTGCACCGTCCCTTTAATGATTAAAATCTTACTTCGCTGCAAAAATTAACATTCACAAAATTTCTACTTTTTCTTTTTTTTTTTATTATTATTTTTTTTTTTTTATACGAGGCACGCACGTGCACCATCCGTATTTTTCAGAGTGCTGATAGCGGCGGGTTTAGCCCCCTTGAGTGCGCTTCTTACCAAGCACCGGTGCACTGCGGTGAAGCAACAACCGCGAAAGCGAGCGCCGCCGGTGTTGCTTCTCCGCAGTGCACCGGTGCTCGGTAGGAAGCGCACTCAAGGGGGCTAGATTGCCACGATCTACGCTTCATAAAAATATGAATATTACAGTTCATCTCGAGGTTCAAACCTACTATTCGAATATTCGCACAATCCTATTAGGGATCGATAGCAGCGTATATTTGTTAGATCGATGTTAGACCCCTGCCCTACTGACCGAGCCGCTTATTATCATTATTATTATTAACCCCTGGCTTTTTTTTAATCTTTGTTGTGTTATTATATGTTTTAGGTGGATCCTGATACTGGAATGGTGATAAACATAACTGCTCTAAAAAGCAGCATACAGGTTGGTGCACAACCCTCCTCGTATACATTTATGATGCAAACTGCATGAAGATAAAAAGGGCAATTTCTGTGGAGTGTTCATTGCCCCTCTGATATGAACTCGGATAGTGGAACTATAAAACATGCAAATAGAGTGGCGACGTTGTGTGCTCTTTTGACATTTTATTCTGTAACCTTGCTTGTTTTGGCTCCAAAGAAACTGTAACATATTATCGAATCTCACCAACAAATTATGTTGACATACCTTGATAACTCATTCAGAGTGATTCTAATGTACACATGTTTATAGGGTTGGTAAAATTTTACAAGTATGCGTTTGCAAAACATTACTAACATCCTTATAAAATGTTATTATTATAGTCAGTGACAGGTTAAGAATTGAAGGAAGCTCCTCCCACCTCTTTTCACCTTAGCAGAGCGAACGCTGGAGGAGGTGACCTCTTCTCCAGCATTCGCTCTGCTAAAGGGAAAAGAGTTGGGAGGAGCTTTTCCCAAATTCTTAACCTGTCACTGAATATAGTAATATTACTCCCGTTTCTACGTCAGCACCAGGCAAGGGAACAGCTCGCCCAGGCTCAATTAGGTCGAGTTCAAGTTATTAGACAGACAAAAAATTTTCCTAAAAAAAAGTTTTAGAGCGCAGCTCTTAGGCGCCCGTTTTCGGCTTGAGCAGCATCGGCGTCGCCGTAACCAAGGTCACCCCAAGGTCACGTGACCCCCCCAAATCATGTGACCCCCGAGGTCACGTGACCCATCACAAGGTCACGTGACCCCCCAAGGTCACGTGGCCCCTTCCCAAGGTCACCTCAAGGCCACGTGACCCTCCAAGGTGACCCCCACGTGACCCACCCAAGGTCACGTGACCCCCTGAGGTCACGTGGCCCCCCTCCCCGAGGTCACGTGACCTCCCTTGAAGTCACATGACACCCCCCAAGGTCACGTGACCCCCCCCCCCCCCCCCCGAGGTTAGGTGACCCCCCGGAGCATGTTAAAGAATGAAGGGAGGAGGAGGAGAAGGGGTCTATCCTCCCTTCGGTACCCTTCCCTCCTCCTCAAGAGCTGCGCTCCAATTCGGCGTTACAGGAAGTTGTGAACGGCTTTCACTTTTTTTTTTAGTTTACACAGAAAAACTAAAAACACTAAAATGGACGAGGGACAGTCCCCCGTCCATTTCAGTATTTTTTATCCTTTGTGTGAACTATAGTCTATCCAACGCACTCTGCCATGTGTGTATTTTTTTTTTAGGTTTAGTTTAGTCCAGCATTCAATTAATACTCTGAAAAATGTGCCTTTTTTTAGCTGGAGATCCAGTGGAAGTGGCATTTAGCTCAATGTCATTTGAGCAGTGGGAAAATCAGCTAGCAACTATAGTTTGCCTGGGTTATGGTTAGGAAAGTGCAATGGGGGAGCAAATTGGCTTAAGAAGGGTGTGGGGATGAATCATACTTTTGGTCTCTAGGCTATATGGCGCAAGCTTCTGTACAGCCATTAGCATCCACCCTTTGGCTAAGAGTAATTTGGCATACCCAGATGACTGGGCCACACCAAAGCCACTAGACAAGCTATGCGGAAGATTATAATGACACATCAGCCATCTTGGTGCCTAAAAACATTGTTGCCAGCTATCTCAAGCCTTATCCGAAATCGCTGGAAATTATTTTTCATCCTCCGGCAGAGCTAAAAACAGTCCACAACGAAGCTGAACAATGTCGCCTGGGTTTTCCGGCATCCAAGCTTAAAGGGTAACTGAAAAAAAAAAAAAAAAGTGTTTTTTTAAACAGCCCATATGGGACAAGCATGTCACAAAACAAATCTTCCGCGAAGCAACAAAGTTTTTCTAGCAATATTTACGCCGCAGGACGTAAGTTAGTCGGGAGTCACAACTTCTCCACATTTGAAACTCGCGCTCTTTCGACGCGCGCGGAGTGGCTGTTATACGTCACTCCGTGACGTATAGCAGCCACTATGTGACGTGTAATACCAACTTTGTTGTGCGCGATTTAAAACGGACAAAATAGCCGCAAACTAAAATCAGTCTCACGCAACAAATATTGCTGTAAAAAATTTTGTTTGGGCGGAAAAATTGTTTTGCGACATGCTTGTCCCAATTAGGTTTAAACATACATGTTTTTTTCTTTGCAGTTACCCTTTAAGAAGCTGCATTTTCTAGTCGCAACGAATGCCAGTCGAGGCCGCTTTGCACTAGGCCCCAAAATGGCGGCACCAAGATGAAAATCTGGAATAGAGTGCCAAAGCTCATTAGTGAATCTAGGTTACCCGTTTGACCTGGACTTCCATTTCAATATTTCTCTATTTCAGCGTCAAGTGCTGGACGAACTCGATCACAAGAACCTAGACAAAGATGTGTCGCACTTCAGAAACAAAGTGAGGTAAGCCTGCAGTCACCATCACCAATGCAATGTTGAAAAGTCAAACACCACCGTCTTTTGTTGTAAAAAATATGAATACTGCAAAACTACCCAACAATAAACTAGCCAAGCTCCGAGAAGTTGGTCAGGCATGTTTGATGGCAAAAAGGTCCCAAAAACGCAAGGTCAGACATTCCGCTGCACTTGTCAGAAAAGAACCCGCTTCGTATATTAATAAAGTTATTAAAAGCGGTACAGGATGGCCCCTGGGTACCGATAGTCAAACCAACGTTATTAGATCAAGGTCATTTGACAAGTCTTCTAAAATACCTGGCGCCTTTCGCTCACTACGCTATCAACCCGCCCTATAGACAGAAGTGGTGGAACGTTGGATGCACATTGCCTGCGGTGTAAAGTGATTCTATTGTAGCTTTTATGGTGAGAAAGTTTTCACAAATGTTTGCATAAAATTAAACATGTTTACAAATCTCTGCAGCGCGAAATTAGAGCGCAGCTCTTGAAAAGGAGGAGGAGCGTACAGAGGGGAGGGTATGCCCGTCCTCCTTCCCCTACTTTCCTGCTCCTCCTCCTCCTTCCGCTCCTCCTTCTTCGCACATGACGTCAATTTTCCTGCTAAATTTAGCGGAGAAACTGAATTCGTTCATAAGTGACGTGACACCAAGTCATGTGATGTCATTTTCCCCTCTAAATTTAGCGGGGAAATTGAATTGCTGTTGCGGTCACGTGACGTCAATTTTTCCTCTACATCTAGCAGAGAAACATAATTTGTTCATGAGTGACGTGACACCAAGTCGTGCGACGTCATTTTCCCCGATAAATTTAGTGGGGAAACTGAAGTGTTGTTGAGGTCATGTGACGTCATCCCGCTGAATTTAGCGGGGAAACTGAATTGGTGTCGAGCTCACGTGACGTCGATTCTCCCGCAAAATTTAGCAGGGAAGTGAATTGCTGTTGAAGTCGCACGACGTCAAATTTTCCCGCTAAATCTAGTGGAGAAACAGAGTTCGTTCACAGGCGACGTGACACCAAGTCGTGCGACGTCATTTTCCTCGCTAAATTTAGTGGGCAATTGAATTTGTGTCGAAGTCACGCGACGCCAATTTTCCTGCTAAATTTACCGCAATTAGGCCAACGGCGCCGCTGCTCAACCTGGAAACGGGCGCCTAAGAGCTGCGCTCTAAAAAGAGCATAGTTTAAAAACAGTCCTCTGTTGTTCGCAGGAGTGGTGCCGCTGGGAGCGCTAGGATAACTACCTGCTCGCGTGCAAACAATAAAGAACAATAAGAACATTACCTCACTAAGGCCAATATTACTAGATTAGTTCAGTTGCAGAACTGCCCTTAGACGCTGCTTGCACAAGCAGTAACCCCCCCTCCGTCTGACGCGCCACCGTTTCGGGGGGGGGGGGGGGGGACGGCTGCTGTTGTAACTGCAGTGCATTCTATGGAATACATACGTTTTAAAGCACAGCATCTAGATGACGTTTCACCATACTTTATGGAACACAGTTTTGAAACGAAAATCTAGATGGCACTTCAAACGACGGGAGGACCCTTCTCAGTAGCGAGTTCCACAACTGAGCTAATCCAGTAAGGCGTTCCGTGGTTGCCAGAGTGACGTCCCAAGTTTTCCACCCACAGTGGTCAGACTAGCTTTTTGAAGTGTGGCTGCTTGCAGAAGTTCACCTCAGCATTGTGCCAAGCATTTTCATTTTCTCGCAGCACGACCGAGAACTTGGCAGTGTTCATCTGGCAGCGGCTCCGAGACGACCTCCCAGAGCAGCTTCACCTCCAAGTTCGGCTTCACGAGACAGACAAGAATGTCGTCACCTACCAGGGCCCCCATGAATGCGACCGGTGATGGACCCCGCTTGTCCATTTACCGTAAAAATACCGAGCATGCATCTATGTCACACCGAGTGCTCTAAACATTTCAAATAAGTAAAATATGTGTGAAGCGCCCACTTTAGCAAGCTTTCGAGCCCACGGAGCTAACTGAGGTGCTCCTCTGCATCGGCTGCTTCTCCGAAAAGCTAGTGCAAAGCGCACAATGTGCATATATCATTGTAATGTGGTAAAGCTCGATGCGAGGGTGCCGGTGTGAAGCAAGCTTGACAAGAGCGGTGCAGCTGCTTGAAATATTGAACCTTCCATAAGATCAATCAAGGGCCTATTGCATGCCCCTTCTGCTTTTATTTCTAACCTAACAAGAGCCCATTCCTTTTTTTCGTCATTATCTCCAACTTTTGCATGGACACTTGCTCGGTATTTTATGGTAGTCAGCTGGGGTCAACAACCAGCTTAATTGTTCCGTTTGCGATTATTCTGTGGTTTTGTATGGAGCGTCTGCCAATGGAAGAGAGCCTGTCGACATGTGGCATCCAGTTTGTGCGGCTTTTTGTGTAACCTGCAAGGCAAGCTTTTAACTACTACCGCATGTGAAAGGCAACTTCAAGGAGGAGCTTGCAGCTTGACCAAGTTCCAATCCTTGCAACGTCGATGATGGGGACAAGCAAAACTAATTACCAAAGCAAGGCCAATAACTTTACAGCCTAGAGCATACAGGGTGCGGTGCCGTCGGGACCAACCTGTGCTGTGCTGTCCTTGCGCAACGCAGCAGAGGCTGGTTGCACTCTTTCTCCACGGGGTGCGGTGCCATTGGGGCCGAGAAGCGCTCCAATTGCAAACTGAAACTTAAAAGCTCGTCAAAGTTGTGCGGTTTTTCAGAAAGCCGTAAAGTGCTGCGCGTGCCTTCTATCGTTCTGCAATTTGTTAATTTAGAGTTTTTCGATGATGCTGAGCAATTTTCTAATTGAAACCATGCCCTTAAACACAATATTAAAAAGGTTAATTATGCAAAAATAATTAACAACTTAATTATCGCAAGCTTTAATAATTTTCCTAAACGGGCCCCTGGCCCAAAACCAAAACGACACAATCCTTTTTTTTTTTGTTGCGAAGCATTGTTTTTGCTATATTGAATTTGTCCACTTTTCGTGAAACACCCTGTATACAATAAAAGAAACTAGTATTACACAAAATAAAATATGTCGAACAACGCATTAGACGAAGAAAGTAACAAAATGAGTTGCTAGGCGAGTTGGATAGACATCTTGACTTAAACAGCGCAAATAAGTTACGTAAGGAAGAGACAACAGGAAGGAAAGAGCGCCGACTCACAACTGAGGTTTTAATAATGATGTAGTGAAAGAGATGGAAGGTGTCAAGTGCTGTAATATTATTAAATTAAAGAAGGTTACAATTATAAGGGTCATATTAACGGAATGACAATTTGCAATTCTAAGTAACCCAAGTGAATATATCTACGTACAAATATTCGGATGTGATCTACAAAGTTGTCGGTGACCCAACGGTTACTGGTTGTCACAGCCAGAAAAAAAGAAGAAGAATCACAATGTCGACGGTGATCCCAAGGGCGTTGGCTTCCACAGAAATGAAAATTGAGAAGAAGGAAAAGGAATAAGAAAACAGGAAGAAAAATAATTTAGGGACTAAAATTCAAAAATTGGAGCTCTTTCGCCGTCAGAGCAATCGAAGGCGTACTTATGCAGGCTAGGCCCTTATTCGCGATCTTGCACGCCTCGTACACCTCTCTAGTCTTTTGTTCCTTAAAATGTTTAAGCACCTTAGTCTCAGAAAACCTTGGTGTGCACCCGCAATCTCTCACATGCACAGCAAGATGGCCCGCTGGCGTTGAGTTTAGTGAAAGCGCATGTTCCCTAAGTCTCACATTGATGCACCTTCCAGATTGTCCCAGATACACCTTCCCACATGACAATGGTATTTTATATATGATGCCGCTCTGACATTCCACGAACTTTCTTGCATGGTTGATTTTACATAGGTCGTGTGTATCCCACTGCTCGTTGATTTTTGGACATAATCTTTTAAGTTTGTCAGGCGCTGTGAGGAGGATAGGAACCTTAAACTTTGCGGCTACTCTTTTTAGGTTATGGGAGAGACGGTGAATGTAGGGCATTGCCACAGGTCGGATCTTTGTTCGGTTTGGACTTCCTCTTTGACGTTGTTTTAACATGCTCTCCACGATGGTGGAAATAACTGAAGTCGGGTACCCTGAAGCGCGAAGTCTCTGCAGCTGGTTGTTGAAGCTCTCTCCTGCTGTGTGGTCGCAAGACTTCCTCATAGCCGCCCCCAACGTACTGGCAACAATTCCTCTCTTGACGAGCTTAGTGTGTGCGGAGTCGAATTGCGGAAGACTTTTTTTTGTTCGTGGGGCGTACATCCAGCATACACTGTCTTCGTGGAATGTTATTTTGAGATCTAAGAATTGGAGGGACTGGTTTTCCGGCCATTCATGCGTGAACTTTAGTCCCCCGGCGTGTTCTTCGAATGTCGTTTGAACGGAATCCATGAACTGTGAATTCTGTGGAAGCCAACGCCCTTGGGATCACCGTCGACATCGTGATTCTTCTTCTTTTTTTCTGGCTGTGACAACCAGTAACCGTTGGGTCACCGAAAACTTTGTAGATCACATCTGAATATTTGTACGTAGATAGTTACTTAGAATTGCAAATTGTCATTCCGTTAATATGGCCCTTAGAAAGAGGTTAATAATTGTAACCTTCTTTAATTTAATAATATTACAGCACTTGACCCCTTCCTTCTCTTTCACTACATTATTAAAACCTCAGTTGTGAGTCAGCGCTCTTTCCTTCCTGTTGTCTCTTCCTTACGTAACTTATTTGCGCTGTTTTAGTCAAGAAGAAAGTAACCCAACAGAAGCGTGCAACACTTAAATCGTATGCATGCACGACTGATTTGACAAACATACGAAAAAGACACAAAATGCAACCTGTACAGGCAATGTTGCACGAAAAGATATGTCACAGTTGGTACATATTTAGCTGTTTGCATGCCAATATGTTCTGCCGTCTTCGAGCATGTCGTGCAGTTTCCTTTTCAAGCCATCGACGCTTTGTCAGCTCGTCAGCCATTTTGTGTCCCCAGCTGTGAGAAAAATGTGGCATGCTTCTTATCTTAGTACTGGGCAGATTCTTTAGATTTGGCTTACTCACGTGTTGGGGAAAGAGGGGCAAGTCATCCCTATACCCTTTCTCACTTTAAGGGCATTTTGTTCAAAGTCGGTGGCCACCTTTTACAAAGCTACATTTGTGCAAGTTCAAGCCGAAATAATTATGCACTGGCATTTCAAGTGGCTCGTTAACGACACGGAAGTTTATTTTGAGGTTTAATTCAAACTACATCTTTGCTGTCTGAGGATCTCAACATATATTTATTATTCGTGGTTTCTGACGCGCTATGTTTTGTGAAAACTTATTTGTCCGAGGTATGAAAGAAACATTTGACCTCCGTTCTTTTTTACAAAAGTTTTGGATCTGTTAATGTTTAGTGTGCTATTGGGCATGTATTAAATGCGAACAGTGGAGCACGTGGCCTTCGATACATGCTGCACATCTTGGAGGCAACTAGGAACTCTTAACTGAGGAATAGAGAGCGGGGCTACGAAGTTACGCACATCGGAGTAGGTGCGCACCCTCCCAGCCCCTTTCCACCCCGCAGTTTGATCAGTTCCTACCTAGTTGCCTTTACTAAATAGCACAGCATGTATTGTAGGCCAAGTGCTCCTCTGTTCGGTTCATACTCAAGTACCTTTCAATTAAGCTTTTTAAGAATGTGCTATGTTGTTCCACAAATGATGTCACTAGTACCAACCACCATTACAAAGTGCTGCAAAAGGTTTACAATATACACTTCGTTCTGAAATGCTAATATAATTTATTTTTAGTTCTGTTGCCACGCAGACGTGCAAAATTGAACTAGTAAAGAGATGCATCAAGAAAAGCGGTAGCAGATGCAAAGCCCTGTTTATTCGTCTTTCAGTAGATTGCAATAGAAAAATTCGTCATCTGGGAAAGCCTAATTGATAACTAACAACGGCCAGTGTTTTTTTTTTCTGTTTGGTCGTTCAAGAAGCACAAAAATGAACATCAGAATCCTCAAATAAAAAAAATAATTCAGAGTATTTTTGTCACTCAACGAGGCTACGGCAACATTTCAAAATCAAAGTGCAGCAAGCCCATCCCACAGCAGGGAAGGGAAGGGGCTGATCTAGAAGTTGTTTGTGCCGATAGGCATTTCAATTAAGATCAGAATAAATAAAGTATTGGATAGATGCCTGCATGAGCCTTGCCCTCTTAGACCGAAACTTTTCCTCACTTCTAGTAGTGTGAGGGAACTCTTATGTATGCCCTTCTTGGAATTCGTCTTGAGGCAGCTCTTTTGAAATGTAACAATGTCGAAGTGTGTGAGCACGGCGTTAAAGTAAATGCCATTTTTGAATAAATCAATGACACAAGATCCTTGTTCTTTGTTGCATACAGACAAAGGTCAGTTGGTAAATGACTCTGGTGTAGAACCAATCGTGACCTCAACAACACTTTGAGCTCTGTGGTTGGAGCTTTCTATGTGCGTTTGCCATCTCTCCAGCTCATTTTACAGTGCACGGTACACTATGACAAAGTCCACTGTGGCCACCCTGTACTCCAAAAGTCCAGTCAGGTGACAAAATGCACTTCTGACGTCGCTTGAACTAGAGTTGCTAAATAAGCTATCATCAATGTATCGATGCTCCATTCTCCGTTTGTCTATGAACACCACCATTTTGGTGCAACGGGTGCGATTTGCGATAGTTAAGATTAAAAAATGTGACTTCCTGAGCATTAGATAGTGTCGGGCAGCTCGGGCGATATAGCTTTGCTCTGTCGCAGAACGTCTAAACATTTCTGGAGGACAGAACAGAGTCTTCCATGGTTTCAGATAAAACTTCAGATAACTGGCAACACCGGTTTTAAGCAATAGGATGGTTTAAGTGTGCATTCTCTACTGTAGCTTATTCAGCCACACCAAGGGTCAATGGGCCATTAGGCAGCACCAACATTAAGGGAGTGAGAGGAGACTACCTGCAAAAAAGGCTGACTGATGAATGAAATACTTGCCTCAGAACACATACTCTATTATTTTCAAACTTGCACAAGACCCACAGGCCATATCCAATGAATGGTTCATTGAGGAAAAAAATTGCAGGAGGACACTTAAGACTGCTTATGTGAAGGAATGCAAAAGCATTCCTACACGCAGCGGATTCCTACAGGCACCGCGCCACGTCTTCCTATCGCACATGGCGCTCCGGCGGCGACATCACGCTCCCCCACCGCGCAGGCGCGGCGGACTCTGCCGGCTCCACGCCTTCCATGACGGTGCATCTGCGCTGCTGTGCTTTTCTTCCGAGTTCTTTTTTTTTAATGCGAAAGCATTAACTGTCCCATGGAGCGAGCCGACGTTAACAGTTTGAAGCGCAAAAACGGCACCTAGTTTCCCCGATCCCAAAGGAGCGAAGTAAAGCTGATGGGTTTCGCCTTCAATTCCATGGGCTGGCGCGCATCGACGGGGCTCCCATTGGCCGCTGCGCTCGTCAGTTTCCACGACCGCTCACCCAAGGTGCTGCGTGTCCATCAGCGTGCTGTTAACATGAAGACTCCAGGGTCAGCGATGCTTAGAGGAGCACGCGTGCTGACCGGCGACGAAGGTAAGCAGCAGACGAAAAAGGAAGCAAGCGAGCGGCTTGCATGCTTTCGCATTCACAACTCATAAAAAGTGCTTAGGTGTACCTCAAGCTTTTTTTTTTTTTCTTTTAGGCGCGTCTGCTTTGACCTTGGGTGCCCCACCAATTTTCCTGACGAAGCACCTGATACGAAGCGTCGCAGCCAATGGGAACGTGTTGCAGCCATTTTAGCTGCCATTTATTTAGATGCCCGTTTTTCGCGGTCACAGCCAACGTGGGCTGCGCTCCATGGGACAGTTAATGCTTTTGCATCGAAAAATTTGGAGGCAGTCCAATGAAGGACACAGTGGTCCCAATTCTGTAAAGACCGATCTCACCAAGTATTCCATGCATGAATGACGCCGCCATAACTAGTTCACATAGGGCAGGCAGCAGTGCAAAAGACAGCTCGTGTCTCGTGCTCTGCTCGTGCAGACCCGCAGCAAGGTAGTCGCGTGTGCAGGAAGGCTACAGTTCCCAGCATACCGGCAGAGGCAGCGTAACTAAACAGAGGTGGTGTCTGTCTATAGGAGAAAGCTTCATGAACAGATCAGGCCTTCTTTGCATCCAGCATTGCGAATAGACCTACGTTCGTTTCCCTAGAAGAAACACTTCAGACTTTTGTTAAGAAAACTTTTTATTCGAAGTTCACGTAAAAATTCAAAGTAGGCACTTGTTTTGAGTGTTGCAAGTTTGATCGCATGCTTGTTTGACCTAGCTGTTCTTTTCGGCCATCTTGACGACAACCTATAAAAAAGGATAATTTCCCCATACTTGTTATCAATACCAGCAGAAAAGCATGGTCTGATCACAGTATACTTTATTAGAAAGAACCGGAGCATCTAGACAATGTTCTGCACTTATTTAATAGGTAACTTCTTCCAGCTCTACACAGCAAACTCATATTCCAATTTATCCATTAAAAATCCATTAAAAGGGTTTGAAAATTGAGTTGCAACACTTATTTCCTTGCTCATGTATGAGCAACGTCATAGCACCATTTCAGAAACAAATTTTTCGTCGGAAAACACGAGAAAATTGAACTTAATAATGCAATAAATGATTACCCAATTATCCACTGGTTGCAAGTCAGTAATCATTTCTTGTGTTTACCAACGAAAAGTTTGTTTCCGAGTTGGTGCCATAACACTGCTCGTATCTAAGCAAGGAAACAAGTGCCCCTACGCTTCAATGGAATCTCCTTGCGTTGTAAGTTTCGCAGAGCAGCGCCGCTCCGTAAAAGTACTGCTCACTTGGGTAGATAATTTATGCTTGAACACAATCGCAACCATTTGGTGGAGGAACCAATCATAGAGGCAGTTCACACTGGACTCTGCAGTGTGTCTGTTCTATAATACTCACCCATCAAACAAAAGATGAAAAAACAAGAATGACCCCAGTGCAGCTGCCAGGGGGCAACCATTCAAAAGCGACCTGTCCTCTTGTTTCCAGCTGCCAACTACTGAATGTGATACTAGTATCGCAATTTTCCATTTTAGTATTCCTTTCAGTGGAGAAAAATTGTCTGACTTAGTTAAGAATGCCTTTTTTTTGTAATGAACTTTTACATTTTATGCAAATTGTTGAATATAGTAACTGACATTTGTTTTTATTTGAAATTGTTTAAATCCCAAGTATTCTTGAGTAACCAATGTGCTGTTTATGAATGGCTAGCCTCCTGCAGAGCACGAGTGTAGCCAATCATTGCGATTGACAGCAGGGAGCCCAGCGACGTCTGCAACAGGTAACATCCTCGAGCAAAAGTGCTACGTGCGGAGTTTGCATTTACGGAGAAAATCCTTTTCTGGACCTTGTTACTATGTTTCTTGCACAAATGCAATAACTGGGTGTACGTGATTGACTGCACGAGATTGCTTGGTGTGACTGAGTGTGGGCGGTTGGCCTTGTGTGATTGGCCGTGTGTGATTGGCCGTGTGTGATTGGCCGTGTGTGATTGGACGTGTGTGATTGGACGTGTGTGATTGGACGTGTGTGATTGGACGTGTGTGATTGGACGTGTGTGATTGGACGTGTGTGATTGGACGTGTGTGATTGGACGTGTGTGATTGGACGTGTGTGATTGGACGTGTGTGATTGGACGTGTGTGATTGGACGTGTGTGATTGGACGTGTGTGATTGGCCGTGTGTGATTGGCCGTGTGTGATTGGCCGTGTGTGATTGGCCGTGTGTGATTGGCCGTGTGTGATTGGCCGTGTGTGATTGGCCGTGTGTGATTGGCCGTGTGTGATTGGCCGTGTGTGATTAGCCCTATGTGAATGACCACATGTGATTGGCTATGTGTGATTGGCCACATGTGATTAGCCCTATGTGAATGACCACGGGTGAATAGCCATGTTTTGATTGGCCTAGTGAATGACCACATGTGATTAACTGTGATTGTATGTGAAAGGACATTTGTGACTGGCAGTATGATTGGCAGTGTGTGAACAGAGGCTGGCTCACCGACTTGACTTGGGTGTACGCCTCCAGGCCGTACTCCCCGAGCTCTCGGCCGATGCCGGACATCTTGTAGCCTCCGAACGGGACTTGGGCACTCAGCACATCGTAGCAGTTCACCCTGCACATATTCAACTGGTAACTCCACAATGCCCCACCACCTCAAGATCGCATCTTCCGAGAGATCTCCCAGAAATAACAATTCTTAGACTTGTATACGGTAGCAACGGGGGCCCCAGAGTTTGAAATTCTGAGCTACAAAAATTCCCCGTATAGTACACGACCCCATTACATTTAGACCCGTCTGAAAGAGAAAGCTGAAATCCAAATTTGCATTTTGGTAACCATAGAATGCTCACAATCATTTGCAACTGTGGGTTTCGCTCGTGTCACTCTTTTTATTACTGCAGGTGTGAATTACATTTACCATTTCTGCTGGTATAATCCGACAGAAGTTTGTCTGCGAAACTGGAATATTACATAGGTTTTCAGTGCACTCAAGCAGAATGGATGGTGCTTGCACTCGGGTAAACTTTCATACTTAAAATCGAAAGAATAGAACACGGAGAAGCACAGGACAACCACATTCTTTAAGCATTCATGTACAACTTTCTCGCTTTTATCAGTCCAACTCATTCTTGCGCAAACGCTTCACGTAGCCTTTGAAGTGCTTGGAATCTCTCAGTGACGCTCTTGGTTATAAACAAGTCTCAGTGCTTCCGGGCCTATTTGTCTTCAAATTCAAAAGTGTTCATATCAAGCTTCTGACAAAAAAAAGAAAAAAAAAAAAAGCAGGACACGGGCAGGGGTGCCCTAACCTCCTGAGAACATATGCGTAAACCGAATACTTAGTAAACGTCGTAGCACAAGCAAGAGAAAAAACCGGCTGTGGTTCCCAAAGAAAGAAGCAGTCTTGCAAACAGCGCATGCTGTGTCCAAAGTGAGCAAAATAAAGCCGTAAATGAAGAGTTTCGTCACGTAAAGCTTAGCATATTTCTATTTGAGGACAGCTCCAATTCGAGGTTTTTCGGCTTCCACAGATTTAGATAAAATCGGTTAGGGGATTAACTTCTCAGGGTTTATCGACACACACCGAAAACGCAGACCCCTGGTTACAACACTGGCGTTTCAAACCCACTTTAGACGGTCTGCAAAAATTGGTTTCTCAATGCGTTGTGCTGCAATTTACTACAAAGGTGCGGCTAGGTAATGTTCGATTACAACAAAAAAAAAAAAAAATTAAAAATACACTGAAAAAAAAAAAAGTTCTGAGCAATTTTTCGGCAGCATTCGCAGATGATGTCTCGACCATGCTAGCCTAGTTTAATTTGCGGCTGACAGATGTTGGAAGCGTCGAAGGTGCACTGGTGCCAAGCTTAGCAGACAATTTCATTATGTTGGTGTGTGTCTCTCTAATGCACAATTCTTAAAGTGCAATAATTTATTCATAAAAAGTAAAAATTGAATAGGAAAACAGGCATTTAAATCCCTTGGGATACCCCATTTTTGGTACGGATATGATTGGACCAGGCGCCGTATACTCTCGTCTCGCGCTGCGCCATCTGTCGGTGGCAAAGCCAACTATACGAGCACTGTCAGGGCGTCGTCTGTAAATGCTACCGTAGACTGTCCGAAACAGGTTTTTCTTTTAATGCGAAAGCATGAACTGGGGGGTCCCATGGAGCGAACCGACGTCATCAGCTTTCAAACCACGCCAAACGTTGGCCAAACAGCACCTAAAATCCCTTTTCCGAAGTGAAGCCAATTTCTGGTGGATATGCTCCCATTGGCTGGGGCGCGTCCTCAAGGAATGAGACTTCCTTTGGCTCTCGTGCGGCATAATTCAAAAAAAAAAAAAGCCACCAGAGAAGCCCTACCCATGGCGGCGCAGCGCACGCAGCGGCGCGGCCACTGGTAAGAAGAGGGAGCAACGGCGGCAGAGCCAAAGCCTGTCCGGGCAACCCCTTGACTGGAAAGGCCCTCAGAGCTCCTCCTCAGATGTTTCGAGCAAGTCGTTCTCAAAGATAAATCTCTGAACGGTGTACAGCTTGTGGTGAGGAGTCGCGCTAACCTCGTGACCGAAACAGAGTTCAAGGCGTTAGGGCGTTACTTTGTTGTTTCATGTTTATCTCGACCGACGCCATGTTTTTGGCTCTGAAGTTTGTACAGACAACACCTTCGAGTACTTTTGAAACGAAAAAGGGAGAAAGCTTTGCAAGTGACTTTTCAGCCTCAGAATGCATGACAAGAAACTTTGTAAATTTAAAAAACTCGGGACTTTGCGGGATGGTCATGGACTTCGGTGCGGGCCTTTTTCAGGGCCTGATTAAAGGTTTAATTGAGCTTGGGGCCCATGAAGATTGGAAGGAAATTCAGTACCCGGGTGCACCGCCCACCACAGTGCCCGACAAGGGGTAGGTGCCATAACAAGAAAGGCTTGGCTGACAATTACTTTACCAGTGCTGCCCGGGCACTATACCCAACTGCGGTTGCAGGGACAAGACCTGTCTCCACTCGAGGTTGGCCCTTGCCGCCTAAGGTGAAAAAGGATGGAACAGATCTGTGTAGAAGAAAAGAGAAAGAGGTGGAAGAAAAAGTGAAAGATGAAAGAAGAGAGTAGAAGAGGCGATTGACTGAATCATCTTGGTTGGGCCTAGCCAGGACATCCGTCTACAAAAAGCAGGGGTCAATTCAGTATATTGCCACACCCGGGGGGTCCCAGAGGGTCCAGACATACCCCGCACTCAGCTCAACCACCAGGATCCTCTTTTCCCCAGGTATGGGTTAAGCCACGCACAGCCAGGCGTGGGTCAGTGAACCCAAATGGCTCGGCGCTCATGATGACGCCACTCACCAAGCACCTACTAGAGCAGGTGCCCCCTGCGTGTGGGTACGGTGGCCCACGTGGCTGGGGTCCGTGGTGATGCCACTTACCAAGCACCTAACACCGAAAGTGTAGGCAACCCCTGTGGGGTCTCTTACTGAAACTACACATTATATTCGCATAATGTTTCGCTTATAGTTCCACAACTACCTTAATATACTGGGCAAGCGCCCACTCAAAATTTAAAGACAATTGAGAACAAATGGGGGTGGGCACTTGTCCGGTCATCAATTTTACATATATAAATGTACTGTGCGTATTTCCTTAGATCTTACAAATTCGAGAATGGGTGCTTAATGTGGAATGGGCGGATGCACGGTATTCTATGGTAGATGCTCCGTGCATGCGATACGCATGGTATTGTTGCTTTGCAAGGTGGTAATCAGGGCACCGTGACTCTTCCAATTCAAACACTTCATGCTTCTGAGAATTTAATACGGAAAATGAAAGCCAACAGAGAAGCTCTGTGAAGTACTTCTGGCTCAAAACTGGAGACCATCGAAATGTTGCAGAAGTGAGCGTGCCAAAGTGAAACAAATGGAAGAAAGGCAACAACATTTTCCCCTCAATATATCCATTCAATGCTTCCCATCCTGAATAGCAGCATACATGCTCCACCTAAACAAAAATAAACCTGTACATTGACTCTTTCTTTGTACTATCCCTTCAAAAACAAAACCCGACCACTGGGAAACATTTAATTTATTATAAAGAAAATTTGATTGTGAAAGGTTTAACAAAAACGTTTTGGGAGAGTTTGAATTCAAAGTCAGACCGAATACGCCTAGATCATTTGCCGACGACAAAGACTGGGTGACTCACCAGACTGTGCCGGCCTTGAGGCCAGCGGAGAAGTGAAGGGCTTTGTCGATGTCACGCGTGAAGAGGCTGGCGGCTAGGCCATACTCCGTGCGATTGGCACGCTCTATCAGCTCGTCCACATTCTCAAAACGCAGGATCTGCATCACGGGCCCAAAGATCTGCAAAGCAGGGAGAGCAAAACAAAATGGCTGCTGTATTTTGATCGATCAATGAAACCGTCAGATGCAGAGTTGTAATGCATGACAAACAATGGGTAAGTGCAGCATCTTGTGTTGCCACTTCGTTTAATCACGTGATATGGCCATGTGATATCATGTCATGTGATATGTACGTGGCACCGCAACGTGACCCGACATCACGTGACCATGCCGCACAAGTTCGCGTGACACTGCGACTTGACAGCCAACGTAACTAGATCGAATTGCATTGTTGAACATGATGAAATACAGCCTCAGTAAACATGGACAACGAAGAAAAGAAACAAACACGACAGGAAAACTGCTGACTCGTAACAGAAGTTCATGAAAAGGAAACAAAGTAAACTTAAACAGATTACACACACAGATTAAAATGCATGCCTACCACGCAACTAGAGGCCGCAGAGATATCGCCTTACCAATTGGCACTCATGTTAGAAGGTACGTTATCTCCTTTTCAGGTAATGCCACCGATGGCTCACTGACACATCTGTCTGCCAACGAAGAGAATGCTTCAGTTATCTCTCGAGTCATTCTTTCTAGGTGTCTGCCCACAACAACTTTGCGCCAAAAGGGAGGCATGAACAATCCCTGTAATGTAGTGGTAGGAGTCCTCCGACCGCAGCCCTAAGAGAGTAAGCGTGCTCTCTCAACCTTTTAAACACCTTCCTGTCTGGCCAAGATAAGACCTTCCACACGACAAGGGTATCCGGTAGACGACACCAGATGTACGGGTCACAAACAGTTTTGATGTTTTCTTGTGCACTTAACTTGTAGACGTACTTCAGCACTAGCACTAACTCACGCGCATACCTGGCTCATCTTTTGTGGAGCTGAGAACACAACAGGCATCCCGTACCCACCAGATGACACCACATGGCATCAGAACTTTCCACCACAAGTCACGCGTCACGAGAAGCGACTTGTTAAGTCACATGACATGCCTTGTCACAAACAAATTTGAGTTGGCTTCCGTTTGAATGTAATTCTGCACAAATTGTTCACCACTGTGGCCTGCCAGGATCAGGCAAGAGTCACTAAACCTCTGCCAAACACTGCATCTCCCAAGCTTCCAACCCTCAATCATCAGTCACTATATTAGGGTGATCCAAATGAACTGAAGGGCTGGTTAGCTAAGCACGGCAACGCACAAGTAACTAGACGGACAAGAACTAATACAAGAAGCGGACAAGACCAATGCCACCTAGAAACGGACTTACTTTTTGTCCATTAGTTGGTATTTTTTATTTTATTATTTATATATGAACACTGCAGACTCATTTGAGTAAGCAGGAGTGAAAAACATGTACCGTAATATCCCGAGTCATCGCCCATCCCCGAGCCAGCGCCCACCCCATTTTTTGGGCCAATATCGATTTCCGAAAAAACACCGAGTCATCGCCCACCCCTTCAAATACCCCAGCGCTGACTCTCCGATCCGCGAACACTCATCCTATTCGAATGACGCGGCCGCGGACCTTACAGTTGGAGGACGTCCGTGACAAAGTAAAACGAAGGAGGGAAAGACACTTCTTTTTGTTTACGAATTTCCTCCGTGAGTGACCCCAAAGTGGTCGTGTATCCGTGCGAAAAGAAAACGATGGAGATAACAAAATAAGAGTTTGTTAATGTAACCGCGGAGTGTTAGGTCAAAGTCTGTCTCCGCCGAAGTAAGGTCACCGCGAACCCGCTCCTTCTTCCCGCCCGTCGCGACCGCGGTTGTGCAATATTTTAGGCAAAGCCAACGCGTAAATAAAGCTTTGCTGGAACGCCCTACACAGACGTTTGCAGAGCGTCCCAACCGTGCATCGGCAGTTGTGTCGGTGAAAGCGAATTATTGAATGACCACGGCCTCCGACGATCCGCGTTCATATCCCGCCGTGCACGGACGCACGTATGTACGCACCAAACAAGAAAGTTGCGCAAGAGCTTGCAATTGACAAGGCGCCCGACTTGGCCCGACGCCAAAGTATTTGCCAACGCGACCGCCGGCTTTCCCGCTTTCCCATCATTGCTCTGGGTCGCTTCTTTGGTCCGTTCGCTCGCTCGCTCGTTGCGCCTGGTCGGTTTTTCTATTTTCTTGTAGACTTTTCTTTCTTTTTTATTTTACTAACTAGGAGAACATAGTGGTGACATTCTTTCACGGAACAAACGTTTGCGCTATATGCAGATCGGCGGTGTTTCTAGCGCGTATGCAAGCAACGGACTTCGCTATAGTAAAATATTCTTTCATGAGCATCTTTTTCTATAAAACAATGAAACTAAATCGAGTTTTGAGTTTGATGTATCTCTTGTGCATCAGCGCTAGAGATACGCAGAGAAAAATAGGCGTTTTTTTCCGTTTTTTTTCAAGTGTTTGTGCTCACCCACCGAGACATGGCCAACCCTACTTTTTTAATGAATTTCAGGCGGTAGGGGGGTGGGCGATGACTCGGGATATTACGGTAAATGTAAAACAAGAAGGCATCAAGAAACCATCTAAAACAGCAATTATAACAAGGTATAAATACAATATACTTTCATTGAGAAGACCGATCAATATTATATTTATATATCGCTAGTCCTGTCCACTTCTACTAATTTATGTCTGTTTCTCTGTTTCACCAAAGGGTGATCTCCGATATAGTATCACCAGCTCATTGCAAGGGCTTATTAACCAAACCTCAATGCATATTAAACAAATACGGCAAAAGACTGGCAAGGACACGAAGATGGGAATAGCACTATAGTCCAGTCCTATTCGTGTCCTTTTTTCGTCTTCTGCAGTATTTCTGTTTAATATGCTTCATCTGCTAGCCATCTTAATTTAGCACAGTTCCTTCATGCATGTTTTACTGGTAGGCCATGCATCGAGCTACAATTCTAATTGAACCTGCGTGCACAGCTTCCTAGCAGATGTTAGCCGACGCAGCTCCATGCAATCTGCACATTCCAAGGATGTTAAATATCTCGATTCGCCGGCTGCCATCTAAATGCCATTATCCGGCCAAATTTCATTGGCTAACCAATTGCCATATAAATATATCCATTGGACGGCCAACTGTCGTCGGACAGTCGACACCACTGACCTCCTCCCTGGCGATCCTCATGCCGTCCTGAACATTAGCGAACACCGTGGGCTCCACGAAGAAGCCCTTGGAGCCGTGCCTGCCTCCACCACACAGCATCTTAGCACCTTCAGCCTTGCCGGAGTCGATGAGTCCTAGGATCTTGGACATCTGCTCCTTGTCCACCTGCGATTGCGTGGCACATTGGAGACTGGTCGAGTACCACCTCTACAAGAACCACTTTGAAGTTCGATGTTGAGCAAGCAACTCATCACAGTAACATAGGCTCAATGGGGACGAGTTTATTAAAGTTTAGAGTAGCGAATAAAGGGTTAACGTAGAAGACAACCGATGCAAGAACCTTTTTCGTATCACCCTCAACCAATGTGCTCTGCCGTTCCTTTTGAAAGAAATGCACATGTGTCGCTTGTCCCATATTTTTATTCCTTCTTTGTGACTCAACTTTCCAAGGAAACTCGTCTCCATGTGGCCCCGCAGTACTTTTGGTCGTTTCTGCTGCCAAAGAAATCGTTCTCGCATCACCTAGTGCAGTGGTTCTCAAATAGGGGTCCGCGGACTCTCTGGGGTCCGCGATGGCATCCTAGGGGTCCGCAAAGCCCTGTCTCATCAGTCAAACCCGGCAACATAAATTGTCTTTTTTCACATTGAGAAGAAACGTTCCAATTTGCGGGCGAGTTCTCTCGTGTGTATGTCAATAAGATAAGTCTACTTCACAGTACCTATTAGTTATATTCATTTATTAAATCACTATTACAATTAACCTATACCTTTTTATTCCCCTCACTCAACAGGGTCCTCCATCGTCTCCGCCCATCTACAAAGGGTCTGCAAAACATTGGTTGAGAACCACTGATCTAGTGGAACATGAAATGGTTCAACTTAGAAAAGAGGAGACTGCAGGGGCCCCTACCTGTGGCCCCTGGGTGGTGCTGGAATCAAAGGGGTCCCCCAGCACCCTCTCCTTGGCAAGCTCCACGCTGCGTGCCACAAAGTCATCGTAGATGGCGCCTTCAACAAAGATTCGAGAGCCGGCGCAACAGCACTGGCCCTGGTTGAAGAAGAGGCCGAAATGCGAAGTCTGGATTGCCTCGTCCACTGCAGGGAACCGCAAGGAAACACAATGTGATAAGAGGCCGCAGTCCTCTGCAGTTCACACAGCTACTGACCCGTGCAGCGTCATCCTTACACAGTCCCAGCTGAAGGCTGCCTACTCCGTACTGTCCGTGACGGTACCGACGGTTGTTGATGAGGAGTTGCAACTTGTAAGCGGCGACTCGACAACTGTGTTTCGGACCACATAAACGTGCCATGTTTGATGCATGACATTTTATAACACATCTTTTTTTTTTTAGCACGGAATGTGGCATATATAGCACAGAATGTGGCATATATGGCAGACTCCTAGCAGTTTCTTGCAACACACCCGTGTTACAAAAGGCTGTCACACTGTATCAGTATTTGGCTGGATCTCTTGTCCAGACTGATCCTGTGCCCTGCACTGGCCTCCAATAAGTGACCCAAAGAAAAACCAGCACTATGACTTAACAGCAGCTTTTTTCTTTCATGTGAACTCACAAATTTGTGCATTCGACAGCGAACGCACAAAACACAATGATGCATCATTTTTGCTTTAATCGTCTGAAAACAAAGAAAAAAAACAACAAGCAAACATTGTACAAATGCTGGACCTTTTCAAGTCCATCTCCCGCCAAAAATCCGCGAGTAAAAAGGCGCTCGACTTTCAGTCGATGCGTCCGCAGACGAGATGCGGATCGCAAGAATCTACGATGCCGTCTGCGGACGAAAAACGCGGTCAGGTCCGTCATGTGAATCGGCTATAAGCTTCGTGGGAGGTGTATAAGTCCTGGTGACTTGTGGTCGGAACTGATTGCAAGTCCTTGTAATGTAAAACAGTACCGCAAGAATGGGTTTTCTGGGAAGTGTTTGCAATAGTGCTCCCACATATGGAGGGACAGTGTGTAGGAGGCAAGAAAGAAGAGAACGAGAATGTGCCTTGGAAGAAACTGGAAGCCACAAAATAGCAGGGTCAAAGCTGGGACGTGCGAGATGCAAGCTTTGAGTTCCACTCTCGCTGGAGTGCCGAGCTATGGCGAGATTTTATTTCCAAGGTGCTACACACGGCGTTTGTGCAGTTGAGGCCCAAAATGCGTACAATGCTCATCTGTGCCATATCGGCGTGAAGCAACTCTCAATACATTTTCTGCATTACCACCGACTTTGCAACAATGCTGCGAGAAAGGGGCAATTTTTTTTTTTTTTTTTTTTTTTTTACCGGTGACATTTTGCAGGTATTTCGGTGTCAGCATTTCTTGCCTGTCATTGCAGCGGGATAAAAAAAAACCTCTCCCCCTCATGGTGTTCGGAAAGAGAAGTCGGGTGTTCCCATTGGCTGTGCCATTGGCTGTGCCATTGGCTGTGCCATTGGCTGTGCCGACAACCCGCCGATAATGGCGCAATGATCAGAAAGTGTCGTCTGCCAACAACAACTCCAAAACAGGCGGTTTCGAACATTACTCCTGTTATACAAAATCCCATTTTTGCAGCATCCAGTAGCTACGCATAATAGTATTTTAGAAACTTCCATTGCGTTTGATTTTACCATAACATCTCTACTTTTCCAGTGGAACTCGAAACACAAAAAATATGTTCTACCAAAACTAGTCTCCTTGCGCCTGCCATCTCCGCAGAGCTTCGCCTCGTTTCCCTGCCGTGCGTCCCCCTCTCTGCTCATCGCTGAACGTCAACGTCGCTCCTGCCCTTTACCGCTCAACAACACCGAAAAAACCTGCGCCTTCGCTCGCGTCGGCGCAGGTTTGCTGTAGCACTTTAGCCCAATGAAGGCAAAAATTGTGTTGTCATATCCAGTCTACAGGGTACTCAGCTACACGACACCACTTTGCCCACACAGCTGTCGGTTTCACTTCTTCCCACAATGTGGGAAAAATGGCAGCCTTTTTAATGATGTATGTACATTTTCTCGATCCTGGTGCACACTTATCGCTGCTATCAATTTAAGAAATTAAATGAAGCAAATGATAGTGAGGCATTTATACTATTTGCTTAGAAAAGTTCTCATCTGGGAAGCTGTTGTTAGGAATAAAACGAATTGAGCTACTACCGTAACATTCCATAAGGGCGCCCTCCCCCGAGAGATTGCCAATCCCGTTTTTCTGGCTACATATCCATAGCGTAAAAATTCCGAAACATTGTTGGTTTAGCCAGTGATCAACAAATGCACTAAGAAGACAAATGGTCGGATCGCAGCGTACGCTACACTCAGACTTGGTAGAAATGGTACAACATTATGCACGCTTCCAATAGGGGCACGATCGAACAATCTTGACGGCAATCTTTTCACGCCTCGTGCAAAAATGGGGAGACAACTCACGATCGGCGTCCTTAAAGACGATGTTGGGGCTCTTGCCCCCCAGCTCCAGAGTGACCTTCTTGAGGTTGGAGCGGGCAGCAGTCTCCATCACCAGCTGCCCCACCTGGGTGGAGGCAGTTGCCAGGTTAGACAGGAAACTAAACCAGACATGCTGGCACAGAACAACTGAACAGTCAACTAAGAGGACATTTCGTGTAGGATTATTATGAACGTGGGAAATTTGGAGAGACATGCTAAGAAAATTGACGGCAAACTTTATCTCCAAAGTCCTACAATGCATGGAATGCAGTACTTAAGGACCGATCGTTTAAATTTGTATAGAAGACATTCAGCAGTTCCTTCAGGGAGTGAAGAAAAACCTGAATTTTTTTCATTTTCCCAGGCTAAATTTAACATTGAAACTGACTTGGTACAAAGGTCATGTTGAGTCCATTTTTCTGCCAAATTTAATGGGAACTAAATTAATATCTTGTAGACCCCGAGATGGGAAACAATAAAAAACGGACGAATTGTGTTGGTCCTTTTTTTTATTGCTCCCCATCTCAGGGTTTACAAATATGTCGATTCATTACCAGCTCGTCTGCACTCTATCACTGCTTAAATTGGTACATAGCTCATCATGAAATCAGGCTACGTGACATCGATTTTCCTGAAAAATTTAGCGGGGAAACCGAGTTGGTGCTTCGGCTAAGTTTTATCAATCTCCCGCAAAATCGAAAAGCAAGGACGGAAGGAAAACCTTTTGGGATAGGGGGTCCCCGTTAAAAAGCATTTAATGGTTTGAAACTCAAATGCACTGCGCGACACCGTTGGCACAAACACCATTGCCGCTTTTTCAAATCTCACTTTAAACGGTATTGGCGGGTGCCAAAAAAGATCCTCACCTGAGCATTTTGCACAATGCCAACAGTTTGGATGACAGACCTTCACTTCTAAAAGGGAAACGGAAAAAATGGGCAATCGCTTGTTTGTGCCAACGGCATCATGCTGTGTACACGGACAGTGCTACATTTTTTAGTCCTCATCTCTTTCCACTTGTCCAGTCACAATTTGGGAACCTCCGAAATTTAGTGTTGATGCTGTATCGTTGGCAGGCCCAGGTCTGCATGCTAAACAAGTCATTAGTGCAGTGCAGGACCATTAAAACTGCCCAACTCTGAATGGTGAAAACATTCATTTAGTCGTAGCAGAGGTGTCACAAACATATGCCAATCTTCAATTTTCTCGACCGGATATTGGGTGCACTTTGCTTTCACTCAATTACATCACTGATCGAGTAAACAAAAAATGAAAGCCAACATACAACTTTTTAATGCGAAAACAACTGTCTCGTAGAGCAAGCTGACTACATCAGTCTGAAGCACGAAAACGGCTCCTGGTTTCCACGATCCCAATAGGAGCAATTCGCCCTCCGTTCCATTCGCTGGCGCGCGTCAACGGGGCTCCAATTGGCCACTGTGCCATCGCCTCCGAGATCCCGAAGCGTACGCGCGCTAGTACACAGCAGACGACAAAGGGAGCGGATGAGCAGACGAAGGAAGTGGACGAGCAGACGACGAAGGGAGCGGACGAGCGGCTTGCATGCTTTCGCATTCACAACTCATAAGAAATGCTTAGATGTACCTTGAGCTTTTTTTATCACTGAAGCAAGTGAAGCAATGAGGTGTTTAGTACTTTGAAGTCTTTACGATCGAGACTTCGATACAATCTGGCATTCCCTCGCATTCACATTCGTCAAAGGCTGACAATTTCTGCCGGCCTCCCTCCCGACACGATGAGAGCCCGCCTCGGCGGCAGCCACATAACGTGGTCACCTCCGAAACTGCAGTAGTCACCACTGCCGCTTTGAGGCTGCAGGGCTCACCATTGCAGACTGGAATAGGTCTCCAAATGGCGCATTTACCGATCCCTCGTTAGTTTCCTCTCGACTTTTGTCCAGCGGCGGCGTCACAAACAACTGTCCGCAGCCGTGAGTTGGGACGCCAAAGCAACGGCGACGCTCGCATTTACTTGTCTTTCTAGCCGGAACTTCTATGACCAACCGCACAACATCCGACAAAATGACACTCGCACAATGCAATATTTGGCCCCTTCGAGACCACTTTCGATGTGTGGGCCCCATCGGGTGCAACACAACAGCCCAAAGACTTGTTCGAGACACAGTAACAGAAGTGAAGGCCGGAGTGGCTGTGCGGTGCCTGGCCCGAGTCTTCGACCGGCGTGCTTGGCATTCTGTAGTGCCCGTGCGTCGAAAGTTGTCCCAAAGTAGCAACGAACATTGTCACGGGTGGCATTGTTCGTCGACATTGTTCGGCAATCAAATTATTGGAGGCGTGCCCCTCCACACCTCTGGCTTCACCTCTGGTGGCGTCATGTCGCCTCCAGAAGCTTCCTACCTCCGGGGTTGCCAGCATACCCCAGCACATACTTTTACGACATTGTTGGGCAGAAATAGAGGGACATTTGAGGACGCGGCAAGCACACCGGTTGGAGATGCGCGCCAGGCACCATAGTGGCGGCGTCGAGCATACCTCGGTGGACCCGGTGAAGGCGACCTTGTCCACGTCCTTGTGGGCTGTTAGGGCGCCCCCCGCGGTGGGGCCCATCCCTGGCACCACGTTGACGACCCCCGCGGGGAAGCCCGCCTCCGCCACGAGTGAGGCCACGTGCAGGGCGGAGAGCGGCGTCTGCTCGGCGGGTTTCAGCACCACTGTGTTGCCCAGGGCCAGGGCGGGCCCCAGCTTCCAGGCTTGCATCAGCGCTGGGAAGTTCCACTGGGAGAGAGTCGGCGTGCACCCTTTATAGGAAACAACGGCGCAAAACGGACCGGGACATCCGTAGAGTTTGTATAATAACCTAGAGCAGGGGTGGCCAAACCACGGCTTGCAAGCCCCGTGCGACTCCTTGGGTGCTTATAATGCAATTAAATGCAAAGGTGCAAGCGAGCTGGACAAGAATGACGAAAATAATCCCTGGAGAAGGGGAACAAGAGGGACAAAGGACAAACACAAATCTCCAAACACAGCTAGGTGACTGGTGCGCGACCGAAAAAATCCGCCTGGTCCGGGTATCGAACCTGGGACCTCTCCATTACAGGTGGAGCGCTCTACCAATTGAGCTAACCAGGGGTTAGACATCAGTAGAGCAAACGGGTTTTATCAGCCGCCACCAGTCTAACACCAACAAGGGTGAAGCTTGCAATTTAAGGTTATGATTATAATGCAATTAAATGCAAAGGTGCAAGCGAGCTGGACAAGAATGACAATAATTTCAATAATTATCCCTGGAGAAGGGAAATAAGGGGGACAAAGGACAAACAAACACACCTTTGCATTGACTACATTGTCTTCATAACCTTAAAATGTAGGCCGTCCATCCTTGTGAATCCCGGAGAAAAGCTCACCGTAGAAAAGCCCACCGCAAAAACCGGCAGATGCGGAGAAAAGCTCACCAGCCAGTAAGCGTATCAAAGAAAAGCCCACCGATTTTTTTTTTTTCTTTAAAGAAATATTTTTTTTTCAAAGAAATGTCCTTTTTGTGTTATATTTGTTAAACATATTCGGTTAAGCTTATTGCTCCCAAATTAATAATTGTGGGCAAGTGTTTTTTGTGGTTTACTCCAGTGGTTCTCGAATTGGGGTCCACTGACCCTTTGGGGTCTGCAAAGGCATTCTAGGGGTCGGCGAAGCCCTGCCTCATCAGTCAAGCCCGACAATAAAAGTTGTATTTTACTGATGTCTAACCCCTGGTTAGCTCAATTGGTAGAGCGCTCCACCTGTAATGGAGAGGTCCCGGGTTCGATACCCGGACCAGGCGGATTTTTTCGGTCGCGCACCAGTCACCTAGCTGTGTTTGGAGATTTGTGTTTGTCCTTTGTCCCTCTTGTTCCCCTTCTCCAGGGATTATTTTCGTCATCCTTGGGTGCGTAAGTGCGGCTTGCGGCTCAAGATCATGAGGAAAGACATAGAAAAAAAGCACCTTGCATCTTGTCAGCTTTGTGCTATCATACGCACATCGAACAATGTCTGTTTTACGAGTGGGAAGTCACAATAAAAGAACTTATGGAGCCATAACCCCCAACAAAGAACAAAACATTATCTGAAAAGGTGCCACGCTTTTTTTATGGCAGTTTTTCAATTAAATTGGTTCCTTTTTATGGTTTCCAAGCATTTCTGTCTAGTCACCCATAATGTAGAGAAAGGGGGTCATGCATATTGCAGTCAGCTCAGAACGTCTGGCACCGGCGGCTATATCTGTGTGCGCAGTTGCCAGGCACGTACCGACAGTGAGCTTTTACAGTTCTTTCGCAATATGCATCCCACACCATCAAGATTGCCAGTATTAGCAGCCTATTAATGGGACCTGATTCTGAGCATGCACTGTAAACATCGCCTTCAAATATGGCGCCCACGTACTATATTAAAGCGTCGTTGGTAATCAAGGCCCACCAGGACCATCGATGTCTGTCTTCTATAGGGGGTTTATAGAAGACTCAAACGTCGGTGGTGCCAGTGGGCCTCGATTACCAACGACGCTTTAATATACATAAGGAAGCAGGAAAACATCACTTGCAGGGTCTGTACCTGTAGAGTTTGTTTTAGCTTTTCTTCTAGGAAAACATCGACATCACGAGTCCTAAATTAAAAAAACAAAGTCGAAAAGCGCTCGAACAACTTCAGACGGTTATGGCAAAACTAGCATGCCCATACTTCATTTCACATTAAAGGCTCGTTCACACACTCGCGATCCCCAAGGCCCGTGCGCTTTAATATCTTTTATGAGAGAGCAGGCTGGCACCATCTATGCGGTGACCCTGGAACTGCATTTCACTAGAGTGAAGGTTTTGCGGTATTCACGAGATCGGATGTACATATAGTACCTACAAGAAATGGTCATCTAAAACACTGTCCAAAGATTAAAAAAAAATGATGCGCAAAAATAGAAGAATTATATATACTATATAGGACTGACAAAAGTTCCACAGCTACCCAATAGGTAGAGCCAGTATGTTCTCTCATCATCTCAGAGACCTTAAGAGGTTTTAAGGCACACGGTCCTAAGGAGTGGAGAGTGTGGAGAACGCAGCCTTATGCCCAACCGCAGCCAATGTCACGTTTCGACTGAGCCAATCAAGCAGTGCCGAAAGTGCATCGACGTACGGCATTCGTTGTCCATAACACGAGCTAAGCCAATTGCACACAGCGAATGAGCCGTGATCCCGTGACATGGTTTAGCCAATCATGATGCCCTTTCGGCACTGCTCGATTGGCTCCATCGGTTTGTGGCTGCGATCGAACTTAAGAGGGGACACTACCCAGAAAAAAAAAATTCTGCAAAAAACATTGATTTTGAAACATGACATATTTACGTCCACCAACATCTAGAGAGTATTCCCAAAAAATTTAATTAATTTACACTGCATAGTTAATTTTTTATAAATTATTTTCTGTCCACCAAAGCTAAAGAAAAGGTAGGGTTTGGAGCACTTTGAACACATTTTTCTCCGTTCCACTTTTTGGTATAAATTCCATTTTAGTCGACCTATCGTTTGATGATGGCAATACAGAGAAGGCTCGTTCTTCATTTTTCCTGACTGAAATTTAATAAGGAATGCGGCTATGGAATGCTTTTGTCACTTTACAGACGTCTTTTATAAAAAATGTTGACATTTTGTCAAAGACACAGAAGACCAAAAAGTTGAGCAATTTTGCAGAAGTGAAAATTGATAGAAATAAATGACTTCACAAAAAGCTTTCAATAGCCGCACCTCCCAGGCATTCTGCAACATATCTAGTGAATAAAAATCTTGAATATCGTGATAGTTTTCCGACGATAGATTAACTAAACAATGTAGGCGTGCTGCTGATAAAAGCTGCCCTAATTTCCTTCCCACTTAACCGACAGACATGAAATTTTGTTATGCACCTTCTAGCATGACCACCAGCCTACCCTGTAAATTTCATTAAAGGGGCGATGCAACAGTTTTTGTACATTGCGCAAATACCACTTAGAACGGATCCCTGACGCTAATGACCTATGAAACACGCATTCGTTTTTCACCCCACGCAATAGAAGCCCCGGAAAAAATTATAGAAAAACGAGCAGCGTTCACCCCCTCAACTCGCAGCCAGAACAAGCGGCCACGTGATCTGGAGCCGATTATATGCCGCCAATGTTGATCATAGCCACGCGCCGGGGTTGGCAAAGCACAGGACACGCGCTGAGTTCCAGACATTGTTATGGCTCGGCTACTGTCATCGTTGCAGCGATTGGACACGGGCCACTACCCGAATGCTTCTCGAGCTAGTAATTGTCACGAGCCCAAATCGAGTGTCCACGCAATGCTCGGGTCCAGTCTATGAACCGCATTCAAATATCGTCATATGGGTGTACTGCGATCCCCACGTTACGTCATCAAATTTTGCCAAGGAAAGATTGAATGAAAATGATTACTTTTGTCCTTGAAATTACACCGCAACCAAGGCGTTTCTTGGGCAGTGGCGTTGCGTGCGAGTATCCTTGAGTCTCACTAGTGCCAGTAAGCTCGTGTAAAGTGAAAAACATTCCAATTGAATATCGTTGCACCGCTCCTTTAATGTTAAGCCAAGGGTTCAAAAGTTGACCCTCCTAGGGGGTGTCTCCCCTTGAAACAAAGGGTGACCTATCGTCTGCATTCTTCCTTGCCGTTTTGTCCTCTTTCCAATTATTCCTCTCAAGATCAACGACGACTGCGATTACGATTTGCCACGTATACTGCTCCTGTCTCTATACCCCCTGAAAACAAAAACGATGCACAAAAAACAAACAAGGGCACTGTCAGTCCCGCTGTTTGTCTTGCAGTGTGGATACCTTCCCTCAAACACCTTTCATTCATGCATTTTTCTATTGTTTTCCCATACTTTTGCGCTGTAGCTTCCCACAACGAATAGGCCACTCAGCCAAGTCGCCGTCTTGGCACCGACGGTGCACCACCCACGTCAAGCACGCGCTCCGGCTCTCGCGTTTTCGACGGCACATCCGTGAGGAGCCACCCGCAAGAGCCATCGGGTGTGCTTCTGCCTTTTTGGGGCTCATTTTTCTACGAACATAGGGGCATTTTTTCGGGTTTAATTTTTCCCAGAAATCCCGCATTCGTCGGTGTCCAACAAAAATAATGGTATTCATCGGGCCTGGTGTCTAAAAAAACAGAACATGGCCTTGGGATTGCCAAACCTTTAGCAAACAAGTGCGTGAACCAAGAAACATGTATACACATTTAAGACGAGCCATTTGTTGTCTTATAAAAACATACATACTCCAAATGCAACAAGCGTCGTCTTACCCTCTCAGAACCCAATCTCCCAAGAACTACAAAGCACAGTGCGAAAACTATCATGTGCAACACCTATTTCTCGAGCAGATGCCGACAATGAGTACAGTCCCCAAAGTTCTGACACGCCTTTTTGTTGCCAAAAAATGCCTGCAACACTTCCTTTGATGCCTGGTAGGAAATCAAATTCACGGAAGAACAGTTATTGAGAGAGGGAAAGAGGGAGAGAGAGTGAGAGAAAAAACAAAGTAATATGGTTCGGAGACTCCAGCAGCCACTCTGGCGAAATTTCGAGTTTAATTGACATTACTGTAATATCCAAAGAGATGCCCCCCTGAGAGAGAAAACCCAACCCTACTTTTGGCACGAGGACAGTTAGGCAGGAGATAAATTCCGACTGGCAAAAATAGTAGCCTTTGGTTCCATAAAAAGTCTGAAAGGTCACGGGCCTTTGTGACAAAGGTATCGGTATTGTGTTTGACAGTGATAGCGACCACTCGTTCAATGGTTTTGAGCGTGACTAAACAAAGCATAAACACACCCCTCCACATTCTTTTGCTCCAAGTTGTTTTTTTTTTTTTGGTCATACATTTAAAGTTAGCCCACTGCCTGTCTGCACCCAATTTGCTCTTGATATAAAGTGGGCCATCTCTCGGAATGTTACGTTAATAGTCTAATTTATTAAAAGTTATAGAAGTTTTAAGTTTGGTGCGAGGCACCGAAAAGCCCTCATGGCAACGCTGAAAATGTGGCAGCAGATGTTGTAATTAAAAGCTGTAATATGAAGACACTTTAGCTTGTTCCCAAAGCGTTACAAAACATTTGATGGTGTGCAATGAATGCGGGTCAAAATACCGTCTTTAGACTGCCCGCTCAACAAAAAAAATAGCATGACGGGAGGAGCAAAACCTGGGTATTCTAAAAATGTGTTTAATTCGGAAGGCTCCTCCTACCGGAATGATCTGTCCGCACACGCCGACGGGCTCGTGACGCGTGAAGGCGAAGAAGGTCCCGTCGATCGGAATAGTCTTTCCATGGTTCTTGTCCGCATAGCCGGCATAGTACCTACGCAAGTACGGGCACGTGAACCATTGCAGGTCTCGGCGTTCCATTCACACTTTCCAGCAGCAATCTGCATCCAGTAACTTCAGACATTCATAAATAGGAAAATCTATCCACTCGTTGCCTATTTGTTCTAAATGCCACAGAGGGCTTTACACAAGGTGGGTGGCAAGATTTAAAAGTTAAAATGTGCACTAGGTCATTTTGAAAACATGCAAAAATGTTAAACAGCATTGACAGTGGACAAGGCATGCATACTCATTTTTATACAATTTTTTCCTAAATGTTACTACGAAACTTGATTTAAAAGTGACAATTGGCATAAAAATTAGCGAAAACATTGACTTTGCCTCTAGATTTCATTTGCTGCTCTCGCTACTAATTCCAGTCACCTGATGTATTCATTTGGTATTCTTCACTGTGTGGCACTATTGAAAATATTCAAGGAGGTAGAAAGAAACAAACATCTAGAGGCCAAGATACGTTTTCTCAAATTTCGTGCAAATTGCCAATCTCAAATAAAGTTCCCGAGTCATTAGAGAGGTAGTACAACTCGCCATCGAAAATGGTCGAGCACTCGTCACCTTCAAACCAAAGTCTTTGCATTTCTTTGCCAGCTCAAATGAACCTCGACATTGGGAACACGTCGCCCCTACCCGCACTTGCAGACGCCACAAATTTCTAATCCTGTTCCTGTGCCAGTAGAATCTTTTTAGTGCAAATTCAAAACAAGCAACAAAATAACGTAAAGAAAGTGAAGCAATAGTAGTTGCAGCACTGCCATCTGCCAAAGAGTGCACAAGACAAGCTTTGAAACTAAAAGACGAACCGTGACAGGTTAAGAGTAAAATGGAAGCTCCTCCACCTCTTTCCACTTTAGCAGAGCGAATGCTGGAGGAGTTGATCTCTCCAGCGTTCACTCTGCCAAAGTGGAAAGACATAGGAGGAGCTTCCCTTAAAGTCTTAACTAGTGATGGACCAAACTTTTTCCGAATCAAAAATTCGGTGCCGAATCTTGGGATTCGCCGAAGCTGAAGTTTTGCCAAACTTTTCTAGAGATTCGGCAAAGATTCAACAAAAATACATTGTCACCAGACTTAAAAGTTTATATTTCGATTTTTCGAGCGAAAAAGGTTTTTATGTTGTTTTTTTTTTTTGTGCCTGTTGACAGAGTTATTGCTAAATAAGGTGATAGTGTCATTTTTGTGTGTTTACTGGCAATTATACAGTGACCTTTTACAGAAGTGGTGCGACAACAAAGTTGGGTAGTAGTCATGGTATGCGAGTTTCAGTCTTGAGGCCTCATCAGTGCAAGCCTGCAAGTGTGTACGTATTTAAAATAAAGGCAGTCCCATGAGAGTCACCGTTTCGTGCGCGAAAATGAATGCAATGGCTGACGAGTCTTCACCAGAAGAGATTAGAATATTATTGTAAATATGCATGTTTTTCGGTTTGAGTCGCTGATCCCATATTCGCAACGTCTCGTTTTTAACTTTTAAAATGCTGGTTTCTAGTGTTATTAGGACGCATGCGGATGTTTAGGAAGAGGGGAAGAGTTAGGAATATTGGATGTGCAATGTCGAGCATGATAGTTCTGAGTTAAGTTTTATGCGGATAGATTGAAACCACGAAACAATGATAATTAAAAAGCAATATTATTTTGTTTTAGCACAAACTATTTGGGAGCCGAAAACAGGATTGCTGTAATTTCGAGGAGTGCTTTAATGTACTTGCCAGCCAATGTTTCAACTACCTCGTTGACTCACTGAAAAGATAAAATGAAAATCTCGTTATCCAGAACATCATTTGTCACTTGCGCAGTGGCCCGCGTCAATTACTGGTCGATCTTCTGTTCTTGAGGCAAAAAATATTGAAGAAAGCCTCACTCACAAAGACTGAAAAACAGTTACCATGTCACCTACTCCGCTTCCCACCGCAACTGCTGGTAGTACTACAGTACTACACTGTACGATGGTGACAGCACAGCGTCTATTTGTAATCTATAGTCCTATGCCCCATCGCAATCTTGTGCATGCGCAGACATTTGCAAAATTTTTATTGAATTTTTGACAAATATTTGCAAAACTTATCTTTTCCAGATCTGAACTTCGGCAGATTCGGTCCATCACTAGCCTTAATCTGTCACTGATATAGCATCGGTTGGTCCATAATGGACGGCACAAGTGACACTCGTGATTAGTAGCCAAGGGGGTTAACAACGTGCTCCTGCTGACTGTTCCAGACAACGGTAGTCAATCGTCATAGAGCACACTTGAATAGGTTTGTCCTAGGTGTAACCACTTGAATTCTGAGTGGGTGATCTGTGCGAGATGAGACTCAGGAAGCCAGGAGACAATGAGTCTTTTTTAAGACAAATGGTAATAAATAAACAAAATCAAAAAGCAATGAAGCCATACCTCAGGCACTTGACAACAAGGGGAATATCGATGTTGTATGCATCGGCAAACGGCTTTCCATTGTCCAGGGTCTCCAAGCTCTGAAAAACAGCACAATACTCTTTCCTCTTACACGCCATTGGCTCACTCCCACCACCATCTGCTCTACACAGGCTTGCGCTTGACACGCAAAATGCTTTGGTACACCAGTGTCCCAAATGCCGTAAATAAAAGGGGCATTGTTGACCTTTTAGCTCATTTATTTATTATATAACTTGGAAAAAGTATTAAAGCAGCACTAACGTCCTAGAATCGGTGATTTCTGGAATAGAAAATGCTCAAAATTCTAAAGAAAAAAATTTTAAGACTCAAATGTTTTCATTGTATATAAGTGGTAAAACAGCAAACCCTCGTACGTCTCTTCTTATTGTGATAATTCAAAACAGGTTGACGAGTGTCGTTTTAAAACAGGCGCTTTTGCAAATTCAATTTTTGTTAAAGGGGCCCTGCAATCATATCTAAGCGTCCACCTTTTTTGCGGTTTCCACGTCTCTTGGGGTTCGGGAAAGCCAGTGGGCACGGAGAGAGTAACTAAATAGCAGTGAGTCATATTTTAACCGGATGACGCGAAAACCTCTTCCACCTACGGGGGCGACCCGCGGTGCCGAAAGCGCACAATATGTAATGACATTGTGACGTTTTAGGTCCTGGTCTTTCTACAGGTCAGAGTCGCAAAAAGGTTCTTTTTAGTCGAAATACAAAATATAAGTGGCGCGAACCGTTTCAGTTATTTATGAAAATAGTTTTTGTTCAGTATTTTAGATCAGAAAAGAAACAAATGCAGTTTATAAAGTACGGAAACAAGAAATGACCCGTCGACATACCCGCCACCAAGCAGTGGAAAAGGCGGCGCATACTAGAAAGGAGTAGTGGGATCAGGCACCGACAAGCCAGCGAGTATTGAAGGGTCCTAGATGTATGCGGCAGCGCTGCAGTCGAGGATCCGACCGGTACCGAGCATTTCGAAGGCCTTTGGCAAGCAGCTTTGGCTTGCGGTTTGGCCCTTTGGCGGTATGGCAACGCAAAGTGGCTCCTGTTCTGAACTGATCTTTACCCCATCTTTGCTGTCGTTTGTCGCCAATGAAGTGTCATGCCGAATCAGTGTTTAATCGCGCAGCAAATGCAATGAGAGCCGCCCTGGCTGGCCGCTTCATACAGCCTAGCCAGAACATGCTTTAGTGGCACCCTCTCGAGTCGTCGACACTGAGTGCGGCAACTGTGAGCGCTCGCTGAGCTCACTAATCCTCCTCTAGTTCACTCAAGCAACCAAGGACATCATGAGGGAGGTTATTTTTGCTTGTTTTTATTATTTTAATTTGCCTATAACTTTTAAAATAAAGCGAAGTTAGAGAAAAGAAAAGTTCCATTAAGTTACTACGTTCAGTGCGCTCAGGTTCGGTGCAAATTAAAAACCAGTCAAAAAGTCCTTGCAGGGCCCCTTTAAGGCTTCTAGGGAGTGGAACAACCTTCCAAAGCAGACTGTGTGCATCGATGGCAATTATGTTTTCTTTTCGCGTTTGTCCGAATACACTAAACACTCCCTCGAATCGCCTCTCCCAGGAGTGGCCTGCCAATTCCTCCGGCAAATAAAAGAGTGTTCATGAGGGGGAGAACACTTCTGTCTGCCGCAACTGAAAGTTGGAGCACTGCATATTGGCAAAACCATGAAAGCCAAAACTGTGGTAGAAGCGCTGAACGCGGTGGAAGTGAAGGCGGTTTCACCGCTCCCCTGAGTTTTTCAGCACTCGTATGAGTAGCCTGATTTCTCGGTTGTTTTATAGTCATTTCAACAGTTGATGCGTTTTCATGGGAATTATGGGACAAGCAATGCCTAAAATTATAGTGTACCATGTTGCAAATCAAGTATGGCAAGAAGCACATATCCGGTATCCTAAGGTGCCATCCAATGAAAAGTTTCAGGATGCCTCGTTATGGAACATTTCATAACAAAGGCACAGACAGAAAGAGCCAGTTGCAGCCAAGATCCAGGGCAGTTGTGTGCTCACTATCAACAACTTGCTAAACAGTGACAACTGAGCAAACCTAATACATTCTGTAGATGACAGCACGATATTGTTTGGGGGTAGACAACATTTTTGAAATTATAACGACGGGCAATCCAGTTATATATAAAAAAAATAAAAAAAATGATGTGTGGACTGGCTTGAATTTATTAGTAATTACTTATAAACAGTAATAAAACAAGCGGTTGTTTTCAGGCCGAAGGGAATAAACATTACAATATTTAGACTCTCAGTACAAGCACATGCCATTTAGCGATACTATAAAATGTCAAATGTTAATGTAGTTCTCAACACACGCATGCATGGGACGAAGCCGTCCAAATTTGCGCAATTTTCAAGCAAAAAAATGCATTAGGCTCGTCTGCTTCGTCTTATTTCTACCGCTTTTTGTGCTCACTTTAATTAGTTTCTTAGTACAGGGAAAGAGCACCGTTTCTCTAATTGGTCTTATATCGCAGAAAAGTTGTTCATCCTGTTATGCAATCAGAGGCATGAAAGCTACACAGGCCCTCTTATTTAAAAAATTAGGCATTGTTCAAATAACAATTCTCCATGATTATGAATTTGGTCTATAGCATACAAAAAACTTTCTTTTTGTATGCACTTTCTTCCTTGCAATTAAAAGGGACTTCATACGCCATCCTCTATATTGGTGTCTGCACGGTCCCGCGCTTGAGGACCAACTCTGGTAGTTTGAGATGCTTAAACACATCTTTCCCAAGGTTTTAAGTTGTTTTTCATAATTTGGGGATCGAGGGGTCGTGGGCCGCAAGAGCCAAGTGCGCACACTTGCGTTGCGTCACAGGGCGGTGCATGCACGAGCGTACATGGAACCAAGTTTTTTGCCTGGCACATGGCCGACACCGTGAACGCAGTTGGGAAGTCTCTTTAACAGCTATCACTGTAAAAAGAAAAAAAAAGCTCACAGCGAGGAGAGTCCGATCTCGCTCGACGAGGTCTGCAAGACGGTAGAGAAGCAGTCCACGGTCCGAAGCGTCCATGGTCCGCCATGGCGAGCCCAGCTGGAACGCCTCCCTGGCTGCCTTGACCGCCTTGTCCACGTCCGCCTGCGGGCCAAGGTCACCGTCCATTCCCTTAAGCTCCGGTGCTTCTCACGAATAAACACTTAAAGTGAGCGGGAAGCAACTCCAGTAGCAGCTTGCATGCACAGTGCACGCAGGCTGCAGATGCTGTTACAGATCCCAAAAACAAAGAAATTCACAACGGTTACCACCATGTTGACATGGCCAATATGTATTTGTATTCCGCTCTTTCTTGGTAGAGGAATAATCCTGTTACAGACCCCTTTCAAAAGTCTCGTGCCACTGTTAGGTCTTAACCTCTGCACAATGGTGAGACAAGCAACGCCGCAGAAAGTGTGTGCAAAATTTTTACGCAGGCTGACAACGAAGTGGCACATTAGCGGAATTTGTGGTGTTCCAACTCTGGCAGTGTCATTTGTATCCGCCATTGTTTAGCAATCCCACAGCTTCCATTGGAGGGCATACTTTCGAAAGCGGTCTAATAAGGGACCCTGCAGTCTGAAGGACACCTTTTTACCAGTCCACCGCACGTCTCATGGGCATTACACTTCTGCAGAGGCACTTCTTTGTGGATTTAAGTGGTTGCAATGGAAAGACAAGAGTTCAAATCATACTGCAATAGAACTTTTATATGGTGAATTCTCACATTCTAAATGGACACACAAAATAGATAGGAAGCGGGAATTTAACGTCTCCAGTGTAAATTACGAGTAACAAAACAGCATGGTTGAAACAGTGTGCATCAAAACAGGATGGCACCAAAACAGCCCAGCAACAAAACAGCATGCATCTAAATGGCGTACGACAAAACAGATCGGTGACAAAACAGCACAGAGGTGAGCACGCGTGTAGATGTGGTTCTTTTAGTCAAAATTTGTTCCGAGTGTTCGACAGAACATATTTATTTGTATCCTGTGCCATTAGTGTGTAGCCACAGGTACCAACCTGGAGGTAGGAATGTTCAAATAATGAATTTGTAGCGATCCATTTTTTGCACAGGGTTTTAGGTGTGGGGAAGTCAGTTGTGTCCCCACTGTAGAGGAGCAATTGGTGCACTACAACTGCTTAATTGGCATATTAAAAAGTAAAAAGAGAATTTTTTTTTTTTAATTTTATTACATACAGTTTACACATACGTCTAGATACTATTTATGACACATGCTCACTTCTAGCTCCACAAGCTGTGTAACTGTTACTGACAATGCCCCAGAAAACTGACACCCCTGGAGGCTGATCATGCTCTGTAGAGCTCCTGTCAAAATCGGCGGATGCAAAATAAGAAAGGCGCCTGCTACGCACCCTTGTTAAAACCTGCATCCTCCGTCGGCTTATCCAAAAAAAAAAAGTGATAAAGTTACCAGGTTTGGAGCTTCGCTTTTTTTATGTCTGACCAAGTTGTGACGCGACTGGTCACATGGATCATGTGTCAAATTAGCCTCCTGTTCACTTCATCCCTAGTTTCTCAACTACACTCGATAGAGGACTAGAATAACCTGCCCAACAGCATTGGGACCCAAAAAGATTGGAACATATTAGTAGCGCAATCAATCGACTAGCATAAAATTGACTCGTTCCCCACAAGGACTGTGTCGTTTACTGCTAATAACATAGGTAGTTAATTGTTTTGTATGACAATGTCGTATAATTAATTTCAGTTTCTTTTTTTTTTTGCTTTTATATAAGAACATTTTACAACTCCCACCCACCCTGTAATACCCTTTCGAGCCCTCAAAGTATATTAAAAAAAAAAGACGATGTTCTGTTCGGGTAAAAAAACATTTTTTGTTCATTCCTGTTCCCACAGGATCTACCCAGCATCTACGATAGTAACACTTGCAAGATCTGTAAGATTCAGGTAGCATCGCTTCCCCACATACTATGGGAGTGTAAACACAATATCTGACGATTAACACTGTGACCCTCTCGTCGAGATGGCACGCCGCCCTGCACAGCTCCCACCTCGACGCCCAACTCTGGGCTACCCAGCAAGCCTGCGAGGCAGCGAAGAGGCAAGACCTCGATATCCCCACGTGTGAGGCCTAGGCCCAGGCAACTAAACTGCTGGTTTCAATAAAAGTTTGTTCCTCCTCCTGTTCATTCCTGGGACGTGTAAAAATAAGTCATTTAGAAATAAAATAAGATTGAAATCCTTACTGAACAAAAAAGGGAATAAAAAATTAAACATTCAGAAATTAATTTGATTATTTATAAAACTGCTATCAAACAAGTGAAAAAAAAAAAAAATTTTAGACTGAATTTTACAACTACAATGAGACGTGAACACTGCATGACTCAGCTAGCGCAGACAATACATTAATGTAGTGTGTCGACATTTTGGCTAGTTGGCAGTCTGACACATTGAGGTATTAAGAGCACAGTGTAAAGAGAAGAACAGGACAAAAAAGAGAACTATAGCTTGCATCGACGTCATTAACGGTCATGTCAGTTTATGCGCCGCGAGTGTTTGGTTCGCCATGTTAGTTGCACATCACAAAGGTTGCAGTCTGAAGTAACCAGCAAGTAGAAATAACCCCCAGCAATGGCGACACTTGCAAGCTATATATAGGTTTACTGACGAGAAAAAAAAAGGAAAAAAAAAGGAATGTTTCACTTCATCCCAGTGAATGACGGTCGCTCGTTCATCCAGGTTCGCACGGGGCCTTCATGTCTGTTGTAGGAATTCTCTTTCCTTATTTGATAGTGTCACCGATTCTACACTTGCACAGTTCTTTCTTTCTTTTCTTTCGTTGTCAGTAAACCTATAGTTGTGAGTAGCACCCTTTTCTGTCCTGTTCTCTCCATTTTGTGCACTAAATACCTCAATATGTAAGACATTAATTCGTTTTTGCCTTTTACTTGGACAAGGTATTAAAGAGCACCAGAGTTTACCAATTAGACTAGTTCTCCAACAGAGCACTTCATACCAAGCCAATTTTTCAATTATATTAAAAATGCAAAAGAAATAAAATTAAGATTGCTCGTTCACGCTAATTAACAGTGCCCCACACTACCCCACGCTACAAATCCCGTGCAGTGTTAACGGGGAGATTAAAACAATAAGAAAAAACAAGCCAGCCATACGTACAAGAGTTTTTTTAATATCAGCTTGATGGCAGGCTGCTGAAAACGAAGCTCTGCAAAGCAGCCCGCCACTGCAAACAGCTGCCACTTTTACTGCTACGCAGCCGGCTCCAGCTAGGCTTTAGTGACATGTGCCTGCCCTCCCACTGCGATGCCACACACCATTTATAGCGACCCCAGTTTGAAAGCTCCAACTTGTTGACGAGCCACTAGCTGCTCTACGGCAACACTACGCCCGGAAGTGTGGTGTTGGATTGCAGCAAACGGCAACCGAACGTAGCAAGCTACAATTCTCATTTTAGCCCAATTTCCAAATTAGCAGCAACAAGCATCTTTTTGTTTTCTTTTCACAAAACTTTTTCAATGGTTGTGGACAGCTAAAAATGAGCAAGCTCATTCGACAAGAGACAAAGTGTGCCTCCGAATTTCCTTGAACAAACGAAACAACTGAAACAGACCTTTAGCTTATCATATTACAGCTCCGATTTCTTAACAGATCCGACAAATCTGACCATTATTATCAATTGTCAAGTGCGTACGATTTGAAGAAAAAGAAAAAAAAGTGCTGTTGTATAGCATTTTGGTGCCGAAGGAAACAGCAATGTTGTAAAAGAGTGGGGTTCCGGCCTGAACATTCCCGTTTTAGGGGTTCATTTCTAGCGTCCAATCACTTTGTCTCAACAAAGACTCATGCCCTGTTTTTGTGGGAATGTGCACATAGCATGCGAAATCTGTATGAATCGAGTGGAAGAAAACAAACTATTTTTACTTGTTAGATGCAATTCTATGAAAATAAATGTATTGCGAAAATGTTACCCCTCACGGAGTATAATTGTGAGCTTTGTGTAGTTTCACATGGCAGTACATTTTTTTCACAGAGATGTATAAAAAAGACTTAAGCTACTGAACTCTGCAGTTTGGACATTTCTTCCCTTTTGTTTAAAAATTGGGCGAAAAAAGGTACTGGTGTTGTCAACAAATGACTCTGCAAAAAAGTGCATCTCGCTTCCCGCTTGTCTTGTTTTCCACCCTGAGGATTATGGTAACCCTATAAAAGATTTAAGAGTTTAAAGAGTGTTATCGAGAAGAACTGTGCCCGAGGTGCACCTGTGCCACGTGTGTCGAAGAGGTATTGGGAATAAAAGATTTATAAAAGTACTTCAGATGCAAGGCGGAATGGTAACTTTGCATATATGGTCGACAAGCGCCAACAGGTATTGAATGGCACTAATGACCTTCAAGGCAACTTATTTGGCCATGCCTCCCAGAAACCTCTCGAGATTAAGGGGAGAGACTATCTCAGTCTCTCTCAAGCAAAACAAGAAGCTTACAGACAGAGTTTGAGCAAACTGATAAGCAGGCAAAAGGCAAGATAACGATGCCACACTACTGAGAAGTATGCACAATGAAAACAGCAGTTACAAAGCTGCAGTGCATCATTCACGACAAAATGATCAGAGGGACACTGCACTGACTGCACTCTGAAAAAAAAACACTTCATTGTGATTGGGTAAGACATGCCTGTCAGAAAATAAACATTCTCTCTAAGAAAAAAGGTGCAATATTCACGTTGTGCGAGTTACATATTGTGATTGTGTTTTGGCATGTCGACCCAAAGTTGCTGACTAACGTGGAAGTTTGGGCTAGTTGGTATTTCATGATTAAAAATTAAAACAGCGCAAGGACACGGACAAGAACAAGAAGGTAGACGAACAAGCGCCCTGCTCGTCTACCTTCTTGTTCTTGTCCGTGTCCTTGCGCTGTTTTAATTTGTAACCAAAGTTGCTCCTAGAGACACAGAGCTCAGAATCATTTCTAAAACACCAAGCTCCGCAAAAATATTTATTTCAATGCCTAGATTGCAAACTTGTGTCTTACTATAAAGCATCATCATCCCCCCCTTTCCAAAATAAAAGTTCTTTCAAGTCTGCTTGAATGAGGAAGGATCCTGAAATTTGGACATGTCCCAAACCAAGCACCAAATGTAGTCATGTTGCAATACTCAAAGCAAATCTCACAACTTGAATATTGTGCACAAAAAGAAATTTATATTTTGGTCGAAGTGTATTTAATGACACGTGTTCCTTCCAAGCACTGGAAAAAATAAACTTATGTTAAACTTATTTTAGTTCAGTGTTCCTTTAAAGGAAAACACTAACCTTAAAAAGCAAAAATTTTAAAAATTGGAATTACCATATACATTTTCTTAAATACATATGTCGCAAACAATTGCATACGTTCCAATTACCAAACTAAGAAAAACAACATTAATTTAGTTACATCGAAAAGTTCCACAACTAGTAGGCTGTTTACACAAAGGTTTCGAGCAACTTTTCCAGTTTCTCAGAATCAACTTTCACAACACAGTTTTGCCCCCCCCCCCCCCCCATGATATCCTTGCATCTAGATTTTGGATCTAAAACTTCATTGAGGGTTGGTACCTCCTACATCAAAGAAAGAAACAAGTCCAAATTCCTAGAAAATACTATGCTTAGCGCCAGAGGCGGATTTAGCACTTTGCCGCCCTAGGCAGCCTTTTAACAGTGCCCCCCACCCTGTTCCCAAAAGGTCAGTGACCATGGAGGGGGGGGAGTGGGGGGGGGGGGGGGGGGGGGGGGGACAGCAGTAGAAAAGTTTGGAGCTGCAAATTTTCAAAAGTAGCCAGGTTTGGAGCTAGAATTCTCAAAATAGCTAAATTCAAAACTAGATTTAAAAAAAAAAAAAAAAAAAAAAAAAAAAAAAGAAAAGAAAAAAAAAGAAAAAGCCAGTTAATTTGGGGGTTGTCACAAATTGGTTGCCCCCAAAACTTCCCGTCACCCTAGGCAGCTGCCTACTCTGCCCCTTGGCAAGTCCGTCCCTGCTTAGCGTAACAAAATACAATAGGTGTGCATATTTATAGGGAATAAATAGCACCGGGGCAGTGGCCCGCCGCAATGACTCACCCCCCCCCCCGGCTCGTAGCCCACTGCAACGTCCCCCCCCCCCCCCCCCCCTCTCGTGGCCCACCGCGACGTGACACCCCCCCACAAGCGCTGCACCCAGAACGGTCCACACCCCCCTCCCCCCTAGTGATGCCACTACGTCATGCTTCTACTTGTCCGTGCTTTTTTTGACACTTTTTTTCCTCTACAATGTACAGCCAACCCGCCCCAGTACATACCCGTGAGAGAATTTTATTCAAATTGGATGAGAAATGGCATAGAAATGTTCAAGACCAGGGTCTCTCTTTCAAGGAGGCTCTACGAGCTGACTGATCCCATATCTCACCTCTCATTCGACAGTATACAAAGAAGGTCTAAAAATTAGCCTACAATCAGCAACACCATGACCAGTGCAAGCTTCCTACCTTTGACAACGCTTACAAAGTAATTTAATTCCGTGATTACTGTACAAGGCAACTTTCCTTACAAGGCAAGTTTATTCTTTGAATTTTACATTGTGAGCTTCCACCACCTGCTTGCACCTCTGTAGTAAATTGCATGCGATACGTTAAGAAATGGATTGTTGAGGGCCATCCAAAGTGTCTTAAATTTAAAAGTGTTAAGTTTACATGTGTATAGTGCAAGTGGGGAAAGCAAGAGAAAGATTGGACCGAGAGTAGTCACCTTGTCTCCCTCCTGGACCTGGGCGATCACATCCCCAGTTGTGGGGTTGATGGTTGGAAAGGTCTTTCCGGAGACAGAGTTGTGCCACTCATTGTTGATGAAGATCTGCAAACAAACAAAGCCCCGACCACGACCTCATACACATTACAGACACAAGGAGTTGTCGATTGCAATCACTCTCTGTCAAAAACTGTTGCAACATCCCGGGAGTAGCCCCACTCCCAAAAGGTAGCTCACCCTGGTTTCTGGTTAAACTTTCTATTCATGCAAAACCACCAAAACATAGCCCACACAGAAAGACAGACAATGAAGACTTGAAACAATGATAATCTTTGGCTCAGCCGTCGCCTGTGATAACAGGTTAGTCCACAGAATCTACAAAAAGACCAGCCCCCTTTGGGCTTGACCAAAAACAAGCGAGGCATAGCAATACGTTATTTGGCAGATTCACAGAAATGAATCTGTCGAATCAGGAGATTTTACATCAAACACTCATTTGCCTGAAACTCAAATATGTATCAGTAACATTCATAATGGAACAGCGCGAATTTTACAGGCACAGAGGAAGGAACTGGACAGGACGAGCGCTGACTAACAACTGAAAGGTTTATTATCAAGAAACCACGAAGAAAACATACAACAACACGACTCTCCAATCACCATGGAAGTGCGCATGCGTCTCAGAAAATTGGGGTTATCTGTTACACAATTCTATATGCGTCATCCCCGACCCGATCAGTAATATTGTCACGTATGACGGATGATGAGGCGATGACTGAACAGAAACTAAATGTTGAATTTGGCAAAGTTGTGCCGAAAACAAAAATACAAAGAGGTAGTGTCACAGGTGTCGCAGGTCAGTGAAATAGCACGATCGAGCACAAGAGCGAGACTGGCTCCAGCTCACCATGCGGAACCCCTTATGTACATGCGTGGGCTTCTAAAACATCCGGTGTAGAACTTTCAGCAGTGCGTAGAACATTCGTAACTCGATCAAACAACAATGTTCTCGAACTTTCGAGAATGACAAGTTGAAAGAATAAATAAAAGAACACTGTGCTCCCTGCAACCGAACCTAAAGCCTCCGTGCAGCAGCCAAGCGCAATAAACAATCGGCACCGCACATTCTTTATTTTTTTTTCTTTTCTAAAGCAAAAAAAAAATTATTTACAGTATGTATACAGTGAGATAACCTTGCACAGCAAAAAGAGAAAAGAAAGATATTCGAGAGGGCACGTGTATATGCATAGTTCAACGAAAGGAGGGGGCAACAAATGGATCCGCGCTCCGGTTTTGCCCCCCATGTTCCCTTTCTTCCGACCAACAGTTACACGCCCAGCCCTGTACCAGCCCCGGGAAGACCGGAGCGACCAGAGCCTCAGTTTAGCCCGCCCCGGCCCCCACGCAGACGGATGCGCTCGTCTCTGAGTTGCCACGCTTCTAGGCGTTTACTCTAAACTCCGTCTCACTAAACCCAGCAGTACAGCCAAAGCTACAGAAGAGAGAGTATACCGACCTGGTCAAGAGGAGAGAAAGGAGGAATCCCAGCCCTTCCCTCACATTCCTCCTTTCCCTCCTCTTGAACAGGTTGGCATACACTCCCTCCCCTGTATCTTTGGCTGTACTGCACGGTTTTAGTGAGATGGAGTATACTGCCTGCCACTTGCAACCCACAAGCTGCTCCTCTCCCGCCGCGATCGAGAGAAGCCACCCGAGTCTTAAGGAAGTAGTCTCAGGTCGGCCGAGCGTTGGCGTGACACACCACCATTGCCGTGCGTGCTAGCCAAATGGAGTCGAGCCCCAGCAGCATGACTGCCGGGGCCATGTTTGAGCTGTCGGTACCGCCAAGGTCCAAATATTTAAATGTCACCAACTCCATCTCGAAATCTACCTGGAGCGCTGACCTCATTTCATCTCATAAAAGATAGGCATTTGTGCGTTTGACAAAAACATGCTGCAATGTTTCAGTTGCCCCACAGAGGGCACAGTTGGTAGACCATGGTACGAAGATGCCCCCCGACCGCAGCCCCACCTTCACCGGCAGCACTTCGAGGTGGAGCTGCACAAGGAATTCCTTGTTCGTTGCAGGGACAAAGAGCTTCCATACTCGCCTGAAGAGCCCGGCCGCACAGGGGGGGAACGGAACGTCCCTATAAAGGGGCGCTGGAAGAACTTTGCTGATGGTGTCCCAGTACATCCTTTTGCGGCTTACTGTGAGGAAGTACTTCCTAAAGAAACTTGATGGAACTGGCTATTTTGGCGTAAAAGCGCAGGTTTGCCCCTCAGGTGGCGTGGCCTCTAGTGCTTAGCCTTCACCTGGCAAGGTACGGGTACCCAAGGTAGTGGAGGGTGCTTAGGAAAATGGCGTTCCTTGTTCCTAAAGAGCAGAAACAGTTGGACATGCAGCTTCAGAACCACCTTGACAAGGCCCAGTCCTCCCGCTTCCAGACTCAGGAAGAGGTTACTGCACCGGGTTCTCTCAATTAAAGACCTCCAGATGAACGTCGCCAGCTCTGGTGGATTTTGTTGGCGGCTGACTCCGCACAGCAAGCGGCCCGAGCCCAGCAGAGAACCGCTGGGTAGGATGCTGTGTTTCATACATATGCCCTATTGAAAACCGAAAGACGCCTTCCCAGTCGTGGAAAAAGGTTAGCCTGAATGGCGTTAGTTTACAGGCGTCACTTCTCTGCTGACGGTCTACGTTCGCCGATGGGAGCTTCCAGGTAGCCCTCCACCGCCATCGCCCATGCGATTGCTGCGAAATTGCCCGGCTTTGTGGCCCACTCCCCGAGCCAGGCTCCGATAAACTTTCGTCGGTTAAGTTCCATTTCGAAAGCTTGGGAGCAAACCGTGACATGGTTCAGCGCGGCTTAACCTGCGCCTTGGAGGCACATATCACGGCCACAACGTCGGCGTAAGCGAGCAGCTTCAGTTGCTCATTGCCGAGCTGCAGTCCCCATATCGACGCGTCCTGATTGATGGCCTGACAGAGAGGTTCCAGCTGGACAGCGGGCAGCCCTGCCGAACAAAGCGTTCTATCTGTATCGACTTCCCTGTCTCACAGTTAACAAGCAGCCTTGTTGTTGTCTCGGCAGCAAGGTGCTACCCAGTCAAATATGACGTCCTTGACACCACACCTCTTCAGCACCACCTCCAAAAATTCCTGAGAGACCTGGTCGAAGGCTTGGCTCATATCAAGCTGAAGGACTGCCAGGGGCTGATGTCCTTCCCCAGTTGCTTCCCTGACGACACGCATCGCGTGGAGATTTCGAGCGATTGAGCGACCCCGCAGCCCGCATGTCTGGTGGTCTCCGACCATACAATGGAGTTTGATGTCCAGTCTTCTCGCCAGGCCACCCGGCTCAACGTACCCTCATTGATGCCATAGAATCCATTCAAAAACAATTGGCATGCTTTATCTTTTTTGTCTCGATAGCATTCACTATTGAAATTAATCTTAAACTCTCCGAATTACGATTTAAAAAAAAGAAAATATTGCAATTTTCTTTTTTAGAGCACAGCTCTTAGGCGCCCGTTCCCGGGATGCGGCGGAAATGGTCAGTGCATTATCTTGGCACGCTCTCCGCATCAGGACCTTGCATACAAGCACCTGATGTTTGCGTAGCGCCATCTTTCCTAGACGCAGTGAACGGTGCTACAACCCCCTGAAAGCAAGCACAAGCAGAAGCTTGAAGGGCGACCACCTTAGGTTTAGACTGTGTCACTTTTGCCTTAATAATTTTATGCACTCACTACAATACACACTCCCTACTGTAAACTGAATGCTCTCCTAAACTAATGTTGTCAACATTGTTTCAATGACAATGAAAGATTTGCGTAATGGGTTGATGAATGAGCTAGTAAAAAAGCAGTTTATGTGCTACGTTGCATAATTCAAAACCCTCAATGTTCCCAAGCCCTTAACTTTTGCAAATAAAAAAAAATTTGCCAAATTCTAGGGCATACAAAAATTTTGGTTTAAGAGTTTCAATGCAGGCGTCTGGAATTTGCAAAATTTAGTGGCCATGATTATGTCCCCTGTGACTGATTTGCGAGAAATAGCGGCCGTGAATATAAAGGGTTTTACAGTATACATGAAACTACCGGATTCGAGCGAACAGAAAATTGCATAAAGAGGCTAATGAACATTTGAGTGCATATTTATCAGAATAAATTAAACTTCACAAGTGCATGTTACAAAAAAAAAAAAAAATGAAATCTTGTTTCCAAGGACAGGAAAGAAAATGGAAACAAACTGTCTGGTTGATGCTAGCTGCAACTCACAGCTAGTACCGCCAGTGCCGCACAGAATCTGCTAGATAAAGCTGGATCTGCTTTCGAGTGCTAATCTTAGAGGCTTTCAAGATTTTTTTTTTTGTTCCGCACTAAGCTTGTGCAACTTGTGAATAGCAGTGCCAAGTTTGAATTTGATACACGTTTATATAGCCTCGTTTATGTGTATCAAATATTACTGAATTGGCTTTCCTTGAACCTTAAGTGTTCTTTTTGTGTGTGTGTGATTGCTGCCGCTGCAGCCAATGGCAAAAAAAAAAAAAAAGGAAGGGGGCGGGGAAATTGATCAGGCTACAGGAAACAGCTTTTTTTTTCCTCGCTCTTCTAATATTCTCATTAATTTTTTTTTTTTTTTTTTTTTTTACGATTTAGGTGTGCACGGCGGCGTGACCATCAACTATCCTAAACTTGCCAATGAGTTTACTCCTTCATTTTCAGTGTCATAACAGTCTTTTCAAACATTCACTCAAAAGGGTCACGCAACCTGTTCGTTTTTTTGTGTTTTTTTTTGCTTTTAATATTTATACATGTAAGCAAAATGGGAAATAAGAACGAACAAGGCGTGCTCGCGGTGCAGTGCCCGGTGCCGGCATCGGACGGCGCGGAAACGGGGGGCTAGCGGCGAGACAGCGTCGGAAACAACCGACCTGGGCGTACCACTCACCTGGCTGTACCTGATGTCAGGATTTCGTATCGGGTTGGCCGCGACCGCAGTAGACTGACAGCGCGAGAAGGCGCCTACGGGGAAACCCCGAGCGGAGACTCGGCGGGCAATGACTCTCAACATGGCTTCGCTTCTCGGTCTTCCCTTGCAAAGTTTGCTGCTGCTTGCTGTCGAAAGCGGTGGAGCGGTGCGGGCGGTGGCGTCTGCTCGACTGCTCCAAGCGGCTTATCTGATTATCTGACTGCAATCGCGGGACAACTCGCGTGGGCGTATCACACAAGTAGTTATGCGCCGGAAACTGCGCGGCTCCGCCTCCAGCTTTCAGCGCATAAAAAAAGAAAAAAGCATCAACCATCGTGAATCAAAAATACCGCACGCTCTTTGCCGCACATCCAAGGAGGTTGCGCACATCGCACGCTCACGCGCAGGCGCAGGCCTCTCTTGGCTTGGCTCGTTGTGGCTTCTTGAAAGTCAGAAAGCGTAACAAAAAGGGAGTCGAATCCATATGAAATGACCAAATCCAATCGGAGACATTTGCGGATCACGGTTCAAATCCGCATCAGCCCATCAGCTCTCGAACGAAAGCAAGATCGGGAACTATGAAGGCAGCCAATAATGTGAGCTAGGTTTCTTTATTTTTCAGAAATGATTCAGTGATCTAACGAGCCCGTAGCTTATTTTCGGTTTTATCGGTTCACCACATGCCATCTTTTCGAAGTTCTTGAAATGTTCACATTCTCCGAAGTCTGCATTCGGCAAGAGAACTCGCGGCTTCTCAGCGTGACTTGCATTCCTTTTGTTGTTATCTTTCTCTCTCCAGTCGCTGTCTGGGCAATCATTTTGGCGTTGAATTGGCCACGTCCTAAAACAGTTCTTTCGAAGCGGAATTACTAATTGAGATGGGTACACGAATGGACGAGAACCGCCGCAATGCACTGTCTCCACTAGAGATTTATTGAAAACACGGAACTGTTTATGAGCCTTGTCAGATTGCTGAGGCAAGTATTTATATTCCTTGTCTGAGGACAACAGATAATGTGAGCTACATTTTTCTATCTTGCGCAAAATTGTAGTGTTATATTGAGCCCGTTTAGCTTTATTTTATAGTTTCCTATTTTGGTAGTTTTGTCGGCTTGGCTAGAACGCTAGTTCTAGACAGAGATTTGCGTGGAAACTAGGGGTGTCGCGAACCGGCCGAGGTTCGAGTTCGACCAGGTTCGACTTTTTCGAACCTTTTGCGGAAATTTCGACGAACCTTGTGTTGAGGTTCGACTCGTGTGCGCATGCGCGACAGGCTGGACAGTTGGCTTCGGATTGGATGGTAATGGCTAAGGGATGAATTAAGCGCACCGCTGATTGGTTATTTTAGTTAATACAGTACAAAACAATTAAGTTATTAACGTCTAAAGTGACTAAAATTGGTTTCTTTTAATTGCAACTGTTCATAAAATAAAATAACTCTTCGCATAAAAATAAATTCTCTAAACCTAGACATGCGTGTATCAAGGTCTGGCCACACTGTTCGCAAAGTCGAACCGGTCGAATTTGGTGAAAAGTTTCGAAGGTTCGTCGAACCGGTTCGACCCAGTCGAACCCCGAAAGTTCGACCTAAAAATCCGGTTCGACAAAAGTTCGCGACACCCCTAGTGGAAACCGACCTTCAAAAGCAGTAGCACGAAAAAAAAACAAAAAAAAACTTTCAAAATAATTTTAAATATTATTTTGACGTCCGTGACGCCATTTCCTGAAGACGTGAAGTTGTTTTTAAAACCATTTTGATATCCTCCATCAAAATATTTCTAATTATCTTGACATCTCAAACTTGGAACTCTGGAGCTTTGGCCACTTCGGCGTTCGGATCAGACTGGAAGACCCCCTAATGCTGGCACTCAGTTCGTCGAACGCCGACTTTTCATCAAAAGACACTTCAGCGAATTGTCGGCGTGCAGTCGACTGCAGTTTTTATTACCTTTTAGTTGATGTGGAATGCAAAACAAAACTTCTCAAAGTACATCAGCAATCTAGCCAGATGTAACGTTTGCTTGGTTGTGCCCAACATTACAGAATGTGGCACTGCTGCTTTTAGTGATTTAGTTCATGTGTTTTATATAGACAAAGGAGCTGTATGTCGTGTCATAAAATTTGCAGTTGATTGGAAAATGTGTGTATATCGTACAACCATGCCAGAACCTCTGTTCGTTTGCATGGGTCGAAAAAACATCAAGGAGGCAATGTTTGCATTCACAACCTTTTATTTATCATCCCGATCGTTTCATAGTTAACCCAGTCGTTATATACAAACCAAAAATATAACCTAAACTAAACAACAAACTCGCGAAATCCAGTTAAAAACCGGGCAGGAGCCAGATGCAAAGCGAGACTACAACCATACGAAGATGTGCTCGCACGATATGGAGGCACAAAAACCGTGCTAAATTTCTCTGTGTTACATAATGTATGCACTTACATCTGTTAAGTGCAGGGAAGACAGGGATATCCAGCTCACCTTTGTTGGAGATTAAAAATGTTAAGTGAGACGCGTGCCAAAATTATGTGCGAGCTCAGAACATCGCCACTTGTGGGCTTGTCACGTTCGCAAGGATCAACTGTCGAGCCAGTCCCAGACACATGCTGTACACACGCTGAATGAAACAATTTCCACTGCAAACTAGGACCTGAACGTCTTGGGCACACTACACATGACTGTGCCAACATGTCAACACAACACCGATGACACCGTCAGAAACTAAACAGAACGAAACTGACAAAACCACGAAATGGCTACCACTGCTCTGACTGTATGGGCTGCATTGAGGGAGGACGTCGAAATAATAAAGCCACTATTTTGATGTTTTACATAAGTGACATCACAGACGTTGAAATAACTTTAGAGATAATTGGACGGTGGATGTCAAATTGGTCACTGCCAAAAAACGCCAAAAAAAAAAAGCCATCAAAACTGCTGTCCTACTTGTCCTGAATTCCAGGATTGGCTTACACAAAAACATCTTCAAATCGGCAATATATATTTTTCTTTTCTCAAACACAGCATTGTGAATGGATGAATGTTAACAGCTGTACCCTTTAAAATGGTGCTAGCTTCGTAATCGTTTGAAACACATCGTTTTGCTCTTACGTGCTGGTAATCTTGTTTTGCACTGCTTTGCTTTCGCTGTACCTATTAATTTGTCTCCACCGTTGTGTCCTGACTATTTCTCGTATCCAGCGAATGATATGCTGCAGTTACTGGCAGAGTGTGAACAGCAGTGAGGAGTTTCAGTTCTCCCGCTTTCAGTGCGAGCTTTCTACCTCCGATAACGCTTGGACGTCTTGTGAACTTCACGCATTCACACCAAGTCAGAGCACGGAGGAGGGCAACGAGTATGTGTCGGCTGCTGTGCTTTTCAGAGACGCTCTGCACTGCCCGTCCTGTCTATGATTTTTGGCGAAGAGATTGAACAATAGGGGGCACTTTGTCCAGCTTGTTTTTCACAAAGCTCGGTGTTCTCTTGTCACAAGGCATGTGGACCGGATTCTTTACGTCATCTACCTTGATCGACCGTGAGCTCACCTGGGACGCGAGTGCGGCGTCAGCGTTCAGCTGGGGCTGTACAAATGGTGCTCCATTTGTATGATTCATCGATGAAACTCGAGCCCCAGCCAAGCACTGATGCAGCGTTCGGCTACGTCAACTGAGCACGACATCAGAAACGCGAACAAATAATTCACATTATTGTCCCCATGGGTTCAGTTATCAACTTAGCCGCTGGGGCGCAGGGCAGCTGGACCTCTTTTCCAATAGGCGACCAATAAATAATGTGAGATGGTGTTCTTGTAGTACTGGTACTGCTGTGGACCATTCCAGGCTGAGCAGTCCAAGGGGGGTGGGGGCAGGGTACACTCAGTCTAGTGGCTAAGTGCGCAGCCATGGGGCACATCGTCTGCTTACTGGAGTGAGCTGTAACAAACATCTGGGTAAAATGCGAACACATATAAAAATTGTGTCATGGTGGCAATTTCAAGTAGAAACGCGTGGATTTAAATATGCAGCCTAGCATGTAATGTCATACTCTGTAAAAAAGAAAGATTAGCCAGACACTATTGCTGTTCCATGTACCGTGCAAATAAAAAAAAAAAAAAAGCTTTGTATACAGGTGTGCATGACTCACCCCAATGAAGAATAAATGCAGTTCATTCGTGGTGGATCAGCATTGAATGGATACAGGTTTATAGGAGCAACAACCAAAAAGTCTAAATCAAAAAAAGAAAAGAAAAAGTTGCACTCGACAAGCAGCTGCAACTGCGCCTACTCGGGACATTGGTTCGACAAAAAATGAATCCGCACAAAATCCGGTGTCTGCTAAGCCTTGGACAGTAGAAACTTAAGAGCACTTATTATTTCAAATGTTTGGAGTACCATAGTGTATTTTTTAACCTAGGTGTCCCTTTCACGAATTAATACTTATTTCGTATGTAACTTTAATGCATTGTGACAAGTCTAACACCGCGGTTATGTAAGCGTCGACCGTTCAGTGGCATGCTTTATGCGAAGGTGGTTGCGAGTTACAAAAGAGAAGAAAAGCAGCTTACGTTGATGTGATAGCATTAAAAGGAAAGAAAAAACATTTTTTTTAAACAGTCTGGATAGAAAAAGAATGTTATAAAACAAATTTACTACGAGGGAAAAACATTTTAGGGCTATATTTACGACACAAAACGAATTTGTAGTTGGTGCCCACGGGAGCCACTGCAGGTCACGTGGTACACCAGTGCGCTGTCGCGCGGTGCCGTTGCCGCCTTGTTTCAACGAGTTTCTCCACGCCGCCGCCGCCGCGGAAGTTTGTGTGCTCCGTGGCGCCACCACCGTCATCTGACTGGCGCACAGGCCTATCACGTCTGCTTGCGCTTTTTCAGGAGCTTCCTCTGAGCTTTAAAAGTTACTTATTAATCGTGACAAATAGCGACCACTTTTCCGCGGCGCCCACACGCGCCAACTACAAATTTGTATAGCGCCGTTAATATAGCTCTTAAAATTTATATCTTTTGATGTAAATTCGTTTTATGACTTCCTTTTCCCAACCAGGCTGTTAAAATAAAAATGTATTTTTCCTTTGCATGTGTCCTTTAAAGGCCGACCTACAGAATTGTCTTCTGCTAGGCAGAAAGCCATTATCTCGCGTCCTTCTCCCTGCGCTCTCTCTCTTTCCTTCTTTCCTAAAAGGAGTGGGTTTTTGAGCTACTCCCTGTGGAAAGGACCATCTCCTCGCTGGCTGCTCGTCGGGCTTTACTGGGCAAACTGCTATTACCTGTGGATGGGAATGGCGTAATAAAATCCTGGTTGTATTTTAGAACAATCCTGCATTGTAAAGAGTTTCAACGAAAACAAATGTGCCTTTCCCCGAGCTCAAATCTCTGCCATCGGAATCGTATTCTGTGCTGACTAAGTATATGAACTAGTTGAGGGCAGCACTGCAGAATGATGGGATTGCTATTGGTGTAAGTGAAAAAACAAAGGTGGTGGGGAACGGCTCATTAAAGTTTATAAACAGTTTACCAAATCGATGTGACAAACAGCATTAAAAGAGTAAAATGAGAAACATTCCAATGTCATTGCACTGTCCCTTTAATTAAACTGCCAGTGACTATAATAAGCTTAATAGTAATAAATTGATTGCTGGTGTTGTTTTCTTCCAAATCATACAGTGCATTTTGTCTCACAAAAATACTTTCGTGCCTGTGTGTGAGGATAGGCAGCTCATGAAATAATATTACATAACCTTCTCGCAGAAAAAAATTACGCAAGCAAAATCACTGAAAATATTTACTATACCATCATTGTACAATCTGAAAGTTTTTAAAACTGGGTTATCACAATGTATTCATATGACATGAACTTTTATATCAATCCTAAAAATCCCAGAAAATCAATTTAAAAAATTTGGCAGACAACTAGATGAATATGAAAAAGGTGAAGGTCACTATAAACACGAGACCATAAATGAATTATATGCAACTACACTCCTAAATTCTCTATGGAGAAAAGAATGCTACCAATTCAATTCAACCTATTGGAAGTTATTACTACGCACAAACGAAGCCCCCTGTCCCTGCAGTCGGAAGAGCTGCGTGAGAAGGGCAACCAGTGCCTGAAGGAGGGCAAGCATGCAGAGGCGATCCTGCACTACACGCACGCCCTGGCCACGGACCGGGACAACTCGCTGCTCTACGGCAACAGGTGCCTGGCCTTCCTCAAGATGGACCAGTTCTACCTGGCCTACGAGGATGCCCGGCAGGCCATCCGCCTCAGCCCCAATTGGCCCAAGGTGGGCGCCTCATTCCTTTCGCTTCGACTGTGCTGCCTGTTAACATTGGACTGCTCACTTTTTTAGTGGGACCAGAATTCTTGGAAACAACACCTATCCTCTGTTGGAGGTCAAGAAAAGCGGGACAGCCTCCTCTCTTGCCTCGTCTCCAGCATTGGCTCGCTAAACTGGAAAGGGTGGAGACATTTGCGGGGAGAGCCTGTCCCGCTTTCCTTGACCTGCAACAGGGTGTACAACATGGTGCCTTCAAAAGGGTGTTTGGCGTTGACTCTTTGTTAGGCTAAACTATCGCGTGACATCGTGGCATAACGTGACACTGACATCATGTGACATCCCGAAGTGTGACACGGTGATGTAATCGTGTCATACGAGATCACGTGGTGCCGCCAGATCGGGTGGCACTGTGATGTGACATCATGTCCTTTTGGTTCTTCGAGGACAATAAACGATGGTGACGACATCAGGTGGCACCATGACGTGGCATCATGATGTCACGTGACATCATCGAGTCTTGCGACACTACCGTAAAATACCGGGCAAACGCCGGCTTGAAATTTCGAGATAATCGCGATAAAATAAAGGGTGGCCGCTTGGCCGGTCATCAATTTTACAGATCAATGTACTGTGCATGTTTTCTCAGATCTTACAAATTTGGGAACGGGCACCTAGTGTGGAATGGATGGATGCGCAGTATTCTACGGTAGGATGCCCACATGGCCTTTTTACTCTGCCCCCAAAAGAGGAGTGTGATGGGGCCTCATAAATGCTACTATGCATTTAGATTGCCTTTAGGAAGTGCCAAAGAGACAGTCAGTTTTTTTTTTTTTTTTTGCTGAACTTCAGTGAGCTTATAATTTCATACTTTCACACAATACATGTGCCGCTTACGGGCACCTCTGTGGTTAGGCCTAGTGCAATCCGTTTGGAAACTAATTTATCCGGTCCCGTCAAAGGTCAAACATGCTGTTTGTGCCACGCTGTAGAAGAAAGACGAGCCGAAGCGGTATGCAGCCAACCCCTTGGGTTCATTGATTCGGCGTGTCTTCCCCACTCCAAACTTTCCCCGCAGGGTTACTACCGGAAGGCAGAAGTGGAGTTCCGTGCGGAGCACTACAAGGAGGCCATGGAGTCTTTCAGGGTGGGTTCTGCACCTTCCTTTGCTCCACCTGGCTCCACGTAAACTACGCTTAAAAGGACAGCAGATCTCCGAGAAGCATTTTCTTTTAGTGAGAAAAGGACACATATATGAAAAAATTAACTTTCCTTGAAAAAAAGACGAACCAAAAATTAGCACAGTCTTTTTGTTGCGAGACACTTTATGAGTTCGGGGCAATTCTTAAACTTACTTCTATTCTGAGGCATTAAAGAAACACTGCAGGGGTGGAACGGCTGCGCCATTTGCGCCATTTTGCGCCAGACGCATTTGTCTGCGCCATCCTGCGCCATTTTGCGGAAACTGCGACACAGCCAAAACCTCGCGCCATTGTGCTCCGAATCGCACAACGTGCGCCGAAAAAATTATATTTGTCTTGGTTTCGGTTTTTATCGACTTGATTGGGAAATGTGAGCGCGTTTAGTTTGGTCAGATTCCAAGCACTACATCACCTGCGACTGGATTCTTATTCTTCAACCATAAGCGGTTAAGCAAGTCTGCCGAGGTGAGGTGGAGTCGTTAGTCGTCAGATTGCCTGAGGATCTGCGGTCCGGGTTTTGGACGTCAGCCAGTTGAAAACACACTAGCAAAAGATTTCTTTTAGTGCTTCATCGTTAGAAGTTGGAACCGCATTCCTGCAAGATAAATCATGATTTGATTGAACTGAGACACGGTCTGATCCGAAACTTTGCCGGCCAGCAGCTCGCACGCGAGCGGTAGATCTGCTCGACGTACCTCAATCTTGCTCCGACTGATCCCTTCGAATGCGATAACTCCGTTATTCGTAGTCTGCTGCTTCGATATTGAGTTGTACAATAGGATAAACTGAAAATTGGTTGCCCTGTTCCTCCGGGCAACTGCACGTCCGTTGCTTGCGCATGTCACGTGGTTCGCACATATAATTACTATGTCGAGCACGTCTGGGTTGTGCTATAAGCAGTGCTGGTTTGCATTTTGAGCAGCTGAAAGTCACTCAGAAAATATCAAGGACACTATCTTCAGAAACATATGGTACTTGCTTTTTGGTTCTCACTAAGGCCAAGTTTTCGCATATGTTACACTGTTATCCGATCTACCTAGGTTCCTAACCACTCATGTTCACTGTGCTGCTAAGCACAATTGAAATTGCTCCCATGCTTGTCTAAGCCACAAGCTGAAGTGCAATGAAAGCCGATCTGAGCTGCTCCTAGTTTGCTCCAGAATGTAGTTTTAGCTGCTCCCAACCTGCTCCAAAACAGCTGTTTCAGCTGCTCCCGTGGCTGCTCCTAAGTACATTTCCTCAGTTCCACCCCTGCACTGGCACCCCTCAGAAATTGATTTTTATTTTTTACCAGGTGATTTAATATGGTGTCGGAAGACTACCCAATCAGTATTTTGCTACAGAGTCACATAAATTTTTAATAAAGCCAAAAAATGTAACTGCTCGAAACCGAAACACGAGCACGGAGCAATGGTGCGGCATGTTGGCTAGAGAGGAGAGAGAAATGTAGGGGAGGAGAGAGTTGCCGGAAGTCATCTAACTACACCCAACAGCATTTTTTTTTTTCTCCAGTTTTTGGGTTGTGCGCAGTGGACGACAGTTTTAACATTGCAATGGTGAAGCACACGATGGGGAACTCCTCTTTCGCAGTAATGCAGCCAGTCGACTGTAGATCAGGAAGTCTACTGAAAATTCCCTGCTGCAAGGGCTTGAAGTCGGGCAGCACCACGCATTGGCCAAATTTGCACCTAGTAAAAAAATTATATGCCTGCATATTCAACACCAAGTACAGTAAAGCCTCGTTATAACAAAGTTGAAGGAGCGGTCGTATATATTTCGTTATAACCATTACAGTGTAGACCGCATATAACGTATGTCGCGGGAGTCGCGAAAATCCGCACTATAAGCGGTACCGCGCTATAACCAAAACATCAATTTTTCAGGCCAAAATACATGCCATCAGACAACTTACCTTTGTAAAAGAATTTATTTTATGTTAGATGAAAAATAAAGCTTAGTTCGAGGAAAGTCTTTATTTCACCAGACTAGCACACTTCTCTCTCAAGTCTGTCACGCATTTTGAAAAAAAATGAGTGACTTTTGCCTGGCGCAGCCTTTTATCGGCGTCGCGGGTTGCGGACGGACGTTGCGAGCGTTCAGGATTGCTAACCCTACGACGATGAAACGCGCACTCCGCGATGAAAACGCGTGAAAATTCGCATTCTTTATACGGTACGCGCCAGTAATACCTTCAACTTGAGCACAGGCATGAAATGCTCCAAAATAAGAAATCCGGGCGATGTTCGAAAACACAAATGCTTCGAAAGCACCACTGTAGTCGAATTAAACAAACACGACGACACGGGCGTTTCTGCCGTCTTGGGAGTGCTGCCACAACATCGCCGCACGAGTAGGTGGATCTTCCCTTCTAGTACGTGCTAGGTTATCATAGCGACACACAACGAAAATTCACAGTCAAGGATAGCGCTTTTACGCGGAATGATGAGCTTCCACCACGCGGTCTACGTCGACGATCAAAACCGACGCCATGTTTGTGGATAGAAGCAGCCGGCCCGCGACCGGCATGCAACGCGCGCGAACACTTTTCCTCGACTTGCGATTGGTCTGTCGTTGCGGTTGTTTCCAACGCAGCGGAGGGACGCACGCACGTGAACGACACGTGCGTGCATCCCTTTGTCGCTATGGCAACTGAAGCCTCTCCGCTTCTCCCCGCTTCTTTGAGCAGCGTCCTTGCGCCGCGAGTGCCGCTTGCGGCCGGCTCGCGCCGTTATCTAGTGTCGCACAGGGAAGCATGCTCACGGTGCCGGTCAGTCGGCGCGGTCGGCAGGCTGTTCCAGAAACCGAACTATAACCGGTATTTCCCTTCGCGCACCTGCATTTTAAGCGGTATGTAATTACATGGAGTTCTATGGGAGGCGAACCGGTGGTTTAAAAAAGCCGCGTTATACCCGGTCCTGCACCATAAGCGGTTACGTTGTAAGTGGTCTATACTGTAGTTTGTTATAGCCAATGTCCATTTCTTCCCACTATTAGCAAGCAAGGGGAATTATGATTGCTTTGTTATATCCATTAGTTTGTTATATCCCATTTTGTTATACACTCGAATCTCATTAATTCAAACCCTCTTAATTCAAACTTCTGGATAATTCAAACTAACATGCAGGTCCCATCCTATGCGTCCCTATGGGAAAAAACTCCCGGTAATTCAAACTTTGCTTTATTCAAACAAATTTTTGGTCCCCCTCGAGTTTGAATTAACGAGATTTGACTGTAATGAGGTTTTACTGTACACACTTCGTGGCTTGACGTTTGCACAAGTTTCAAGCTCTTACCAATTTGTGTTCGTAAGATGAGCGATGTCTTCATAAAGGAGATGGGGCGACGACTTGGCAACGTCTTCGTGTAAATCAGCTTGGTGGCTGGGCATGTCTTACGGACTAAATCCGAATTGTTTTGATCGGTAAAAAAATTTCTCTTTCGAAGTTAGACAGATTCGCTGGTACTGCGAATGGCAGTTCTGATGTAGAGGTCCCATGACCGTCGACCGCCACCATCGCTTAGTTTGCTTTGTTCAGCCGTCCAGCCTGTGACTCCCGAGCTGATCCCGCGATACAACGCTATGTTGAGAGTTATGCAGTGCATATGCTTCTGGCACTGCAACTTTTGTTTCTTTTCTTTGTGCAATCAACGTATTTGCAGTTGTTTAGAAGCCACGAAAAAATGGGTTACTTATTTTTATATATATATATTTTTAATATTGAATGTGTGCTTTCGATGACCCCCGACTTTGATTATATTTGGTGGTTGTGTCTGAACAGCACATGACCACGGAGAAGAAAAGGAGCGCGACTCAAACGGGCCAGTTCTCAATCAACAGTTTTTGGGAGGAAAACAAACAAAAAACAAATTTTGAGCCGGAAATTGTGTTTTGGGTAGCTGGTCTCCCATATGTCACCACAAGTAAAAACCTCGGTGAGCATAAATACCCTGTCAGTGTGTCTTTCACCCTGAAATAGAGGTGTGTTTTGGAATCACTCTTTTTTTCAAAATGTGTTTTACAACATAAATATTAAACTAAAGTTAAAAAAAAAAAAAATGTTTTGGGAAGGAAATTTTTTCGGGTGCTTAGCACCTTCCTGTGAGTGCACTCACCGAAGTTGTATTGCCAAACTGTCGTTGGCCTCTGCGGACACATTCGGCGGGAAGTGTGGGGATCATTCCAGTTCTGCTGCCGGTAGAGAGGCCCCACAACGGCAAACCGGGAGCTGGTTTGCCGTTGTGGGTCGCTTTTCCGGGGGTAGTAGAGAAAGCGCGTTTGCGAAAGCACAGTCAAAAGCTTGTGGCAGCCTATAACGTCGTGGGACTACCAGGGAGGGCATCTACGCTCCGTTTTAGCAAACGACAAAAGCTACGACCTCGGTGAGCCAGTGGAAGCGTCGAAGCAAGGCACGCAGCAACTCGTGTTGGCGTTCACTCCTCCTCTGGGGTGCTGTCGCTTCGCTCCGTACCGTCTCTCCGATTGGCTTACATGGGCCGTGGCGTTTGCCCTTTGCAAAGTTATGCTGAAATGGAGTATAGATGCACTAAATTCCGAGCCATAGCCAAAATCCCCGACTGTAAGAATTTTCTATCTACTGTATATTTTTATTCCAGTATGTGTCTGGATTTTACTTACGTAACCCCCCCCCCCCCCCCCCCCCCCCCCCCCCATGATGCCATATCTAGTTACCGAGGCTAAGTAATTAAGTAAATGAATGCGCATGATGAAAGACAAAGTTAGCAAACACGAGAGCTTTTTAATCGGCAAAGGTTGCGCAAGAGATGGCATATAACCAGGTGCGTCGATGAAATTTAGTTGGCTGCACTTTAGATGTTTTGTGCGTTGGCCTTTCTTCTTTTTTTTGTTCGTCGTCTCCAGTTTGGATTACGCAAAATATATCTGCTTTGTTCCGGAGGCACCGAGCGGACATTATGTTACGGTGCCTGAAACGTGTCTTAAACCGGCGTATCTACCATCCCATTTCACTTGTGCGTCGAAGCTGGTCTCGAAGTGGCAACAGACAACGTCTCTGGAGACGGCAGGTCGCGGTCGGACATCACGATCTTGACGGTGGGTCGTAAAAGTGCCGATGAAAGAGGCGAGGAGATGCAAGGGTAGCTGTCGCCGCAGCGTCCCAGTTCGCGTGTGCTTCGGTCTCCTCGGACCGTCTGGATTGAAAGTGGCCCGCAGGAGAACGGCCATCTACCGCAAAAGCCTAGTACGTCGCCACAGCACTGCCAGGTTCGTGGTGGGTGACTGTGACACTTTTGCAGTATTGTCGGGTGGCAGCTGAGGGTCCACTTTCGAGGCCACGGTAAATGCACCATTCCGAGACACGTCCCAAGCAACCTAGTTTCGGGAACGTCTCCACATTGCAGTGTCACAAGTCGAATTTCATGAGCTTTCCAGAAAACAATCGGTGTGTGCTAAGGCGACCTCCTGACTCGCCGCGTCCTTGTCTCGCAGAAAGCGCTGCAGCTGAGTGGCGACGACCCCAAAGTCCTTGACCAGCTGCGCAAGTCGAGGCGGGAGTTCGAGAAGCAGACCAAGGGTGAGCCACAATCTCTTGTGTGCCTCTCGTCTGGGCCCGACAAATATGCATGCTCGTTGCGCGGCATCTCGCAACACCGACGCACAGTATCGCACACTTTGCTGCCAGTGATGGCTCCGCGCCGGCTGCCTGATGTCCGGATTGCCACACCGATCTTTGCAATGTTTTTTTCTCAGCGAATGTGTAAGACTTGTGAGCACCTCCAGACACAATACCGTGCATGTGCGAGTCGGCTGTCATAATAAATGGAATTATGGCTTTATTGTAGCTTACTTTGTACCGAAAACATTTCAAAATAGGACAGCAGCTGTTGTGTGAGCGTATGCTATAGTATGCTGCATGACCGAGCCACAAGCATAAAAAAAATGGCTTTTTTTTGTGTGTGTGTTTGAAATCTAACTAATTCTAGATGTGGCTAAAATATTTTCAGTTCTCGTCAAATAGCTTAGGACTGGGTTCGAAGTAGCTTAGGGCTGGGTTCGAATTCTCGACGCCCGTACCGCTGCGTCCAGAATTTCACGGCTGCTCACTGATGCTCGAGTTGAGCGTTGGGGCAATGGCAATCAGTTGATCATAATAGACCACAAATAAAGTTCATGCTTCAAGTCTCTTACAAGTACCATCCGCCACTGTCAGGCGAATACGTGAGACATGTGCCACAAGCGAGTGCTTCGCCGCCATTCGCTTTTAAGGGCCCCACGAGACGTGCCCCTTGCACACTGATGCACTTGTAAGACAAGCACATGAAGGGGCTTTACAGTGGACGTTAGACCCCACTAAACAAGCTACGCTGAAAGTATCGGCACTTCACTCCCAGATTGTCTTGCGGGTTACGCCATTTTGGTGCTTTGCGTGGAGCGGGTGCAAGCTGCGATAGTTTAGGTACAGTGTGAAAAAAATTGGGCAATGCCTTTTTGCACTGTTTTAGACTGTTTTTACATTTCTGGAGAACTGAAAAGTATTTTCTGCGGTTTTAGACAAAGCTTCAGACGACTGGCAACCGTAATTTGAAGCACCAAAATGGCTGGATTAACCCTTTCTAAAATGCAGTCTGGCAACCTTGATCGGGCTAGATGCAGAATCCAAAGTTCTGTGATCACCCGATACAAAGGGGAAGCCGAAGAATCCAATCCAATCAGTGTATGGCTTATGTGCCATACTAATGGCGGCCTTCTTGAGGCCAACGAAGGAAGAACTTGAAGGTGCTACTGAGCGGAGGATATATGAGGCACGTTTTCGATGTCGGTACAACACGATGCACCAATTAAATACAACGGCTGCCTAAGCATTTGTTTCGAAGTGTAGTTTACTCATTCTCTTGTAGAGATGCCGCAAACTTTTTTCAAACCTAAGGTTCGAAGGTCGAACCAGGGGGTTCGTAAGTTTCGCTCTGTCGAACCTTTGCGTTTATAAATTGTATTATTTCAAACTTTCGAACTTCTTATATTGGGAAATCAAATTATTTCAAACTTTTTGCGGTAAGAAATTTGCAATTTACAAACGTTCAAACTTACTAAATATAAAAATATGACGATTTTCAAACTTTTGAACTTGTTTCTTGAAAAGCTCGAAAAGTATCATATTTCCAAACCTGCCATCTTGAAAAGTTCAACGAATTGCGGATCTCATCAAAATCCAAAATATAGCACCGAAGCTTTTCTTCATTGTTCCTAGGCCACCACACGAGTTCTTGCCTATCTTGCCTGTCGTTGGCGAGCCCCGACTGGCAACTGCCCAGACTTTGTTGCTGCGCGTCGCGGCGTGCTTCGAGTTTAGCTTCGCTTCGCAACACATTGCAACCTTTGCAACCTTTCTGACTTTTTTGGTGAAGATCCAACAATCAAGCATGGAGCAGGCTGACATACATGCAATCACTATGATCCTGTTAAAAAAACCTGGACGCAGACTCTCAAGATAATGAATCATTCCTCTACAGAGTTGTTTTAGGTGACTAAAGTGACGTGTGCTCATTTTACCTCCGTCCTTATATTTGTGCGTTTTTCTTATTATTACTCAAGAAAACTGCCTTCAGAAAGTGGAGATCTCACAACCTAATTACACGTTTTACCTCTAATGGTTTTAAATCATATTAAAAATATTTTTCAGAATTTAAAAAAAAGGTGGGGTGAGGTGAGGTCCTCCTTAAAAAAAATTGCATGAAGTTTATAAATGCCTATAAAAAATTTTCTTTTGCAGTTCCACACACACAGGAATGTGAACCCTGTAAGAGCTCTAAAAATACAGTGCACATCCATGCAAACGAATGTGACCATGAAGGAGGGAAATATTTTAGGTTAAAAAGCCTGGCAACTCGACCAAACTAGATGGCCCGAGTGTTACCACTTTGTTGAAAAATAAAAGGGGAGAAAATGTTAAAATCTTGAAATTAAGATGCTCGGTTCTTCAGCAGTAACTTCAAGGTTGCCTTGTAGCTGACTCTTCTGTGCCCAGCTCTGAAGATGACATTTGAGAAAAGCTCTTTATCAGCTATACGGTCTATACATCTTTAAAAGAATGCCTCTGGAAGGTGCCATTTAGGAAGTTTCTACAAATGGCGCATGTTTTCCTCTCTCTCTCTCGAGCGACGCACACGCGCGTGCCAGGCTGTGGGGCAGTACACGCTGTGGAGCAGTACATGCTTTTGTTTCTTTTTTGTTCCTGGGTGCGAGCAAGCACGTCTCCCAGCCGGCACAAGCTCTCGGAATCGATAGTGCTACGGCGGCAGTTTGTAACCGGCTATTTGTATTTTGCTCGAAAGTGCATTCTGTCGGCATCGGGTACTGCAATGTCATCACTCCAACCAAAGTGCAAATGAAGGCACCATTCCAATATTCACAAAACCACAGCCCAGCGTGCGATCTCCACAGCCCAGTACGAGTGTGTTTGCAGCTTCGGAAAGTGAACGACGCAACCGCTGAGCTTCAGCGCCAGCTCGCTGTCTTCCGTTGTGCTTTGGTTGTGCATGCACGCTTGTGTTAAGGGCAGAAAGATCACGCTTAAAACGGAGTGGTGAATGGAGTATACCTGGGGCAACCTTCTCCCAAATGAACGGCGCGCGAACCACACCGTGGAGAAGGCTTTCGACTCTCGAGCTTAGTCCGCTGACCATCGCCGCTCCATCGGAGGAAAACATGCACAGACAGACAGCAGTATGAAGTGCTCCAGTTGAGGAGCAAATTTCATAACCAGTGTTTGGGTATGTGCATTTAGGTTGACTGTACAGCTTCCAGTGTACATACAAAGCCTTGTTTATGTTTGAAGAAGTAGCTTAAAGCTAAACAAGGTCAGGATGTGTCCAAGGAGCCCGTTGAACTGCTTTTTTAGGGGCCTCGAGTTTAGTCGTTGAGTGCCGCTGTGTCGGGTTCTGTGTTGATTCTATTGCCTGTGGCCCAGTATTTTCTTCGTCCCACGATACATGGACCTCCAGGGAAATAGCCTGCCTTAATTAAAATGAGAGTCGTCATTCCCACCAGCCAGAGGTTGTGGCCAGTATTGAGTAATGGCAAACACTAAATGAACTTCATGGCACCTGCAAGATTCATACTAAAATTTCCGGAGCTCAGCTCTCAATATTTACGGGAACTCCAGTCTTCATGAGGTTCGAAGACTTAGAACTTTGCAAGCTTAGGCTTCAAAAAAATTCAATCTTTTCAAAGTTTTCGAAAATGAAGCTCATACCAATTCGAAATTATTGAATTTTGCGAACCTGAATCATACAAAAATTGAAACTACTATTGAATTTTGCGAACCTTAATCTTAAAAAAAAAAATTTTCAGCCTTTCCACTTAACTGAAGAAGGAAGAGCAGCGGAGCTGTAGCTTCTGTTCTCATCGGTGGCTTTCCAGGCGGGCAATCTGCTCTTCTTTCGCAAAAGCATCTGAAGCGCTCGACGCAGTGGAACTTCAGGCAATAGCGGCCTCGCGGCGGTTGCGGAACCATTTGCACTGCTGCGCACTTCGCCGCTCGTTCTGTTCCCGCTCTTCTTCCTCCGAAGAAATGTTGTCGCCATCTATGAGTGACGGCAGCGACCAGTTGTCTGGTTGCCAAGGCTGGAAAGGTTGCTCCGATCTATGAGCGATGGCGGCAAGCAGACAACCAGCAAACACAACAGTCTGGACAGCTACCGCCATCTATGAGCGATGGCAGCAGTTAGAGTTTTGTGTCAACATTTGTTTGGTACCGGATACGAACATGGGAAAACTATCCCTTAACAGCTCTGCTGTAAAAATCCAAACCGTGGAATTCAAAACTTTAAAACTTAGATGACTTCGAACTTTACGAATTTGAATCCGGGCAATTTCGTAAGTTCCGAACTTTGCGGAATCAAATCCCCGGAAGGTTAGCAAAGTTCGAAAGCCATCAAATTCAAACTTCGGGAGGTTCGCGACGTTCCTAATCTTTTGGCATAAGTATGACTCTAAAGTCTTTTAATTCCGGAAATTTAATTGAGGGGCTTATGGGTTGCCATACTGTGCTGGTCATTACTTATGTTCGCACCGTCGAAACTGGAACAAACCAAGAAAGAATTATTTGGTGATCGAAGAATCAGTTCTCATCTGGCAGTGACGTGCAAAACCGGCAATGCCCGACGAAATAGTTTCGTGACTGCCATTAGATCGTCGAAAATGAAACTGCCTTTTGAGCCATCAGATGGCACTAAATTTTAAGAAGGGTCTATTGTCGTTACTTCAATGAATGCCTGTCACCCAAGGCCGTGATGCAGCTCGAGTGTTTTTTCAGTGGACAGCCAGATCCCCTGGATGGGAGCTGCCACGGGATTTGTGCTGGGCGTGCTCATCGTCGTCTTTGATGTGGGCATCAGGAAGGAGCCCTACCTGCTGGTCGGTGAACTTGGTTGAGAAAAATATTTGGAATAGTCATTTCATTTGACACGAAAATATGTATAGAAACAAGCTGGTCCACGAAAGTAAAACTGCTTGTGCATGGTACCAGACAACCAACAAAACATGTCATTATATAATACTGTAAAAAAAAAAACATAGGAGCAAAAAAAATCACAATATGACAGAATTACTCTAATTAAGTGACATAATGATTATTGTGAGAACATATGACACCATGCACATACATCCTTTTGACTGCTCAAATGGGTGATAAATAAACAAAGACTCTAAGAAAATGTTATATAACGATTATATAATGAGGGTCTTTCTTTTTTACCGTAATTTGTTAATATCTTAGGAATTATGTATCTTTCACAATTCCTATATCTATTTCTATTTAGAGGGGACTCTAAGCCAGCACTTCTTGACAAGGTCTGTTGTGGTGCCTGGAATGCAACTTAGACTGGTGTGTTTACAGCGGTGTCAAAACTGTTCCCTCAATCTCCGCCCGATGACGAACAGAAGTGTCGAGCTGTCACTGCCTTGATCCTGGCAGTGGCACAGTAGTTGACACGGTTGCAGCAGACAATCGAGTGAAGCTAAAGCAGTCATGAGACGAGACGCTGCGACGACAGTGACACTTGCACTCTCTCGTACTTTTTTCCAGGACTTCTAACAGTGTTGGGTAAAGTACATCTAAAAAGTACTTAAAGTAAAGTACAAAGTAAACGAGAGGTTAAGTACTTCAAGTAAAGTAGTAGGTACACCAGGCACAACGTATTCGAAGTGCCATAAACACAATGTACTTTCAAAGTAAAGTATGCAATTACTTTCTAACACAATTTTCATGATGCCCTTTCATTCCCCTGTACTGTGTTCATCCCTAAATTGATATGCATTGCCCCAGGGGCAACCCCCCAGGGTTACCCCCAAGTACCAAGCAAAAAGTAGCGCGAGTTTCAGATGCAGACGAAGTGATGCGACTTCTGCTTGCATTTCTGGTGAGAAAATATGCCCTCCGGTATTTCTTCAGAGTTGACAGACCTTCATACTTTCCTCAGAAAGTATGAGGGTTTCTAAACTTGTTTGAAGTAGTACGGGACCACTTTTGATGTGTGGGTGGGATAGGATGCTAAACACGTCGACTGAAGATGTGTCGCAGGCACCATAGCGGTATATCGCGAGGGGTCGAGCTTCCTTCGATACATCATAGTTCTTGGGGTGCACGCAACTCTGGCAGAGGCTGACATTGTTGTCTCGGTTGCAGAATCCCATCTGGATGACTGCGGTCGTGATGACAGCGGCACTCATCTGCTTCTTCATTGCCAGGTTCCACAGGTGAGGCCCTCTGAGAAGTTGTCCCTTTTGTCGGTTCGGGCAAGCCGGCGATATTTGTGGAAAAACTCTGGCGGCTCGTATCCAAACCACCGCAGCCTGTGGCTCTCAATCGTTGCTGAGGCTCTCACAGATTTGACAGCCACCACAGGCATAAAGAAGCACGTGGCAGCTTTGGCGCACCAAGGGAGCCGTCGTGATTTGCGTAAGCTGTGTCAATGCCGAGCCAAAGGGACGAGCGCTTTGTCGCAGATGCACCAATCGGCGAGTGAGAATTTTGGTAAGCACAGTTGTAGCCAAAATAAATACTGGGTTGTTAGCTATGTCAAACTCGACGTGCCCGACGACCACATTTAATGGTGAGCGCACGCTCCGGGGAACCTTCTTTCAGATCACTCGTCTTTCGTTCAAAACATTCGCTGACATGCTGAGCGGAATAAAGGCAAAAACACGCACACGCGAGAACAAATAGTTCCGTCTTTCATCACACCCTTGTGTGATGCAAGTGAATGTCAATAAATGCCACGGCAGTCTCAGCCTGCCCAATTTTCGATGCAGGAACAGCCTTCAGGGCCAGCGTAAGAGCTTGCTGGAGCCTCCGGTCGATCTTTTTGGAGGTGAGTTCATTGGCCCTTCCTTGCCGCCCACTGTGGCCAGACTTCGACGTAGCGCAATCTTTTTCGGGCATGACACGACGGATCTCGGAATGGCTTGGCCTGGAGGTCTTTGACATGACAGTGTGTGCGTTTGAGCTTTTTGCGGTGAAAGTGCACAAAAATGCGAGGTATGACCGTCCTTGTGGACGTCATACCTCGCATGTTTGTGCGAGCACTCTTTTGCGTTACAACGGTTTGCCGCAAGTAATAGCACCTTTCCAGCTTTGTATTAGACTTGTGTGGGCTCTTGGTAGTTCTCCTGTAGACTATTTATTGACTGCATTATACAACCATTGCCTGTTATCGTTCGTCCAGTCTCTTATTATTAAGGCGCAAAGAATTGCTCCCAGACACCAGATTGTACTAAAATCAGTATTTCTATAGCACATTACTGGAACTGTGCTAATATTAACACACACTATAGCACACTACTGCAAAACATTCGCTTGTTACTCCCGCCCCTTCTTTTACTAACAATTTTCCACCTAGTAATAAATGCCAGTTGTAAGTAGCATTCTATCCTGTCTCAATGTTCTTCCTCCCTTGTCTTCACACTAATTTTACCAAGATGTCTAGCCAATTAGCCTGCCAGATGGTTTTAATACAATTTGGGCTTGCATAGTGTAATAAAATGCTAATTTTACTAATGGCGATAACGAAACATAGCAGTTTGAGCTTCAGCAGTTGCTGCGCATGAACACTGGAGGACCGTGTTGCCAGAGTTGCGGCGTCGAAACACCGGGAAAAATTGTCCGATCTAAAGCGGACAAAAAAATAAGTGCATAATCTTTATAAGAATATTTTATAGCCTCGAGCGTGCAGGCGTAGCCAGCACATGCGTCGAAAAGCAACAAACACGTGCTGGAGGCCAGGCGTTCGAGAGAGACGCCATGCCTTTAATTCTCACTTTGAGAGGGACTGTAGCCAACACCCTGTTGTGCCGGCGCATGCACACCACCATCCGAGCAGACGAATTTGCACGCTGTACGGCTAGACCTCGGATAGTTTGTAGCAAGCCCGAAGAGTGCGATATTCACTTACGACATCCTGAGGAGATGCGTTATAGACTGAGTGCGAATCTAGCATGAATCGATAGTGGAAGTGAAAACGCCAGGAAAATCCTTTCCAATCGTGCTTGGGAGGCAGTGCAGAAACAACAAGGACGGCGCAACGATGGCGAATTACGCGAGCGCCGAGCTCCCGTGGCTGTGACGCACGTTACGGGATAGCATAAATGCAGTCGGATTTTCGACGCAGATTATTTTTTGTCGGCCAATTTCTGCGGAGTCCCGTAACGTTTGGGCGTAACACTCGGCTCCAATGGCCGGCTGTAACAATAAACGAAGGCCGAAAAATGTTACACCCATAGGGAATCGCACATAAATACCACGGTCCCCAGCAGGATTCGAACTCGTCACCTTGAGATTGCGAGCCAAGTGCTTTGCCAGCCAAGCTATTCGGGGTCGGTGGTTGCTAGCATGCAAAAACAAACTCATTGGCGCAAGCTTCGTGGCCTTTCCTACCATGCTGCGTCATCTCGCAGCTTGTGTCAGTAATGGGAGCGGATCTTCAGTAGGTGTTGCCATTCAGATGCCCTTCTGTTTTTCCCTGGAAGGCCAATCACACGTTATGTGCTTGCCGGTCTTTGTCAGCATGATCAAGCTCGTATAATCCTTTTTTTTTTTCTGTTTCAGAAGGAGATTACCAGCAGGAATCTGAGCAGGCGGCTGCTGGTGATGGTCAGGACCGGAAGGAACCCAAGCTGAAGAAAAGGTGATGCGTCGGAGCGTCTGGGGTCGGGAACGGTGGGGATGCTGTGGTTGTCGTTTGGTGGGTGCCATGCTCCGTGCAGGTGCGCGGTGTGGGCACGCGATTACATTCCTAGTCATTGGACACTCTCATTTGTAGCCTCTGTCGAGGTGCACGGTGGACCAGTTGCAACTCACTTGTAGCCAAGAGCCCAGAAGGGGACCATTAAACACTTTCGTACGCACGTGAGAGTTTGGACTCGTATTTCTTTCTCTCCTGCGGGTCTCGTTAATATTTCATGCTTGTTTTTACGCTCGAGTATTGAGAGTAACGTTTCAGACTTGTTTCGTTGTGCAGAAACTCGGGCAAAACAGACTTGCAAACCCAAAGTTTCTTTGTTTTATTTTTTTTGAAGGGAAGTTACAGAGGTTCTTGGTAAAAATGAGTTAGAGGTGAATTCTGGCATATTTTTGTCTTGTGAATTTGAATATCACAAGAATTTGATGCAAACATATTGACAGGCGCGAGAAAAACCAACCGCTGGATGTGACTTTGTACCCAGAGGTTTGGACTGCCTTTGAGCATGCCCCTTGCAAGGAAAAGCATGTAGCATTTTTGACTGCTTAGGCTTGCAGATGGTGCAATGTTGAGGTCACTGTATAACACGTCATGATTCTCTCCTTCACCAAACGCTCCGGGAAAGAGGGGCTTCAACATTATTTTGAAAGTGTGTTGTGGCCATTTGGCACACCAATCCAAAATATAATTTTGATTTTTGTCATCCTAAATGCTTTTAATTTCTTTTTAAAGGCAGTGCATGTGCTTTTGTTTATTTATATATTTGTATAAATACCCGCAAGGCTATCGGCATTATAGAGGAAAGTGGAAACAACGAGATAACAATAAAAAACGAGACTAATTTTACGTCTAGGTCATGGAGGCTGAAAACAGTAAAGGGTGCTAAAAGTATTTTTATGAAACGGTTGATTATTAACAGTGAATAAAATATAAGCTGGAGTGTGGTTCTATTCTAAAGACGTTTTAGGGACAAATGAATGGCAAAATGCATTTAGTCTTACAAATAGGGACGGCCACTTTGAACTGATGGTCAATGCATGGTGAAACATAGAACATAGCCTGACAAGCGTTAATGAGCTTTTAGATTCTGTGTTTTTGTGGTCTGCATGCTTTGAAAGTTTCTTTATTTGATTCCATGTATTATTTTGCTTTGGGAGCATGAATGAAGCCAAGGTGCACAAACCTTTCTGACCTTAGCAGCTTTCTGGGACTCTAAACTCCCCCCTGCTCAAGGAAAAGAAAAATCTCGGAAGGGAAATGGTATAGGCCAGCTGGTGAGCTTTCAGCATGGTGGTTACTGGATTATCCCGTTTTCTGTATCTTTTATTTGATTTTCCCCTTTTTGTTTCTCCTTCGCTATATTATCCCCTTTTTTGATTTCTCCTTTGTTAGATTAACCCCTTCCTTATTTCCTCGTCTATAAATGGGGCTATACAGTCTGTACAGGGTCAATAGCTGTGTCGTAGCCAGGGTTGTATAACCTGGGTACAAGCAACTGACAATCAGTATTTAGGGATACCTTTTGTTTATTGTAGGTACTTTTCTTTTGGTAACTGTAGCCAACTGTGTCCGAGGTACAATTTCTAATAACTTTTGATTGGAACGAGTTGCTTTTCTACAGATACTTTTTTGTGAACCTCCAGTAACCCGAGAAAAGATTCATATCTATAGAGTATGGCTCTAAGATAAGAAGATGAGTTACCAAAAAAAGCATTTCTCGAATTGTCTCTCGTTCGGTACAATCTGTACGGCTGACAAACATTGTTTTTGGAGGTTCAGTGCCCCGAGGTGGAATTAGTTTAGTCTGGCGTAGGTTTCACTCATATTCTCCAGTGAGTAAACTAAGGAAGCTATCTCAATATCCCTTGTAACTCTACCTAGTTAAAATTTTGTTGCCTCACAGTAATTGTTACAAAATGGTTTGTTATTGTAAAAGATAGCTGTGGAGTGGAAGAAATCTTTCAATATCAATAGGTACTTTTTAGAGCGCAGCTCTTAGTCGCCCGTTTCCGGCTTGTGCGGCGTCAGCGTAACCGTGTGGTGCATTATGGGACGCGTGATGTCACTGATGACGTCATTAGTGACGTCATTGGCATCGTTATCATCACTGGTGACGTCATTGGCATTCGCATTAGCGTTATTAGCGTTATTAGTGACGCTATCGGCATCGTCGCATGTCACTGATGACGTCATCATCATCGGCATCGTCATCATCACTGATGACGTCATCGGCATTCGCATTGTCATCGTCAGTGATGATGACGTCACTGGTGACGTCGCGGATGACGTTATCGTCATTGTCACGTGACCTTATAGGGGTCATGTGACCCCAGTGACGTCACATGACCCCTGTGAGGTCACGTAATCCTTGTGAGGCGACGGCGACGCCGCTCGGAGGGAGGAATAGCAAACAGGATGAGGACGGGAGGAGGAGGGAGGAGGGGTATACCTTCCCCTCAGTACCCTTCTCTCCTCCTCCTCAAGAGCTGCGCTCTAATCTGGCGTTACAGGGAGTTGTAAACGGCTTTCATTTTTTTAAATAAGTACCTAAGAAAGTACTTTTTAGGATAAGCCAGTGTAACTATCCTAGGTACTCTATATCGCATTCAATATGAGTTGAAACAGTCCTTCATGCTTGTTTGGCATAGTTGCCAGCTTTTTATAAAGAACTGTTCCAAATTGGGAATACAGTGCAAAGTGTAGGCCCCCTACTTCAGACTCTTTGACAAATTGAGAGATAAAATAGCTTTTGAAAGGTCGGATCGACTGTTTCAGCTCATGTTGATTGTGATAGTACATTTTTGGAGTCACTTTTACGACCCCAGGGGTGGAAGCAAGCTTCAGCCTTTTGTAGCAGGTCTGGGAGCAGCGAAGACTCCCCTTTGGAACTTTTACTGCTTTGGAGCAGCTCAGGAACCACAAAAGTCAAGTAAATCTGGGAGCTGGTCACGCAGGTAGAACTTGAGGCTATGAGCACCGAGGTGTTTTTCTAAATACAAAAATATCCCAACGAAAAAGCATCTCCATGTGACGTTCCAGAGCCATTTCCGTACCACAGCCTCCTATACTGATAATGCCTGCCCAATCGCCAGTTGCCAGCTATCACCATGAGGGTGCGCCGCTTCCCCATACAACACAGAAAACGTAAACGACGTGAACCATGCGACTAAGCTTTTCTCGTACATTCTTTCATTTTTGGGGCTATTTTGGGCATTTGACATGGTAGCTGTGGGTCACATTTAGGCTTTCTTTTACCGCGCTTTTTATGCAGATTCTCAAAAAGAGATGCCGGGACTGTCATATTTCCCGAAACCCCAAGCAACACCCATACCATGAAAAGTGACTGAAGCTTATTTTGAGGAAAGATGGTATCTCAAGTTCTACCTTCTGCTACTCCAAAATATGGAGCTAACACCTTTTTGCAGTGGACATTAAGAAAGGCCAGTCTAGATAGGCCTTCCTTAAAGCTCGGTTTGAGTGAAACATCAGCATCCCGCTGAAGCTTGACTCAAAGCCTGCAGCTTGGTTCGGGCCCCCCTGTTGTCAAAGCTTGATCAGACCCTTCCACGGCATCTTTCGATGCTGTCCGAGTGGCTGACCTGCCTAGCGCTCTGTCGCAGCTCGAAGTAGTGATGGGTGCCCGACGACAGGCTCAGTAGTCATTACGAAACGTGAGCCCTAACACAGCTAACACCTTCCGCACTGCTTAGGCGACTTTGTAGCGATTGTAACCCCTGGCCATTGCAATTTCTCTTCACCTGCTTTTGGCGTGGTCATTGACCTCGGCAATAGAAACTTTCAGTGTTCGCTGTTTCGACATTGTGAAAGTTTACCACCTGCTCGGTCGGTCTGCCTTGTAATTCGAGTTCGGTGATACCTAGTGTACTCTCGATTCATTCACTTTTGTAAACTACAGGGTGTTTCAAATAGCGGCCAGACTCTTTAAATCGACCGCGAAAATCGGTTTCTTAACCTATCGTGCTACGATTTTGTGCAGCGTTGCCCACAGGTGGTGCATTTTTTCTAAAATATTTGCCAAAAGCAAACTTACGTGAGGAAAAAGTAAAAAAAAAAGAAAAAGGCTGAACTCCTATGGAAATTCAGCAAAGCCACCAGTCTTCAAACAATAGGGAACCCTATTGTTTGGCGCAACATTTGCGTTTGGGAGCAGGATGGTGCAGTGGAAGAGGATTGGCGCACAATGGCGCAACGCCTCCACCCCTGCAACCCCGACGAGATCTAAAGCAGGCACAAAACACACCGAGATTGTCTCAATGTGGAACACAACTTTATTTACAGGGTTGAAATGGTCAGAGGGGCCAAAAACATGTCTCAAATTATAAAAGCTAACACTACCACATCAATAATAAAATATGCGCAAGCTTCTCTTTTGCGAAACCTCCCCAGAATTTGGATCTCCGGCAAATAGGAGAGGGCTGGGCCAGGGAAGAAATGATGCCAACGTCTTTTGTTGCATATTTTGATCTTCCTCGGGGAGCACAGGTACATCGAGACGCTCTTTGATCTTTACGCTGCAATTGCTTGTTTATGCAAACGAAAGGAATGGTTTCTTATTTACAAACAAGACGGCTCGCTAAATCGACGAAAGACGAAAATGCAGTCCGAGACGTTATAAACACAAACGAGAAACTTTCACTTTTTTTTTCTTGCCTGCAGAACAGTTGGAGAAAACGAACACGGGACTGATTGCAGTGGGACGTTTCCTTTAACGTTGGCACATAAAATGAGGAACGGTTGGGAGCGCCTTTCATTGCTTGCAACGATAGATGATGCTGTTTTGTGCTGCTGTTCTTGCGACGGAAAATGGAAACTCTCGGGTAAACGAGGGAAGGGGGACACCGGGTGGCACGATTCGGCTCCCCCCCCTCCCCGACTTTGGAAATGCAACGCCGAAGCTGACAGAGTAACTTTGCTCTGATTTCACTACATCTGTATCTGTAGGCCAGCAACGTCTGAAATGCAGTGAGTTTACGAACCCAATGACGTCTTTCTCGCAAACTTTGGCTACATTTCTTGATTGATCCACGCAGGCAGCAGCGGCGCAGGTGCTGCCCGAGGCAGAGCCCGCTGCAATGCAGACGACACTCGCACTGCGCCTGTTTGTTGCGTTGCATCGTGCGACTGTTTCTAGCACGTGGGTGCCCCGCATCTGACGACGCGAAGCCAACATTACTCGCCGCAACTAAGGTTTGGCTTTCGGATTGTGGTAAAGTGAGATTTCACGAGAAATACTTGACTTTGCAGGAAACAAACGATGTAGAGCCATTTAGTAGTGTTTCTCAATGTCGAATCGGCCCCTGTCCTGAAACTTTTGGAACTGAGCGGAGAAAGACAAAATGAACAGCACTGCGTTTATCATTGCCTTATTTAAGGTTGCTCGCTTCGAATCTTTCCTACAGACGGGGCAAGTGAAAGTACCCACAAACCTAGATGCTCCTCGGTGTTGCAATCATTTTGCGAAAGGTCTATCAGTCAGTTTGGAGACAACGCTTCCATTGCGGCTCCTGTAGCCATGCCGTCGCACTTCCGAAGCCTCGGGGGGGGGGGGGGGTTGGGTTGGGATGAAGGGATGAACTAACGGGGGGGTTAAACTAACGGCTCCGCACATAGCCGACCATCCACATCGCTCGTAGGAGGAACATCCGACACGGACACAAAAAACATGCACTCCAGTTATTTACAGGGACGCTCGGCCGCTGTGTTCAGTTTCTCCTCATTAAGGCAGGTGAAAACAGCTTAAAACAGCTGTTACGCTAACGTCCCCGCACGGCCATGACGATCGTCGCGGCGGGGGACGGTCACGGCGAGACTGTTCCTGACTAGAACACGGAACGCGTCGGAGCTTGCCACTGACTGTGGCACTCCCGACACCGACGACCTTCGGCGAGCGATTCCGAGCTTTTGGAATGTGTCTGGAACGAGCGCAGTCACGCGGCTGCGATTTCCAAAGCCGAGAGACGCCCTCGACCGCAAGCGGCCGGGCTCGCTAAAAACAAAATAACACTGCCGAAGTCTCCTCGAACGTCTCGGTGTAGGAAAGACATCGCATGGCGCAAGGTTGGCTCGACGACAAAGTCTGGAATGCTGGAAATGCGACGAAAGGTGCCCGTCCGTTGGCCAACGGCCTGCTTCATCTATGCTTTACGTCAAGCACCTAATGATTGACTCGTTTGCGATTCGAGGATCCGTCGTTGGGCCGACCGGCATTCCTCGTAGAGGCGACGGCACGCCGGGGACGAAAGAAAGCATTCTCGCAAATAAATGTTTGGCTCTCGTTTAGGTTCAGGTACTTCGCATCTTCGGTAAACAGCCGAGAAGCCCCCCCCCATTAAAAGAACAAAAAAACAAACAAAGGGGAGATGTGTTGCATTGTTGCAGGGAACGTGGTCCTCGTCACGAAATGCAGACTCGCCGGCGGACGCAACTCTTCGCCGGCAAGTTGCACGAAATCTCGGTTCTGTCCCGTTTCGTTGCACCGGTCTTGCACGAGCAGAGACTAGAGGAGAGTCTCCGTTCGGAAGTGCCCGCCTTGGAGCCGGGCCGGAGGGCATTGGCCGCGCGGGCGTTATTGCCGGCGTGCATCCGAAGCCGCCGAGGAGAGCCCGGGGAGCGACCGGAGCCGCTCCGGAGCGGCCGGTGGGGCGCCCTAGGAGCAGAGGGCGGACCGGCCGACGGGGAGTCCGGCGTGGTGCAGGCGGTCTGGTTCCGACGAACTGTGCCTCCGGTGCAGTGTCACCTGTGGCCCGGGGAGAGGTCGGGCTTTAGCAAAGTTTCCAGAAGGCTCGATTGTAAACAGAATTTCGCATTTTTAATGCAAATGTGTTATGTCGGCTATTTCTAATGAAAAACTGCTACGCTCGTTGTATAAAGCCTATAGGCCCATAGGGGCCATTATTAAAACATGAATACAGTCGTGTCTCGCCAATGAATCAAACGAGAAATGTGACTCCCATGGCAAATTTGCGATGCAAAGGTTCTTACTTATAGAAAGATATGTACACAAGTTGCACTGTTGTATAAGGTGCACCAACGAAAATTTTTGGGGAACAAAAAAGCAACTTGTATACCGTATTTACTCGCACAATGAACGCACTCGCGTAATGAACGCACCCCCCAAGTCGGCTCTCAAAATTTCGACTTTTTTTTTTCACTCGCGTAATAAACGCACCCCCAACTCGGATGTCAAAATTTTGACCCCCTCCCCACACGCGCGCGAAATGAACGCACTTTTCTATCCTGGTGCAGCGAGGTCACGAATGCATGGGCAGCGTGGGCAAACAAAACGCCTTGCAAAAGGCGTTAAAAAAATTCGAAAAGATCCAACGGAAGCAAGAAAAAAGAACATGGAGAGGAGCTTTATTTTTTTTTTGCACGGCGCAGTCTGGACTTAGGGTTCGCGCGCCGCCGCGCGCAAGGAGGTAAGAAAGAGAAGCGCTCTAAGCGAACGAAACAACTTGCAAAAGGCGGCAAAAAAAAACAAAAAAACACGGAACTAAAAAAAAAAAAAAAAAAAAAAGCTTTTCTTTTTTTTTCTTTTCTTTTTCTTTTCACAGCGCAGTTTGGTTACGGGGGGGGGGGGGGGGGGGGGTCGCGCTCCGCGCGCAAGGAGGTAAGAAAGGAGCGGAGAAGTCCTCTAAGCAAACGAAACAGCTTGCGAAAGGCGACAAAAAGGAAAAAAAAAAAGAAAAACACGGAACTGAGAAGACAAAAAGAAGAAAAAGATGAGCTTTTTTTTTTTTTTTGCTTTTTGCATAGCGCAGTTTGGTTACGGGGGTCGTGCGTCGCGCACAAGGAGATAACAAAGATAAGCGGAGAGCCCTCGCCTAAGCAAAGCCTAAGCAAACAAGACAGCTTGCGAAAGGCGGCAGAAAAAAAAAACAAGAAACTAAGAACTAGGAAAACAAAAATTTTTTTTTTTTTTTTCACACATTAGTTTGGTTACGGGGTCGGGCGCCGTGCGCAAAGAGATAAGAAGTTACTTCGATTTTTCAGGATAAAAGGTCCCTTCATTATGCGAGTAAATAGGGACGCAAAAATTTTACTTCGCGTAATGAACGCCTCCCCTAACTTTGCATCGATTTTTCGGGAAAAAAGTGTGTTCATTCTGCGAGTTACTACGCTACTACAAAATAAGGTAATTGAAGCAGGTGCATCGTGCAAGGTACTCTTCAGGCTTTGGGCTTCATATGGGGAGGACGAGGAGCAGGCAGTAACCCTGTTTCTAACAGAAGCTACGAACGAAGGATGTTACGGTTGCCAACAGGCTGAGAACGGTGGAGGGGACGTTCTGTTGGCCCCACATGGGTGCATGTCTGTATGCGTGTCGCCCCCCCATAGACCAATCTTGCTAGCCAGTCACGTCATGCCGTCGTTTTCACTGTGCGTCGTGGTAACCCTAGTCCTGCACGCGTGCAAAAACCCCGCTGCAAGTCTGTGCGAGCAGAGCACGAGACGGCACGAGCTGCCTTGTGCACTGTCGCCTACCCGCTGTGGATTACGGCTATGGTGGCAGCGGACGTGCGTGGAACGGTCCAAGAAGACAAGGGCTGGGATTACGTCGTACGTGGCCCTCTTGCTAGGTTGGAAGGCGGGGCTCGGTGCCGACAGAGGCCACGCGAAGTTATTGCGGCGGGACGTGGGACAGCCCTTACGTTTTCCTGCAGCTGTCTTCCGACGGAGCCAAAGGTGGGCCTTGCCTCTGGAGCCTTGAACCAGCACTCGTGGATCAGCGTCTGCCAAAACCCACCGGGACAGTTCTGTGACCCACTAGAATCTAGGCTTTTTTTTTTTGTTTTGTTTTGCTAGATTATGGAAAGAGTGAGGATGCACGGTAGGAAAGAAAGAAAGATGCGTGTCCACTTCAGAGTGTCTAAGGGGCAGCTGTGGACATTGCATCTACTAGTTTTTAGTGTTTGCACACTGTTCAGGACACATTCCTTTGAATGGCAGACTCTGCATCTAGTTGAGTCTCTAGAGTTTAGACCGATCCTTGAACTTCAAACTCGAGGCCATGACTTCTCTGCAACACACATGCTTTTTTTGGCAACGGCAGACCCGCAAAGTCTTCTTCAACTGGCCTAAAAATCCTTTCCTTTATCTCTTTGCTCTTATCACTTTCAGAGAGACAAACTTTAGATGATAAAGATTGGGCAGGGGAGCAGAATATGGCACCTCCTGGCCGTCGCGCTGACGAGGCATACCTTGAAACTGCTGGGGCAGCGGAGGTCGTCGAGGGACTGCTGCTGCCCGGAGGCAATCTGCCATATGACGCAGTGCGGATGCTGGCAGCGGAAGGGGAAGCGTTCGGCGATCAGCTCGTACAGCACGGTCCTGGAAAGTGGAGACGGTTTTGCATTTCTTTTTATGTCGAAACAGAGGCACAGGGCTCGCTTGATTCTCGTAACGTCCCGACAGCGAGCCCTGTTTACTCCGTTGCAGGTGGGAACGGCATAAGAAGACGGGGGCAATAGAGGAGACACGCGCGAAAAGGCAAACAAGGGCACCGTTGTCCCGGGCTGTTTCGTGCTGTTGCTCTCTACGAGGGTCATTTGAGGTTAAATGTTTTAATGTTTCTGGAGGACGGAAAAGCGTCTCCCGTCGTTTCGGATAAGGCTTTAGATAACTGGCAACAATGACCTTATGCACCAACATGGTGCGATATCCGACAGCATTACACTCCGGTTTTTGTGACGTCATTTGTTGCCACACCGGTGGGAGACGCGTCACAGGCAGCATCGTGGCGAGGGGCTCACCCAAAGGCATACACGTCGGTCTCCTGGGAGGGCTCTCCAGCGGGGTAGACGCAGGGAGGCTCTATGCGGAGGTGGCGCATGAGCTCGGGCGCCAGGTAGGTGAGGTGCCCCTGGGAGACGCAGCCCCGGTCCGAGAGGTCTCGGCCCCGCTCGGACAGCCCCTGGTCCATGAGGCACACCTTGACCCGGCTCTCGAGCACCACGTTCTTGGATGTCAGGTTTTTGTGCACGATGCCCTTGGCGTGCAGGTAGCCCATGCCCTGCAGGGCACACCGGAGAAGGGCATTGACCTCTGGCACGACCCGACTCTTTACCTAACGATCTTCAATGTTCGCGGGATTTGCTTTCTTAAATCACCTTCATCCTTGTAACCCCCCCTCGGTTTAATGAAATTAGTATGGCTCCTACGATTATATATGTCTGATTGTATATTTTTTTGTTTCACAGTATTACCATCTAGTTTCTTAACCTGCGTTGCTCCATTCTACGCCTCAAATGCCTTACTTTAATTAACACATACTAGCCAATTGGCTATGGGTTCATCTGCTTTTTTGGTTAAGCCTCTTGCGTGTGATAAAACAAACAATCGAATTGTACACCCACTGAGGAATGGGCTCCTCGCATCATCTGTGGTCTGCAAGTTTGCACATCTGCTCACGTGGGATCATATTTTTTACGGTGAGATTTTTGTCTTTGAAAGAAAGAATGCGCAACATTGGAGCCGACGTCAGGCCTGCCGGAATGTGAAAGTCGTAGCACTCTCTTGCGTCGATTAGGCTTTTGAATCTCTAGGTAAAGACGGAAGTAAAACGCGGCAAATCCTGGCCGCTGGTATCGGCAGTCCAAAGAGAAGGAACGAGAAAGAGGTACAGAAGGAAGGAGAAAGAAAGCAGACGAAAGGTTAGGAGTGCTTGTTTTTTGTCACGACGAGCTGAAGTTGCTTGTCTGCAACTTTATTTAGTTTCATACAATGTGCGAATCTGGTGTTTTCCTGCAAAGTAAGGTTGAAAAGAAGGTACAGATATTACAGGCAATGTTTTGTTGCTGCTTTGTGCATATTAAGGCGTCCCCTGTGATGTAGGCTCATTGGAGCCCTCTAGATTAGTATAATATTAACTCTATGCAAGGAACCCCGATCTCTCTGGAGTGACGGCAGAGGAACTCTTCCAGGGATTCCCTAATTTCTGGGTAATCTCTATGTTCTGGAGAATCCCTGTGTTCTGGGGGATTCTAGGTTCTGGGGATTCCCTGGCTTCTAAGGAATCCCTGTAATTCAGAGAACGCAGTTTGAGAATGCGAAAATTAGGCACGTCTTCTCTTTAGCCCTGCAGGTTGGGAATCGGATTTATGAAAAAGGCGTTCTCGAAGACCGCGAGCGGCTTACCTGGGCGATCTGCCTGGCGACGTTGACCCTGGTGTGGAAAGAGAGGTGGTGCTTCTGGATATGGATGTGCTCAAACAGCGATGGCCCCTTCTTCATGCTGCAAGAAGAAACATTTCCATCTTCACGGCTGGAAACGTCCCTCCGGGGTGGAAAGTGAACCCAAGTCGTTAGCACCAAAATCTTGCTCCCATTAGAAGAGGGGACCGTCCAAACTGAGATACTTCCTGCAGTTGGTTTTGTTGTTAAAAGACATATTCTTGCACAAGTGTGCAAGTAGTGTCTACCGCGTTTTCTGCTGTATATGTCGCGGTTCTTTTACCAAAATTTCCGTCTGTGTGTCTTACGCAACGGTGCGACTCATATGCATACTCCTCCATAAGTATGGACCTTAACCCAATTTGCCACGGGTGTTATATTTCTCGTTCGATTCGGTGACAAATATGTTGAAACCTGCTCTCAGTTGCGCATATATTGCGATCAGAATACACTTATGTGGGCTTTTCAATGGAGTTTTGCTGACCAAACAAATATATAGCTGCAACTTATACACCAACGTTTTTCTGAAAACAGTCGTTTACAGGGGGAGAAGCTTATACAAATGTGTGATTTATATACTAGAGAATATGGTAATTATTTTGTGCATACTCGGAACCTGCATTGGCCTGCTACATTACTATTGCTCTAGTTTCTTGTACGTCTTGTTTTGAAAAAAGGGGTGTGTCTTGGCCGTCTGCAAATTGGCACTCTTCCGCAAGAACGCCTACCTATTTGCAGGCGGCACAACAGGCTAGCCGACAGAACACACACACTGACCTTGTGATGATGGCAAACTGCGGGGGTTCGGCACAGGCGCCCATGAAGAGGGCGATATTCTCGTGCCGAATCATGCTCAGCTTTCCTACTTCTTCCCAGAAGCTGGACACCTCCTCCTCCTTGGACCTCCGGAAGGTGTAAATGAGGACCTCGCCGTGCCACCGTCCCCTGGGTAACAAATTTGCGGTGCTCATTCCTAAGCCTCCCATTTCTGCCATTTCTGTCGCCAAGCAATGGGGCAGTTTCACAAAGTGCCTTTTCACTTCCAACAAGCCGCGTTCTGCCACAAAGATGAACAGTGTCCAACACATTTTCGTTTAGTTTGCATGCAGGCGATTGGTTACTAGCATCGTTTTTGGTGTGGGTGGAACATGCAAGCATGGCGAGTGACTGCGTCGATGGCAGAACTCAATAAGTATGACTGGGGTCATATTTGGGCCACATAAACCCATGCTTACTCCACTTTTTACCTTTCCGAGTCCCTTTCGTGGCATGTACTGGGGCCATTTTGGCTGCTGACGGGTCGACTTGTCGATCGCCGGCTCGTCTTACGTTCAAATAAAAACTGATATGTATAAAAACCGAATATCAGCCGCTGCTGTTTTATGTTCTCTACTACTCCGCCCGGCAAGTACATCAAGACGCAAAAGGACTTGGCTGATCAGGAATACACTGCCTCCGGGGTGCATAGAAAGACATTGGACGGACTTTCATCAACATGGTGTCTTGCGAGATGTCGGGCCGGAAGTATGTCACATGAAATCACCCTGAAGTCATTAGGAGGCCAGCTGTAGTGAGCATTGGCCAAATGATAGAGCCGACACTACGGACCAGCCACGCACAGTAACGAGCAGCGGATGACCGAGCTTACCTGTAGATGTCTGTCTGCCTGCCATGCCGCAACCGCTCTTTGAACTCCAGGTCTCGGTAGGGGATGCACCATTCACCGAGGGTCTCCTTGATGTCCCCACACTGGCTTCTGGAAGGAATCACATTCCAGCTCACATTGCAGCTCGGGGACACAAGGAAGTTCTGAGCCTGCACCAGCTTGACCTTCATTACTCACTTTGACTTGTCTTCCAATTCACTCTCTTCATACCCAGACTCGAGCTCCTCTGCAAAAGTGTCTGCGTGGGTCACAAAAAAAAAAAGTGTCTGAGCATCCCATTATTACTCAAAGACCAATCAAATCAAAGATACCACCAGCATCACTGGGATGCATCTTTTTACGTGTTGCCAAGGGAATATCACTGGTTAAGTTTTAAGTATAATCCATTGCATCTCAAGTCAGACTAAAGAAGCTACAAGAATAAGCTCAATCACTTTCAGCATAGCTGCTGCAATGCATGCACACAGACACACATGCTCGTGCTGTACAAGCATTATTCGAATCGATGTACATGCTCCTGTGGCTTTGTTCACACTTTAGGCGAGACAGGGTATTGACCCATGTGCCGGCTTCAGTTATGAAACAAGCACGCACAACCAATTATAGTAACGAGACGCGTCTGTAAGGCAGCTGTCCCGGGTAAGATGTCTCTGACATTGAGGTTCTGTGGACCTCTTCCTTTTCTCTACAAGCAAGTCGAATAGTGAGCATCTATGCACTTGCATGCAAGTGCCAACCTTGTGTCTTCTTTACATATGTTTAACATTAGCCAGAGGACAAAGTGAGCATGAATCTAGCACAAGCAAGTGTCTACGCCTCAATTTTCTTGCAATGTCTCAACGTGGGTGGGCACATGCTCGGTATGTTAGTGCTATCCTTGGATACGACAAATGCGGACCTCTAACAACAGCCTTCAAGAACTACATTTCCGTGTGACCTCGGGGCCCGAGAACGTACCAGTGTTTCCAACGGCCCTTCCAGGAGGCGGCCACGTCGCACACAGCTTCTCGACGTCGGTGGCCTTCGTCTCCAGACTGAGTGTCCTTGCCTTGTTGGCCATCCACTGCCTCCCGGAGCGGCCGTGCTCACTAATCACCATTTGCTGCCTCAGCAGCCCCCTCCCAGACGCTGGGTGCAGGCGGCAGACGCCCTCGTGTCCCCCGCATGTTCTCCGCAAGTCGAGCTCCGTCTCGGAAGGCGTCTGGACAGCGGACGAAGCAGACGACGAGATGTATCCGCTCGACGAGAGGCTGCCGTTGGGCGAGAGGATCCCCCGGCTGCTCGCAAACGACGGCTTCCGGTGGTGGTAGCACGTGCAAGGAGGTGTCGGAGTCCTCGCGGTCTTCATGATGTTCTTGAGCTTCTTCCGCGTGTACTTCTCGTCGACAGAGAGGCCGAAGCGGGAGCGCACATGCTTGTCCGCAGCATTGGCCTTGCTGATGGCATCTGGCCTGTTCTTGCGGCGCTGGGACAGCCAGTGAACGACCTTGAGGAGGCCCGTCACGGCCAGCGTCGGGGAGGTTGGGGAGCGGGGCGGCTTGGAGGACGCGGAGCAGTCGTGCGGGGTCGTCCTGTGGTCTTCACTGCTGAAGAGGAACTGCTGGTCTACCATGGGGCTCATGGTGAGGACCTCGTGACCCAGGCTGGAGTAGCGCCATTTCTGGTCGTCTTCCGGTTCGTCTGTGTTTGGGGAAAAAGGAACAAGTGCTTAAAGGCCACTCTATCAAAGCCTCGTGAACTTGACGTTTCTTCTTTTTCTTTTTTTTTACAGCGGAGCTGTTCAGGGCTAGTTTCCCCAGGATCGTGTCCACCAGCAAAGAAGTATGACATTGAACTCTGGACAGCTCCCACCATCTATGAGCGACAGCGGCAACCAGACAAATGGTTGCCGCCATCGCTCATACATGGCAGCAACCTTTCTTCAGAGGAATAAGGGTGGGAGCGGCGACTTGCGCAGCAGCGCGAATGGTTCCGCAACCACCGCGAAGCCGCTATCACCTAAAGTTCCACTGCGTCAAGCGCTTCAGATTTCCTTGCGAAAGAAGAGCAGATCGCTCACCTAGAAAGCCACCACAGAGAACAAAAGCTACAGCTCCGCTGCTCTTTTTTCTTCACCAGAGTGGAAAGGCTGAATATTTTTTTTTAGCTATGCGGGAGAGATAGGGAGAGAGAGAACTTAATTGAAACCACGCATGTCCAGGCAATGGAAACTATATAGTGCGAGAGCATTCACAGTATTCTTTTGGATGTTTACTGCTCTATCAATCCCAACTCAGAAGTTCCAAATGGATTGTTGCATAATTTCGCTAATACTACCCTGAAAACCAGAACATCAATACAATGCTGTCAGAAAAATGTTAGCAAAAAAATTTTTTTTGGTTATTTCACAAACATTAGACCACATGTTACATAATAGTCGACAGCATCAAGAAAAAGTTGGCAAAAAATATTTTTCTAACGTTATGCCTAACACGTTTTTAAAACTGTACGTAATTATGTTGCCCTCACATTTTCTCAGCAATGTTAAAGCATCAACAAAAGTTGTGTCACGTTGCATATTTTTGTAACATTGTGTCAATATTTTTTCATGATGTCCTCAAAATGTTATCTACGTAACGTTGTAGTCGCATTATTTTATGTGGCGTAACATTGCGCCACATTCCAGTAATGTTGCAGCAACATTCCGTGCTACTAGGGTGGCTGTACGGAGAGCGACGGTGGTGCAAGCAGCGAATTAATGGAGCCCCAGACTAAGGGTACCCAGCCAGAACTGATTCTTCGATCAAGACCTCCTATCTCGTTCTAGTCCCTATCCCCTACTTTCCTAAAAAGTTATCAACAGCAACAGTTTTTCATGTATGTGTCGTCTTCTGTATGCCCGCAGTCTCGGGGTTGTGTTATGTCTAATCTTCACAAGCTCGTTTCCTCCTTGACTTTCTGTTTTTACGATCGTTATTATAAACTTATAAAAGAAGGTCGCAGTCGTCTTGCAACCTCACTTCTATCGCATATGTAAAACTGGAACGCAAAAGTGATCAAGGTCTTGTCGGTTCTCGAAGTAGAGAGACCAAAGCATGGTTTCGGTTTTCTGCGCGCCGCGGGGTGACAGGTGCCACTGACCAGCGTCGATGGGAGCCTGATGGCTGTTCCGCCGAGCCAGGATTCCCGCGGCGGTCGGCGAGCACCAGTGCGGACTGTGGTTGGCGCAGGACTCGTGCGACAGCGTCCTGTGTGGATGCCACTGCATGTTAGAACTCTGCGCGGGTGAACGCAGTCAAAAACTGCCCTGTCGGGCTACTCCGGACACTCCAAGCTCCACCGCTCTGCCCACACGCTACCGCTGAGTCAGTAGCTGGCGATCCTGGACCAGCCACTGGCCGACAGTTTAGTTTATCCGCACGCGGACCTGCAGACGACGAGAGCGGCGCGAATCAGAGGTCAATATAGAAAACGTGCAGCCCGTAGAACTCAGCCGGTTCTCTCCCTTACGCTTATGAAATCTGCAGTAGAAGTTGATATGAGAAGAAGAGACAGAGCGGAGGCTGCCTGTGCTTTTCTTAATTTGTTTTCTTCCTTTTTCATATTCCGCGCTTGTGCAAGGCATGGCTGGTTACCGCGGCTACCTAGTTCGATGGATGGGTAGATAATATTGGCTATACCCTCTGTAACGGGCGGCAGCTTGCGCCACCTAGCCTAAATCACACTGTTTCCAACCGCTCGATTGGGGTCATGTGGCTTGTGGAACGCTTTGCTTTGCAATGCGCCGATAATCCGAGGGAGAAGAGGAGACGAGAGCGCGCGAGGACGTCGGAACGCCGAGCTCTCGTCGGCCTGGTTCACACAGACCCGTTTTCTTACGTTAAATTAGTCACCGGGTAGCCTGGCACGCGACATTCTAAACACGAATGTTTCGGTGACGACGAGATAGGACAGTGAGTTACCGTGGCAACCAAGGACACAAGGCTCGTCGTAACCTAACGTAAGGAGTTGAGCTCGGTTCAACTTTTAAAACTAATTCACCCAGCACCTTTTTCTGACGTTACGTCTAAGTCACCGAAACATTCGTCTCTCGAATGTCGCGTGCCAGGTCTCCTCGAATTCCCGGTGGCTTGTACGTACGCTTACGTCACCTTATGATGTACCGCAGGAAAGGCTCGCGTGCCAGGTTTACCTCCTCGAATTCCCGGTGGCTTGTACGTACGCTTACGTCACCTTATTTATGATGTACCGCAGGAAAGGCTACAGGCGCGAGCTCCTAGGGTGCCTTCATGTGCGCTTTGCTTAGGGTGGAGACATCTGGCCATTTTGTTCCCACTTTTACATTTATTTTTTCTTCAGAAGCGCGTGAAAGAGCGTGTCCCTGCACGCGTCTGTGGCGCCGACTGTGCTAGGGTGACATTTTGTTTTTGTCGATTTCTTTGTATTTTCCCCGTGAGCGCGTGCTGTCGGCATCGGGTACTACAAAGGGTGGCATCACTCTAAACAGAAGGTCATTGAGGCACCCTACGAGCTCCTCTGGAGCTCCTTGCTCTGGGGCACATCTGGCGGCACAAGCTCTCGTGCGTTAGGGGCAGCTGCCAACGCTATGAGCCCGCGCTTCTAGTTTTCGCTGCGGTACAACATAAGGTGAAACCAGGGGCGGATTTAGAGGAGGGGGGGGGGGTCCGGGTGTCCTGACCCCCCTCTTGATTTCTGTATGTGTAAAATTTAGGGCGTAAAACGAAGGAGAGGGAGAGGGGGTTCCTAAACATGGTACGCTGACCAACACCTGACCTCCCCCTCAAGAAATTCCTACATCCGCCCCTGGGTGAAATGGAGTATAGTGACACGGAGTATAGACCTTTCCATCGCTAATCACCCTGGGCAAAAAATGCTAGCTGAGTTACTGAGCTGTGGACGCATGCGCAGCACAGCAGAGCAACAGCGCATGCTCAGAAGGCGTTCCACAGTCCAGCAGACAAAGATGGCAGCGCGCAGAAAGCGATTGGTGCCTGGAACTCGTATCCGAATGGTGTGTTAACTGCGTCCAAAAAAGTGGTCCCTTGATTTCCGCCTGGCGACATCATAAAAGTGTCATGCTGTCGCCGGTCGCGATCCTGGCGGTGTTCCAGTAGCGACGGTGGATGTAGCAGACGCCTGTTCTGCTGCAGGTCGCTCTCCGGTGTTGCTCCGGTGTGCGACAATCCACAGGAGCTTCGGCAGCCAGAAGTTGGGACGCCATGACGACAGCGAAACTCGCGTTCGCTCGTGCTTTTCGTCAGCAGTTCTGCGACCAACCACCAGGATCGCGACATCCAATTGCATGACACTCCGGCTTCTGTGACGTCATTTGCTGCCACTTCGGGACCACTTTTGATGTATGGGCAGCATAGGACGCTAAACACATTAGTCGGAGACGCGTTCCAGGCGCCATACTAAACCTGCCTTTGTCTCCCTTGCACTTATCAAACGCGTTCGAATGCGGCAGCCAAACTCCGGAAGCCGGCGTTCCGCCACGCTTTCACCCTCGTCGTGTGACGACGCACCGCATGCGCATAGCACCCAATTTGCGCAGGAAGCATCCGCCATTAAATTGCTAATGCTTCTCTTGGTTTGAGTTGCTCACTCTCTTAAATCTAGGCTCTCTACTGCTACTACTCGTGGCGCCACCGCGCGTGCGTAAAAATAGCAGACAAACACGTTGGTAAGGGGTTCTGCAATGCTCTGGCGGTACTTACTTTTACTGCAGCGCATTCGTGACGTTAGCACTCGTGTCAAAACAGGCACGGATCTATCCTGACGGACGTTCAGCGGGGCGGACTTTACTGAGGCTGACTGATCGTTGCAGTAGTAGCTATAAACACTTACCCGCACTGCTTGCACCGGATACCCGTAAAGTAGACCATCTTGCGGCACGTGGAGCAGCGCTTGGGGGTTGACAGGGTGCGGGTTAGCCTGCGAAATGAGAGTGGGAAGGAAACCTCAGTCGGTTATTCAATCACTCTTGCGGTAGCGTCTTGTGGACGCTAGATTGCCCCCTCGCCGAGAAAAACAGTTGGAGCTCACAGAAAACTCGCGCTGCAGAACCCAAGGATGCTGGGTTCAGTCCCCTGCCCGTTTTGTTCTGGCTGAGAGTCAATAAATCGTTCCCGTTTTCTTGTAAGCGCCGCCATTTTTGTGTTTTGGTGCAGAACGGGCGCAGTTGATGATCGTTACGATTTGAAATGTAATTTTTTTCAGCATGGAGTGTATGTTATCGCCAGGAAGCTCAGGCGATAACATTTTTGTCTGTAGCGGACTGGACTTTCTAGGGACAGAAAACCGCTTACTGGGGTTTTAGATAAAGCTTTCCCCACCCCTGCCCGTTTCGATCTAGATGAGCATCGTACCGTCGTGCGGTCGTGTATCACTACTGCATGATGCACGTTAAAGACCCCAGGCTAGCGGTTGTACTGCACGGGCTAAATTGCTCATCTACAGCTGGAAGACTCGTCGCCCGTTGAGGCAGACCAAGTTCTAGGCTGTGTAAACACACACACAACCCAATTTTAGATAACGTTTCAGGTAACTGACAAATTTCAAGCACCGAGATTGCTGAAGTGTCTTTACTCCGAAGCGTAGCTTATTTGGTGGTTCTAGTGTGGATTAAAGTCACGGCAGGATACAGTGACTTTAATCTGGACCAGTCTCGCTACAGTTCTACATTTTCCCTGCCCACCGTGTGTGCTCAATTTCAGCTAGTCTTTATTCAAAGTTTACTCTACTGATCGCTTCTTTACTCTCTAAAGATACCCCACCCATATCCCCCTGTATCTCTTTCATTTGGTGTATTCCCATGTTCCCCCAATGCCAACCTACCCATAGTCCTTTGCTGTATCTCTAAAAATGCCTGGATTTCTGACCTCATACCAAATGACAGTCCTGGCACCATGACTCCCTCTCATACTCCCCTAACGACTTCATATCTATTATAGTTCCAGAGTGCCCTGTAGGCTGTGTTTCATAATAGCTAAATCTCGTTTCCCCTTCTTTATTACAGTGTCTTCATATTCTTTTAGATACTTTCCCTCATTTAACCATACTCCCAGATATTTGTACTTTTCTACGTGTTCTATCACTGTGTTCTGTATCTCCAGGGGTTCCCCCTTCTCGTCGTTGAAAAATATTATACCCGACTTGTCCCTACTGAAGTTTAGGCCTAAACTGTCCCATTCCCTGCTGAAAATCCTAATTAGTAGTTCCTGTATTGTCTCACGACTTTCTGATACGAGTACAATGTCGTCGGCCCTGGCAATACCTGATTTACTTTGTCCTTCCTCCATGTGAGTCAGGCCAAAACCTAAGAAATGGCGATCGCCAATGTTGCTTGACGGACGTTTTTTGAAAAGTATCATAGTTCGCAGGTTGCGTGTTTGGTGGCTGCTGGCTCAGAGTTAAATGACCCCTATTTCTTTATCGCTCACTCTCGTTCGCCGCCTCCTTCTAGGCATATCCGGTACGGGCGACGAAAAAATAATTTCATTGGCGTGGCAACGGCAAAACCACGTTTTCGCCTGGAAGCAACGTTGCCCGGAAGTGACGTCACTCAAGAGGGCGGCGTCCTTGTGAAAACGGTCTACCCATAGTAAAAGCAACTCCGGCTCCACGCGGATACGTCACTAATTTTCCCTCTTCATATGTTAATTAAGATATATACTGGTGCACCGTATAGATTAGCTTTACGTCTTATCAAGACGTTTCAAACGCCGCAAGCGTCCTTTCTTTTTTTTCGACAAACGAGTCTCGTAAGAACTGCTTCGCCCAGCGCACGATTAATGCGCAAAACTTTTTTTTGTTTATGTTTTTTGTTAGAACGAGTATAGAGATCTATGATTGGTCGTCCCTCTGAGTACTCGTCACTTCTGTCAGCACAATAGTGCATTGTTTCAGGCGTTCCGAGCAACCCGCCGAAGGGCTGCTTGGAACGCTCATCTGCTCCTCACGGAGTTCACACATTGTTCTCATCGCTCTAAATGGCGGCTGATATTCGAAGGCCATTTACATTTTCAATTCGCGAACGGAGGACGTTTTGCGCTTGCACCGATCGCGTTTGTACGAGTCTTGTGTAGGAAACAAAAACTGGGTGAAAGCTGTTAGTTCTGCTGGTGTCGTTAGTACGTCGCCTGACACTTAACCAGGAACAACCTTACAAGAAGTTTTGGGCACCTCTAAACAAGGTACATAAATAGCAACGATACACCATGTGTACAGATCTACAACCCAGCACGTGCAAGTTCGTGGCTTCGGAAAGCGAGCAAAGCACGCGGCCATACGCACGAAGGCTTAAAAAGGCGTACTGCGGCCAGAAACCGTTTTCTCGTCTCAGGGTGGGGCTATTTTGTTACATCCGGGCATTTCAGCGGATTCGGTGGTGTAAAAGAGGGAGGGGCACCTAACTGACCTCTCTCACATTCTCAGAAATAGGTAGTGTAGTATACTTACACCCCTTGTTTCATATATAACGCCCCAAAACTGCATTTCGACGCTCAGTCCACTGAAGTCGAACAGGTGATACCAACTTTTACGAGGAGTTTGATAGCGTTTTGATATAACTTACTAAGTAGCTAATGCACGTATCAAATACTGCAAAAAAAGAAAAAAAGAACACTGAGGTTTCGCAGCAGGGCCTACAAAACCTTGAGTGTTTTCCTGTTGTCTTTATTATTTACATAAGCTATTTTAATAAGTTGTATCACTCGACTATCAAGCCGCTCGTGAAAGTTGATATATCGTCGGTTCGATATGAGTGGACTGAACGTCGAAGTGTAGCTTCTTATGCTTTACATATATATGGGACAAGGGGTGTAAGTGCTACACCCCCTATTTCTGAGAGTGTACGGTAAGAGTGTCGTGCAGTGTGCATGTGCTTTTTCGGCGGAGTTGCGGCTCCTGTTCACGCCAAACATCAACGCCATGTCAATAGACCATTCCACTAAAGCCCCTCGATGGGTTTGCGTTTTACATCTCAAACATTTATGGCACACATGCCGTCTTCTCGGCGGATTATGACGATCGATGTACGACACGTGAAAAATCACCCAGGAACAAAAGACGAAGTTCAAATTGGTTTGACATCTAAAGGCCCGTTCACACTCTTGCAACCGAGTACGACCGAGAGAGACCAAACCGGTTTTTAAGCCTCTTGCGATCTCTTAGGACCAGCTCCGCTCAGCGCATCCGGTCTCAAGAAGTCTTTCTCGGTCGTACTCGGTTGCAAGAGTGTGAACGCGCCTTTATGGTTCCAAAACGCAATGAAGACAGGGCGATAAGCAAACAAAGTACGTAAGTATTCTGTTTTGCGTTTGCGCTATGTTTTTATCTTTTTTTTTTTTTTTTATTGGGAAGATGGAGGGGATAAGGGGGTTGGGGTTGAACTTACAAGGATAAGAAGTGCCGCTTCCTGGATCGCCCGAGTCAGCATGAGCGTAAATTACCTCGATAAAATCCACGCTTTCTTACAAGTATACCGCCAGGCTTTGTTGCGGAAACGTGCAATACACGTGCACACGAGCAAGTGCTCCGCCGTCATTCGCTTCCCAGGGCCACACGAGGCTATTTGACCAAAGCAAACATATGAAAGGACTTTGCCTGATCGAACATCGGAAAAGCCCCACAATTCCCCGTATCTCGCGTTGAAATCTAGGATTGTCGCGAGGCCTTCTGGGATTTTTTAGAAAGGTCTGTCGCTAAATTACTCAAGCACCAAGGAAAGTGATGGGAAGTTGAAACTATAGGTAAACGTGCCGCGCGCGCTCGCTTTATTTGTCCCAAATATTTTAGGTAAATAGCCAAAATAAGTCGTCTATGAACGCACGGACAAAATGCCATTTGTTCTAGATTTTTGCTTTTGAACGGTAACGGCTGTCGACCCGAGCACGTGTAACTGCGCTCGCAAAATTACTTCACGGTCCCTGCATTATGTACGCTGCTTGGATAATTTAGCGAAAGGTATAGACGCTTTGCAGCAGCTGTGCATGGGCGCCGCCATAACTGACCTTCAATTTTTGTTTCCTCTTATTCCGTTAGCTTCACTTCACCATTTCCACAGCAGGCCAGGTTATTGTCCCTTTAAGTGCTGCTGTGTCCTTCTCCCCAGCATAGACCCTTGTGGAGACTCGTCAACGCCCGCTTCAGTGGCTCGGCACCTCGGTAAGTCAAGAGAAGGGCGGCTATGGCGGCTCAATTTGGCGCGTGTGTAAAGCGTCTATATTGGCGAGGCAACGTGCGCTACCAAAAGCAACGATGTGGTCGACTTTCGGGATTGGTCAAACACGAAGTCGCAATGACGCCTTAAAAGGGATACTGAACCAAGAAATTTAGTGTCCACAATAAGTGGCGCACGCTCTTTCCACGAGCCAGCAGCCGCAGGTGTGCGCGAGCACACGCAACAAAAATGACGTCACAGACCTCTATTCGCGGTTAAGATGACAGTGCAATGTATGGGCTTCGGGCCAAAGGAGAATCAAGACAAGTTTTTCATCTACACAGTGGTGTCTGGTGTAAAAGGTTAGCGATTAATTGGTCTAACAAGCACCTAGCTTTCACTTGTAGAGATGAAAAGCTTGTATTTATTCTCCTTTGGCCAGAAGCCCATCATTTTCACTGTCCTCTTAAGCGCGTATGAAGGTCTTTGACGTCATTTTCACGGCGTGTGCCCGCGCACACCGGCGGCTGCTGGCTCGTGGAAAGAACGTGCGCCACTTATTATGGACACTAAATTCTTTGGTTCAGTATCCCTTTAAAAGAGAATAATTCTGCCTTCATTGACGGAAACAAGAGTATAATATCGCACTGTCAACTTTGGCTGTGCCGGTTTAAAAATGCGATGGCTCCGGGAGGCTATGAGTTAAGCTTCCATCGTGTTCTTGCACACACACACAACCGAACATGTCGTTCGAAACTGATTAGTAGCCAGG